ACGAGGGAAGTTATTCCAAGGTGTTCAATCAACTAACTTAACTGATTTGCGTATTACAACCTTGCTGAGACTGTGTGTACACGAGAAAAAGATGTAAAAGAGACACGGTGTTCCCTGTTAACAAGTTTTTCATAAGATGTCACATTTTATGTCACGTACTGACACAATTTTGTTTTTGAATGCAACTCACACTAAAGCCCGCTTCATGCTTAACGCGAAAGTATGTGCGAAGCGAAATTCATGTCGTCAACAACGGTCGACGTGCTTCGAATGTATTGTTGACGTCATGAATTTCGCTTCGCTTTCGCTTTCGCGTGAAGTATGAACCGGGCTTAAAGACTAACAAAACTGAATTTTCATTGAAGACCAGTGACGATACTACGTCTAGAAGGCAAACAACTGCAAACCATTTATCAATACCTCCTCCCCATGGAGAGGTTTGGTGAATTCCTGAAACAAGAGGACCAGCAAATGACAATGCCCAAAATGCGTCAGGCGATTGGCAACAAAACAACGTTGCTTGCAGAGCACTTCATGAAGAGTGTGCACCATGGTATTGTTGCAAGGGCAAAACACAACAAGCTAGAAATCAAGAGTAAGTTTGTAAAGAATTTAGCATGAAGAAATTAAGTGGGAAAGGGCACATTATATCTAACATCACTTCTTTTAAACATCACTTTTTTTATGAAGCTACACATACCTGATGTACATGTATGTAAGTGACCTTAACCATATAAACGGTGTAACTGTCTTGCAGGAACACAGCTGACAGCTGACACTGCAAAAAAAAAACAGTTTAGCATCCCCGCCCGCTTCCTTTTGGCAGGCTGCAGGAAGGCTGCGTATTCTCATAATAATGGAGATACTTCTGACGCAGGCGCCCCATGCAGGTGTCATCCAAAATGACAGTCTTGGCGAGTTTCACCAAAGGAAGATACACACCATGCCTAACACTTTCGAGGAGGTAACATCGATACAGGTGAAATTCTTTGTGAAAGTTGACTGACCAGCCCAATGCTTTTTGCCAATTTACTGTTAAAAAAGAATTTTCAGAGAAAAAATTTCCAAAACAGACACAAAATTGTTTAACCATAAAATGGAACACGTCTGACAGCTGATACTGCAGCAAGGCTACGCAATCTCCTCATCATGGAGGTCATACTAACGCAGGTGCCTCGAACAGGTGTAATTGAAAATGCAGCTCTTGGCGAGTTTCGCCACAGACAGATACACACCATGCCAAACACTTTTGAGGGCGTATGAAAGAAGTCAACAGACAAATCAAAGAGTAAGACGCAGCAAAGATGGAAGCCAAACAAACACTTAGGGCTGAAATGATACACCTGGGTCAAGACAACTACAAGTTGCATTAATTTTCATCCAGATTATCATGCCACGTTACCTCTGAATTCCTCGCCCGTACGTTCATACTTGCCGGTTCTTTATCCTCCCTTATATTCCACATTTTGTTTTATAATTGTCCCTTTATTACCTTTACGTCAAGGCTGATATTCCCACAGCCATGTGAAATGTCGAAAAGAAAACTTTTGGACATCGGGAGAATTCTGCGAGAGGAAGCAGAAACTGTAGGAAACATTAAAGCCTTCATGGTTTCTTTGTCAAAGTTTTTTTCAGACAATTCAAATTTTCTCAAGTTTGCTTCAATATCTGATAACGAAAAGCTTTGCTTCCTTGTAACAAGGTTTGGCATTGAAAGTGTTCTCAGTTTTGTAGAAGCTACCAAGAGGAATACATGTACCTCTGGACCAGTTTTCAACTGAAGTGATAAGTGAAGGTGTTGGGATTCCTGAAGAACTTTGTGAACTGAAGTTGAACCCTAGCATTGCAACTTCAGAATTCAAGTGTACCTTCAAGTTCAAGTGCCGGACCCTCTTCAAGTTCGAGTGCTGCCTTACCTACTGTCAAAGAGTCAAGTGTTTTGCTACTTCTCCTTGCAGAAATTGTTTATTCTGCTTCGACAAACTATGGCGGCACCATGATTTTGTGAAGATTACGTTTTTCACTGTGGACGGACTGAAAAAGGGAAGGAAGCTGTCCTTGCGTTGCAAGAAGTGTGACATTACTTACAATTAAAGTGAGTATGGGAGCAATAGCGCAAGCTTGGCATTATACATTGAACCCAGAGATGCAGTAGAGGCAACAGACTGTGTGTTGAGAAAAGTGCCACCGCTAATTTAAAAAGGGCTTACCACTGCCAGGGCTAATGGGCTTACGAGCTGATATGATGGTGCTTTTACCAGGGCTTTTCACAGCTACATGTACATGTTCTGTGTACTATCCAAGCCAACCATGCCAACAACTTGAACTTGATAAATAAATACACCGTTTTGTGCCACGCCCAGTCTCTCCACTGGTCATTTCCTTCCCCCCTTTGCCATTCCATAACATTTTGTCTTTCTGGAGAGGAGATTGTTGGAATTACATTGCAATCTTACGTAAGTGTTATTATCATGATACTTTTTAGCCCCACAAATGTGCCAACTCAGCACCTACCAACTCAACAAGTGCCTTGTCAACTCGGCACCCACTAACTCGCCACTTTGCCAACTTGGCCCCCACCAATCTGGCACCTGTACAAAAACCAACGCTGCTGCTAGCCGACTCCGCACCTCGGATAGGAAAGAATGTACCGTACACATTTTCCAACAAAATTTGAAATGTTTCTTAGTTCCAAACTCAAGTCTGTCAACATTACTGACTTCCATTGAGATGGTATTATGATGTAAAAAGTGTCCTCGTTTTCACAAGGTGCCACAACTGTAGGGGAAGTAGGCCATTTTGCAAGGCAGAGCAAGAATGACAAGTGCAGTGTAAGAATGACAACGCATGCCCATCGCACTCCCTTCCGCTAGTGCCACAATCTGTTTCTACTTAAACTGACTCGACTTTGGTGCCATTATATGAGAAGTTATTCAACACGTGGCAGGTGTTTCCCGCCAGGATGAACCGGGTAAGACCCTTCTTCTCCTTGAGCTTGAGAGAGATGCATCAGATATGGTACCCGGTACTTCCGCCCAGAGGTGAGGTGAAAGCGGTGTTGTCTGGTCAGAATGTTGTGTTTGCTGTCTAGCGACTCACTTACGTTCATACAGACAGAGTCACAGGACTTTGCAGATCTCAAAGCCTGTGGTTAGTTGTCCTCTCCTAATAAGGATGATGGTGCACAACCTACAGGGATGGAAGGGCCTGCTGTAGCATTGCAAGAGGTACATGTACATACATGTATTATGTTTTTGTACATGGATGTACATTGTATCTTGGTTTTAAGTATATGATAGGCCTATTGTTTTTGTTTCCTGTGTTTTTTCTATAGTGAATTATTATTGTCATTTAACAGTTATTACAAAGAATACATGTATGCAGCATGTGCTTAAATACATGTAATAAGCATCATGTAGGCCTGTTTTCTAAGTGTTTCTTGCACATCATTTTACGGTAACATAGTGTTTTTATCAGCAATTTGAAATAAGAATAAAACTACAATGAAATTAAGTTATTTCAATGATGTTAAATGCAATTTTAAATTTGTATGGGGAGTGGTTTCGGTTGGTGGGTTGGTTTGAATTGGTAGTGAAATGGTTTCATTTGGTTTAAATTCGTCTGAATTGGTGGTCATTGGGCCAGTTTCAATTGGTTGGTGGGTTGGTCTCAATTGGTACTGAAATGGTTTTAGTTGATTCTCGAGTTGGTTAGAACTTTAGAAGTGGTTTTTAAAAATTGGTTTGTGAATTGGTATTGAAATGGTTTCAATTGGTCATGTTGGTTGGATTGGTCCCGTTGAGAAAAGATCCGGACTTACGACACAAACCAATTGAAACCAATTGGTTTCCAATTGGTTTCCAATTGGTTATTGAATATGTTCCAAATGGTAAATGAATTGGTTCCAATTGGTGAATGAATTGGTTCCAATTGGCAAATGAATAGGTTCCAATTGGTAAATGAATTGGTTCCAATTGGTAAATGAATAGGTTCCAATTGGTAAATGAATTAGTTCCAATTGGTATATGAATAGGTTCCAATTGGTAAATGAATTGGTTCCAATTGGTAAATGAATAGGTTCCAATTGGTAAATGAATAGGTTCCAATTGGTAAATGAATAGGTTCCAATTGGTAAATGAATAGGTTCCAATTGGTAAATGAATTGGTTTAAATTGGTAAATGAATTGGTTCCAATTGGTAAATGAATAGGTTCCAATTGGTAAATGAATTGGTCGTTTTTAGTTGGGTTTTTAACGACAGTCTCACTGTACAACAGGTATGTACCGGTACATGTACATGTACCGGTATATTACTAAGAGGGTTTTCAATCTATTAGAGTTATGTATTGTAAACGTTAATTCACTCTTTTATTTCTAGTCGGTTGGATTATTGTAATAGCCTCCTCTATGGATTGCCTGACGTTCAAATATCACAGCTTCAACGTGTGCAAAATTCCCGCGCCAGACTAGTCTGTAACGCTTACAAATACTGTCATATCACCCCACTGTTTTTTTATTTACATTGGCTTCCGGTGAGATTCAGGATTGAGTTTAAAATTCTGTTAATAACTTATAAAATTCTTTATGGTCTAGCTCCCTTATATTTATGCCATCTAATCCAAAAACGATCTTCATCCAATTACAATCTCAGATCTTCCAATGACAAAACACTCCTCAGTTACTCAGCAAGTCGAACCAAGGTCACCCTTGGTGATCGTGCATTTGAGTGTGCTGCACCTAAGTTATGGAATGCACTGCCATTAAATATCCGAGAAGCAAGTAGCCTGAATGTTTTTAAACAATTACTTAAAACTCATCTTTTTATGAGAGCTTTTTATTGATTTTTTGTACCCTGTATCAGTGTTCATTGTATTGTTGAATTTGCGTATACGTCTGTTTATTTTTTATTTTTTTTTATGACTGTAATGCGCATTTGAACATATTTTAAATGGAATTTGCGCACTATAAATTAATAAATTATTATTATTATAAATACCTTTCACTTAAATACCCTAACCCCCTAGGCCTTTCGCTAGGATGCATCCTCAATCCTGCAAAATCCTTTAACTTCCTCCAAGTGAAAATCGAATACAGCCTCAATCCTCCGGCTTACTTCCACATGTCCTAAGTGACCTCCGCCTCCACCGTTGTATGTAGATCGCTTACGTGATCCTTAAGCCCGAAGGTAAATAGCCAATTCTAAATTAGAGAGTCTTGTCACAGTACTGAATAAATGTTTCAGTTGCCTTTGTTAGTTCCCAAAGTAAGTTTTTAAGGTAAGCTAAGAATTAAAATGTCCCGGTCCCGGAGCTATAAAATATGCAGCCATGGTTCATGGTGTTAGTATCTCTTGCTCATTTTGGGGTTTAGTTTCTAGCCCAAATACCTTGTGTATCATATAACTGTATGCGACTGCGTAACCTACACGTACCTTATGGGAGGAATTGTGGAATACACCTGCATGTAATCACCTGTGGACCCATACAGCGATCTCCTTGATCAACAGCCACTGCTGCTGACTTTTGGTGATGGTTATCTGTAAACAGGTCGTTTTGAAGTCCAGAGTTGTCTCCAAGTCACTGACATCCAATCGTCCGTCAGTGAACTTGCCGATGCTGCGGTAATCTGCACACCGCGGAGTCCCATCCAGACTGTGCATCATCACCACGGGGCTGGCTTCAAGTTTTCCCGACCTCAGGTAATCGTCCGGGTTTTTCTCTGACCCTGTTTCCATAACGACTCTTGAAAGGTGGGCGGGCGACTCAAAGACAAGCAGGAAGGTGTCTCCAGTGATGGGTGTCTTCCCCCAGAAGTAGCCCGGCTTGGAGCTGTAGGCAAGCTGAGGTGTGTACATACTGAAGGCTTCCATGCTGCTGTACAGCACGGCCGGTGGGTTGTCAGCATGATACTTCCTCGCGTTGTCCTCAAAGAACTTGTCAATCAGCTCCTGTTCCTTATCTCTCAGAGAGGACTTCATGCCAATGTGCTGGAAAAGCGATGGTGCATGTCTGAACGTCCCCTCCTGGGCATTTAAGTAATTGTAGTATTTCTGCAAGTAGTCAACAGGCTGGTCTTCGTAAAAGAAGAGCATGAACTGGGTCAGCCGGGGTAGCTCACTCGAACGGAAGAGTTTCCCTATAAAGCCCAGCTCCGAGAACTCCAGCGTTGTCCACTGCTTGTATGTCACCACGTCCAGGTAATTCTTAATCGACTGGACAAAGTCTGGAGAGGAGATGACATCATCTTCCAGCTGCAGGTAGTACTCCGACAGACCCTGGCAGTAACTGAACAGGAACGCATAGTCCGCGACTTGTTTGGCGCGCCACGACACGCGCCCCTTAGAGTCACCGAAATTCTGCTTGAGATTTTCCAAGGGAGGATAGAATGAGTTGGGGGCTGTGATGAGCTGCATGAAGCCAGAGGTAAAGTGTTCTCGGTAGGTGGACTCCAGTTCCACTTTAAGAAGATTGTTCAGTTCCTCATCAAAGTTGGCTGAGAATATTACGACTGTTACTGAGGCTTGTTCTTCAATGCTCGTACTTTGAATGATTGAGTCAAGAGTCTTCTCAAGATATGACTGCTGATGCCGCTTGACTGTTGGTATTCCTATCGTCAAGAAATCTGCAAGATGTGTACAAATGCTAACAATGACCAACAATAACATGGGGAAACTACACTTACAGTCCAGTACAGTGAATGGTGAGTTCAACATCATGCATCTTCCATGATTGTTTGGGTTTAATCATTTGAAAAACTTTACAGTAAACATGTATGTACAATCACTCCCTGGTAAATGCAAGACTTAAATTGGAAAGTGTCCAACACTGCTGTACATACAGGTACATATTAACCCTAAACACCAAAATACACCAAAATACAGCCAGTAATTTTGCATTATTTTGAAGAATTCAAATGCACAAGGCACAGATACAGGATTTTTGAAAAGGCCAAAAAAAAAAAGTCTTCGGTTTCTGGTATAGAGCTTGCCCAAAAAGTGGTGCAGCGACGCAGGTTTTTTTTTTTTTACCGGTTTTTTTTTTTGCTTCAAATGTGGGCTGATGACTGCAAACGGTGCCCGACTAAACTTAGTGCAAATATATGGGAGTCCAGAGAGGCCACATAATATAGCTTATTTTTGATCATAACCCATCTAAAAACACGTTAAAATTGTGCAGCAGCAGGATTCCAGTCAAACCAGTGAGTTTGGCGGTTTTGAGACATCATCTTTTATTGAAAAAAAAACTTTGTCGGTTTTGCCGACGCGCATGGCACGGTGACGCATGCGCATACCAGAAACCGGAGACTTTTTTTTTTGGCCAAAGGGCTTTCCTACCGTTTTGTACTTTGGCCCTCGAAATAAAGTATGTAAAAAAAATTTGGATGCTACCGGTACATGAACAATGGGCCTTAATTTGGACTGGCAATGTTTACATGTACATTGCACATCATTTACAAGTCGCTCTTATTAAATCTTCGTCTCGGGGACTAGTTTGTCAAATTCCAAAAATAACAGAAGCTAAAATTGACTATCCACTCTCAAACCATGTTATATTTGTAAATTATACCACTTGCCCTTCTGTTGGGAACAATTCACCCGTTTATGTCTGTATTGATTTTTACTACAAACAGAAGTCCATTATTACTTACCTTTAGTATGTTTGCGATGTCCGAGTACAATGGCTTTATTCCTATCGATGTGTGGTGAACTAGAACACAGCTGTGGCCTGGAGTCAGGAGACAAGACCTGAGCCTGCAATACAAACGGACCGGAGGATCCCAACTACATGTACATTGAGTCTCTAATAAGCAGAAAACTGTGCTTAGCACATTTTTGAGCTAAGCAGAAAATTAGCTGAGAACAATCAATATTACTGGATGTTTTTCTGAAGTACAACTTCCCGGAGCATACTATGTAGGGCATTACAATACACATAAATGTAAAATCTGTTTTGGTTTTCCACGTCGCCTGGTTTTGATTTTTGAAATTTCCCAGAAATGGCCTTCAAAACCTTTTTGTTTTCACTGACTTACTAATAACGTAAAATATGTAAAGTCGGTTAAGGGTACCTGGTTCCATAACCTGGAACCGGTTTCTGACATCAGCAGCCGGGTACTTGGCTGCCAGGTTCCGATGCATCCCTACACGTATAAAGGTCATATGAATTCTCCGCATATAAACGTAATAGTGTGAACAAAGAATGGGACTGGCGCTCCTCCCAATAGGTGAGTGCGGACATCCAGGAGCTTTGGTCATTGCCTTGTCTACAAGGTCCCAGGTCTATTTACTAAAACCTCAATGGTTTGGAGTGGCAAATTGTAACATAATACGGCCCACACCTATGTATTTGATGTGGCACCTCCCCTAATGTCCATGGTTGTTGAATAACAATCATAAGATCCATGTTATGAAACAGGCGTGCAACTGGGAAATCACACAAAAAAAGAGGAAATTCAAATTTTTCCCAGACTTTGCACAGTGTTTTTTCTATTTTCAATGGCACACATGTGAAGTAAAAAAAAGAGGAAATCAGCTGATCCGAGGAAAAGTTGCATGCCTGTATGAAATCAGTTATGAGATATCACAATCTTACATTGTCCTACATGTACCGGTATGTTCATGCAGGCTTGTACAAAATAGCCTAAATGTGTACCTGCTGTTGTACATGTTCTTTTGTGTGTGAACTTCTGAGAGTATCCGACCTCTCCAGCAATTGAACATCTGGAACAAAAGAAAAATAACGATTCAATACAATTTACTGGATTTTATCAATACACTGTACATGCATACTGACTGGAATGCATGACATGAGATTACTCACAAGATAGAATTTGCATCTGGTAATGTATGTAAATGGTGACTGCTCTATGTTCCGACACCCCTATGTTCCAACAACCTAGATTGTGTTACTCCCGGTTAGGGTTAGGGTTAGGGTTAGGGTTAGGAATAGGAATATGTGCAGTCGGAACATAGGGGTGTCGGAACATAGAGGTGTAACCATGTAAATCGCCCTAACCCTAAGCCTCCCAAATCCTCTTTGCAAAATGAAGGATTTTGAAGGATTGAGGTTACATGGCAAAAGTGTGATTGCTGATTTCAGAGGATGAACTGTGTCAAGGTCTTGGGCCAGACCTTGTGTTGTTTTTGCTCAGCCGTTCATAAATTAAGGCCTATATTATACTTGAAATCCTCCACACTGCTCCAGGATGTCACTGGCTCTGCCTCAACATATTGACAGTGATTGCTGGAGGATTTTGCAGGATTGAGGCAGTGGTCACCCCTCCAAGGACCGCATTCAAGAAATAACGGAGGATTTTGCAGGATTGAGGTTAATGCTATTCTTACATGGAAGCAGTTGGTGGATTTTGCAGGATCGAGGTTACATCCTAGCAAAAAAGCCTAGAAAGTCAGGGCTAATGTTTTTTTTCCCTTCACCGACACACTACTGTATACTCTTTCGAATCATTGTTGTCGCGAGTGATTGTGAGAATGATTCACCCACTACTTGGGGAAGGGGTTGTTTCTACAAACTGTTTATTCTTTACAGAATAAACAGTTACATGATAAATTGTTTCCAACTGACCTGATGTAGCATTCAAAAGAGTTCTGACCAGCCATATATTCAGAGCAAAGAGAATCAGAACGGCACAGATGAGCAGCCGATTCCAAGTTCTTATGTTCACTCCTTGCATCGTGTCAGAGACGTGTTACCATGGTTACACTGCTGTAAAACGACCTGGCATCTTTCATATTCTAAAAACGAATAATTCAGGCAATGATTAAAACTTCCCGCATGTTGTATGGATTCTGGAATTGAGGACAAAACGAAAATCCTACAAAAACAAAATATAATTGAATCTTGCATTGGATTTGTTCTTTTAGGCAATGATTTTTTTACAGCCTCCTCTTTGACGAGCAGGCCTACATTATGTATGAAATTACCAACATTGTTCGAGCAGCACGTGTGGCCTAATGGATGGTGCGTCTGATACGTAAGTAGTGAGAGCTCCCCGGTTCGAAACCCCTGTCGTGCTTATTTGACACTTTGTTTTGTTTTGTTTTTGATCGCAAATTCTTGTTTGCTTATTTTAAATTGACTACTAAAAAAGTACTAGCCTACATTTGTTTGCAGAGTATTTACTTTTTCCATTTCTGATGAGTGGCTTTGGAGAAATTCTTTAAAGGGAAATTAAGTCAGAAATTGTAAATGGTGTAAATTCCATCTCGTGGATACAAAGTCACAGCAACAATGTTGGCGTGGAACTAGACCCACTTACTAGGGCACTACTCCTGTTTTTGTCAAAATTATATAAGTGCGCCTGCACACAGTCAAACATGATACCGTGTGGCCGATCGCATCGCCGCGACACATGGTCGCATACATGTACACCTCATTTCAATTAACAAAAAAAACTTATCGGCCTAATGGCGGTGTAATGCACATTGCATGCATTTTTGGATACCTTGAACATTATGATTACATGTAGGTCTTATTCCCACAGAAATATATTTTAAAGCATATACATTCCAACAAACAATTTGGTACCGAAATCTGCATCTTGATAAAACAGATCGTAAAATAATTACGTGATATAAGGCACACATTATTTTTCGTGCTCCTTAATTCTGATTATGCCCTCTGATGTTTAATGAAAGTCGACCGAATGTAGCAATGTCTTTAGTTTTAGGGCCATTGATTCAATAATGTTACTTTTGCAATTGTACTTTGTATCAAGTCTGTAAGTAGCTATTGCCCATCTCTTTCAGAACCATGTCATTTGCAATATATTCCTCAAAACGGCAAGAACTGTCTTAAAACCTGGATAATAATAGTTGCTAAACTTTGTCCAGTACTTGAATGACAAATAAAACCAGAGATGTTCACTACTTACGTATATTTTGGCTTCATACTGTATGAGTATAATACTTCAATATTGAATATATTATAAACCTTTTCGTATCTGAAAAAAAATTGCCAGTTTTGCTATTGTGAGTTTCCTAGCGTTATGCATAAACATAACCCTAAGGATCATCCTAACTAGTCTGTAAGGCAATAATTTACTCTCTCTTCTGTGATTTCTTTCAAATTACTTTTTGGAAAAGCTTTTTATTTCTCCATATTAACTGCATTGAGAAGAAAGGCGATGTGACATCGATCATCGACGGTGATTACTTGACGTCGGTCCGTGCTGCATGGCGCATGCAAAAAGATACCAAGTTGGCATGGTTGGTTGCACGAATATTCGGCAGCGCGAATTTACGATAGGACCATTGATCTCCATAGTAGTAATCCTAGTACTATTACTACCGATAGGACACGCGTATACTTGCACGCAGTGAAGATTTGGAAAACTCGGACAACAGCTGGGTAGTACAGTGCGGGTTTAACGTTTGCGACCGCGCATGCGTGACGTGCGCGTGCTGTGTATGGTCAGTGTCTGTGTGTGACGAATGCATTTCAAACTTTCAAACCCTCACCGATGACTACGCGTGCATGCACAAGATGGAGGGGGCTGTGTCCTATCCAGTCTTAGGCCAAAAAAAAATAACTTGGTCTCTGGTCAGCGCGCACGTCAATTTTAATCATGCGCGTCGATCTTTTTTTTTTCCAAAATGTTTCGCGGTAGCTCCAACAGCGCCCTCTATTTCCGCACCTCCTCAATTTTTTTTACCAAAGAGCACCAAGGATGGGAAATTGCACCAAGGCAAATTATGGAGGACACCTACTCCTAGAACTATGAGGCTCCACGTAGTGGAGCCTCATAGGTTCAGAACCCCGCAAAATTGTTGTCAGCACAAAACACTAATTAACTACAAAAACGTCCATCCCAACCAAGCATTTTCCCATAGAACCGCTGCACAGTTTGCCCCCTAAACTCCGTACAATACCTCATGACATACTCACGTTATGTGCACTCAACAAACATCGGTGGATTCTGTCTGTTTTTTGGCAAAAATGATGAAAAATATGCCCTTTCCGCACTGAGCCAACCTGACACTTGAAACGTGCACGCGCGCAGAATGATCGCAGTCATTTTCGGGTTCGATCGCTCGGAGCGCGCCGCAGGTGGTACGTACTTGCACTTGTACGCATGCGCACACTATCGTTCCGCTCCTACACCATACCCATGAGGCTCCACGTAGTACTACGTGGAGCCTCATAGTTCTAGGAGTAGGACTCAGGAGTAGAGGACACCAACATGACTAATGTACACGAGGACACCAAAGAAGCAAATTATTTAAATAGTACCCACCTTGTCTGTACAATCTAAGCTTGAAGAAAAAAAAAAAAAAAAAAAAAAAAAAAGCCGCGTGGCCGCGTCAATTCCGGAACTCTGGTCTGACCAGAGACCGAATATTTTTTTTTTTGGCCTTACTATTAAGGCAGTGTATATTTTGCTGGAGACGGCAAACCTTTAGTAAACATTAGTTTGCCGGATATGCACTGAACATGCGCAGTTACTGTTTTTTTGTACTTAAACATTTTCCGGTGACAAGTTTTAGTCAGGCTCCATGCCAAAATTATCGTTGTTACCTCGTATTCACAAGATAGGATTCAGACCATTTTATAATTTTGGACTTTAGGCCTATTTCCCTTTTTAAAAAAATCCTCCAGAGCCACAAATCTGAAAAAGAAAATGTAATACTCTGCAAAAAATGTTTGAGAGACATGTTAAAATAATAAAAGAAGAATATTCTTATTTATTTGGGGATGAGAAAAAAAACTGTAAAATGTGGTGTGGGCGGATTCGAACGCGAGTCATCCCGTTTACTAGAGCCTTTGTACCACTACACCAAACGTGCTACACAACTTTTGGTGGGAATTTAATACATCTTATAATTCAGCCCTATTTTAAAGAGTACAGCGCCTTCTGTTGATATGGATTGCCGCCGGCAAACCTTTAGTAATCGTTAGTTTGCCGTCATTACCTCCGGCAAAATATCCACTATCTACACTGTACTATTAAATGGAGATCAATGGATAGGGCATGGAACTCTTTCCGTCCATTTTTTCCCGACCTCTAAACTCTACTGTCACAAATTTTTTGGCCCCAGTATTTCATAAGTATTATCTTGACATGGTAAGATACCTATAGGGTGGGTTCAACTCCCTAAAATGTCAAACGAAAATGTGAAATTTACCGGAGTTTCTGCCGTCGGCATGTGTCTGTCATCGTTGGCTGTCGACACGCGACTGAGGGCGCTTTAATTCTTTAATTTACTTTAGACCAATCACACCATGATCACACACAGCGGGGAAAAAAAACCTGTCTGCGCCCGCCGCTCTTTATTTTATTTTGGCATCGAGAGATCTGGCAACTTTACACAATAAAAATAACCCGTTCAGTGATCTGAACCCCGACACGGGAATCACTGGTACTTAACCGGCTATATTCGTTGTGTAAAGTTGCCAGATCGAGGCTCTGCATGCCGCGCCCATGGCGGAAGTGTGAAAAGAGTGAATACTGGGCCAAACGTTTCGAGTATTTACATTCGGTTTGCTGTTAAATAACTCTTAAAATTTCAGAAGGCGAGGCCATACTGAAGGCTGTGAGTCCCCAGCAGCCTAGTTCGACGGGAAATTATTATGACTGAAAGCGTGCGCTGAAAACCAAAAAGGGATTCGAACCCAAGACCCGCGATCTGTAGACGAAGGATGTAACCACTAGCACTCGGCCATCATTCGGCTACGTAATTTCTCCTCAAAGCTATACGGCGGGATAGACACATACGGGATTGCTTCATTCATCTGCTTTCTTTGGTTCTGGACAAAAATAGCCTTTTGATAAATAACAAAAATAGCTTTTTGATAATATTGAGTCCGCCAGTACCACCGTGACGTTTTCTAGTTCTTTCTCTTTGACGCGTCGTATTACGCAACAATCAGTTGAACACTGCAATAAGCAGTTTAACTGGTGGGCAGGAAGATTTTTTTTATTGGGACAGAACCGGTACCCAAGAATCTCACCTACGACCATCTGCGGCTTATAGGATGTTTATTAATTTGGTATAGCTTAGGCCTATAAATAGGGTACACGGAACAATATAATTTGTGGTTTAGGCCAAAAAAAAAAATATTCGGTCTCTGGTCAGACCAAAGTTCCGGAATTGACGCAGCCACGCGGCTTCACCCCCCCCCCTTTTTTTTTCTTCAGCTCGGATTCTACAGACAAGGTGGGTACTATTTTGCTTTTTTTGGTGTCCTCATGTACATTGGTGGCCTCCATAATTTGCCTTGGTGCTTTCGATCATTTGCCTTGGTGCAATTTACCATTCCTTGGTGCTCTTTGGTAAAAAAAAAACTGAGGAGGTGCGGAAATAGAGGGCGCTGTTGGAGCTACCGCGGAACATTTTGGAAAAAAAAAGATCGACGCGCATGCTTAAAATCGACGCGCGCGCTGACCAGAGACCGACTTATTTTTTTTTTTGGCCTTATCACCAGGAAAACGTAATTCGACCTATTAAATCCTTAATATCTCAACTTTTAATATTTACAAAGAGTTCATTCATTTAGTCAAGTGGCTTTTGGACAGGGTCGTGGGCGACTGGTCCATGCCAATGGTATAATTCACAAGTTAGGGTATCTCTGCCAGTTCATCATATAGTGCGCGCAACCGTTGGGTAAAATCAACCATTTGGGATTGTTCATATGTCCTCGTGATTATTGCAGTCAATTAAGGTATAAATGTTGTATTCAAATAAGTATAATCCCCAATAATATACCAAAATATGGGAATAAACATATTACATGGGGCGGCTATTTACGATTTATGCAAACGAGGCACATTATTCCCCAAAGAATTTCAGGTGTCACCCCTAGTCTCTATATAGGGCCGGCTATAAGAATCTATCTGGTGCAGTCAGACACGATTCCACCCATGCATAATTAAGCCACCTGACTATTATTAGGCCTAATATAATTGCATTTCTCACAGAAAACGCTTGTTTGCCGAAAGGAACTGTTAATGCCACGGCACTTGATTGTCTTGTTCACGAACGTGCGCAAGTCACTGGAAACGATTCGTCTTAAACATAAAGGAGTCATCATGTTCAGACTTAAAAAAAAAACCACCAAGAATAGCCTTTTTAGACTTTAGGTTTTGGAGTTTTCCTACCTTGAATCGGTAAGCATAGCCTACATTTATTGTTATTGCCATGCAACGCCAGATTGTTTCTTTATTATACACACCAATTGCAACTTTTTGAGGTGTATTATATTCAGTTAATTTCTTTTTTTATTAACGCTGAAGGAGCTACACGTTAATGTGGCCGGTCATCTGCATGTAAATAGATTGCAATTTTGGGGGATACGTGGCAGATCACTGGTATCAATAATGCATAAAAGTGGACATAAAATCGACCCATGTGAAACGCCAACGAGTAATTGGCAGGACCTTAATTGCCATCGATTTTTACAGACTGTATATTGGGTATGACTTAAACCAATTGAATACAAAAGATGACATATTCAGGTTTTTTTTTTAAATCTATTTAGCAGGATCATAATCAACACAGTGTTTTACCGCGATCTATAAACACAATACCTGTTTGAAGTGGGAATGAAATAATCTTGTCGTTACACGCAATCATGAGAACGAATATTCAAAACGATGTCTGCAAAAATCAGCTACGCGAACGAATCGGAAGTAGGCCTACAACTAAGCATTTGGATTTTTATGGGCCCCGAATTGTTGTATAACATCAATTTTGGTATAAGTTATGAGCTACATTATTATAGAACGTGTAATATATTTCTGTATCCCCCTCAAAGCCATCCTATATTTATAGGTTTTCCCGGCCAATTTCCTAAAATGTTCACTTACTTCTGAAAATCCGTCATTCATTTTCGTCTGAATTTGAGAATCGCTCTGAACACTTGCTTCGTTTTCGCTACCAGAGCATTGTTCGATTCCATTTCAGTTCAATCAATTAAGTGATTGAGCAGCACCTTCCGTTTATGTCCATTAAAATTTGCCAAAATTGTCCGGGAAATCCTGTATTATAATTTTGAATAAATAATTTTCTAAGCAGGCCTATAACCCATGGCTCAAAACGTGAATGCTTATGTAGGTGATCTCCGGTATAATAATTCATACTATTTTTAAGACGCTTTACATTACATAAAAAGCGCTGTAAACTGAAGACAAATACACACATTATTAAAAAAGAAAAAGAAAAAGAAAGTCATTAATAATTTCATTAATTAGTTTAGCAATTAATTAAAAAATGTACTGTTTATAGTATACTTTGAAAAAAAATCATGTTGAGAAAAATACTCCATAAACAATAATACACATGATGCAAAGTGGATAGAATATGGGAAAATTGTTCACAACACCCCTATCTCTGAATCCATAGATGTTTCTTTAAAGCTCATTTATGGCATAATATAGGTTTTCCCGGCCAATTTCCTAAAATGTTCATTCAGTTATGAAAATCGGTCATTCATTTTCGTCTGAATTTGAGAATCGCTCTGAACACGCGTTTCATTTTCACTACCAGAGCATTCAATTCCATTTCAGTTCAATCAATTTAGTGATTGAGCAGCACCTTTTGTTTATGTCCATTCAGATTCGTTTACAAGATTTCTTTTTCACTTTAAGAGTGCGATTTCAAATATTCACCATTCTATTTCACTTTAGTTTAATGCCATCGGCACCAGATACAACTAGGGGTTTCTTTTTCATTAACCGTCAATCAAATTAGCTGTACCTGAAATCAATTTAGAAAAGGAATGCTTGCGTAAATGAATGCACATGACAATGAAAACGATTGAACTTTCGTTGAATTGAAATGAGATAAAAGACGTGCATTCAAAATCAGACGAAAACGAATGACCGATTTTTAGAAGTGAATGAACATTTCAGGAAATTGGCCGGGAAAACCTATACTTTAAACCGTCAAAAAAGGGGTTTATGCACTTTTATGAATTTCCCCATGAAGGCTGATCACACGAGAGGTGCTATTAATCAGAGAATAAACTGCATTAACATGTTACATATCTGCATTGATTATACCAAAGAAAAAGTTATCATATTAGTGCATGGTTCAAATTTTGACTTTTGAAGGGGCGGGGGCAGGGGCGGGGGAGGGGCTCCATCATGAACGAATTTCGGGGTTCACAGGAAACATCGAGCTCTGTGAGCGCTAGTTTCGTATGCAGCCGCATAGTTGTTCGCATAAATCATTCTGCGCAGACATGCCGCAAAATCGCGTCCGATGTAAACAACTAGTTTTTGTTTGTCTTTGCTCAGGAACGGTAAGACATTAAGTTTATTTATTTTCAACCAGACCTTTGAAAAAGGCTAAGTAAACAATCGAAAACATGACATTTTCGGGGATTTCAGGCCGTAATACCCCCTTTAATCTGCGAAACTAAAAGATGAAGACTTGAAACACGTCTAATGCTAGTGCTCAACAATTTTCAAGTCTGGGAACCAGCCTCAATGCATACCAAAATAATAATTTATTGAAGATTGTCACCAGCCTGCACTGCCCTGACGTACATCATTCAGAAATTTTGCACGTCAGAAAGAAAGGCATGAAAAGTATCAAAATGTCTTCATTTTGCCTCCGTTAACATCTCCGACGTGTACAATGAGCTGTTGATTATCAATCTGTAATTTTCATTCTCCCCTCTGGTGCCCTTTATGTGATTATCATGGCCGTACTGAGGACAATTTCCGATGTTTTACCGGTGCTTTTTCTCATCGTCGTCTTCGGATTTTTCAGTGCGAGTTCGAATGGGGTGAGGCTGCCATCGCAAGCATTGTGAGTAGAATTCCTGAAAATACATGTAAACATGACAAAGTAGGCCCACGGCCGGCCACACGAAGGCCATATTGGGGAAAACTTATGTTGCAACCTGACGCCACTTTTTTTTCTTCATATATCAATCATCATCTCAATGAAGTTCAGTCATTGCAAAAATGATGATAAGACATGAATCTGGGACTGAGAAATATTTCCAATTTTGTTACAAAAATGTTAAGAATAAGAATGGACTTTCATAACTTTGTACGACGATTGTGTAGTGTAGGGCCCCTGTTTTGTTTTGAACAAATTAGAGTAAAACATGTTTTTTATTGCTCAAAAATCATCTTTACAATCAAAAGCAGACTTTTCTCATTCTAATAATGACACCCGTTTTGCAATTTTGTACAGTTTCTTGGGGTAGAAATCATGGGAAAATGTCCATACTCGATCGTCAATTTATCTACATATTAATTTTCATCTCACCTTTTGATTTCATCCAAGAGGAATCCAGGAAGCTGTGTTAATGCGAAAAAAAATTAGACAAAATGTGTTTTTAGAGCACATTTTGTATGCACACGTCGTGCAGAACTAAGTAGAAGCAGCCGGTGTCAACAGCAGTACGTTATACGCATGACATCGACAACCATGACGTCGCATGAGCCGGCCAATGATAGTGCAATACGTCATTATGAATATTTTCTCATGAATATTTAGTTTATTTCATTGGCTACTTCAAATACGTCCAAAGATTGATTATTGCAACAGCAATCGTGCGCGGCCTAGCGGTTAAGAGTCTCATGTTTCAAGCAAGAGTCCGAGGTCCGAATCTCGATGAAGTAAATAGAAATAAAGGAAAGGAAAGGGTGAGAGTAGAGGAGGGAAAGTGGAGGGAATAACCATAAAGGATGCAACTTTTGGCGCGTGAAAATTAATTTAAAAAAATGGTGACCGAGTATGGAATTTTTTCCGAAATGATGATTTTCCAGTGCGGTTTGTGCCTCGCGATTCAGCGAGCCATGTGTTCTCATGGTACATCGCGTGGTGTTTCGCCATCTTTATTTTCGGATTGCGTGTTGTCACCGTCATCGTCATTTTACCCCAAAATTTCCCTAAAAAAAAATCAAAACCCTGCCCTCTATCTATGACATACCTGTTTATTGAGAATGTCGCCTCGGCCTACTAAGTACTAGTACTAGTTTGGTTATTCTATAATAAAAAGTGGATTTTGTTCCCCTTTTTAACTGGGCCCTACACTACACGATTGCCCTTTGTACACAACCGCTGAAGTGGCGTCAAGTTGCAACATTTTTTCCATAATAGGCCCTATATGCTAAAAAGTGAAATTTAGCATGGAAAATATTGAAGCATTGTAAAAAATGTTGCAACCTGATCCCACTTTCTAAACAGAAAAAAGACATTTTTTTTTCTTGTACACTGTAAGTTGTTCCTCAGACTCGTGAGTAATACTTTCGTTCTGTGTTATTCTGTGTCAATTCAACACGATTTTGGGCCCGGCCCTTACAGATTGAAACAATATTTGGTGTGATGATTGGCCTAGAGATGAGATAAGAAACCCCCAGAACTGAAATTTTTTGTAGGCCTAGTTTGGCTTGTTAGATTTTGAGATACGGGTCAATGAAAACTATAGCACCTAAAAAACCAAGTCATGCAAGTTGTACATCATATTAAAGCTTTTGAATGGCCTCCATTTCATAAATAAACCCAAAATCGTACCACAGAGAAAATGCGTAACGAAATGATCTTTAAACTTGAATAACATGTATGAAAAACAATATCCTCAAATTTCAAAAAAAAAAATAAAATTCAGATGGTAGTTTATGATGTAAGCAACAATCTTGGAAAAGTTTGTAACAGGCGCTCTTAGAGTTTTCAAGTTATGATTTTTTAAAGATAGGCCCTAGCATGTCCAGGAAAAAAAACCTAATTTATTGGGAAAAATTGGAAAAAAATTAAAGCAAGCGCCCGCCGCCTTCTTTTTTCCCTTAAAGCGGGTACGAGAAACTACTTAATTTTGTTTACTTAGCCCAAATCATGATTTTTTTTTTGTGAAATCTGGCCAAAAAAATGCACTTTCGGTGTCTAGATCTCATTCAAACACAGCAGCCCTTTTGTTCAGTAGTGATGCTCAGCATCGATACATTTTGGAAAAAGAAGCCCTCCTCACAAGCTGCTTACATACATTGATTCAGGCATGCAACTTTGTCCTCGCTTCAGCTGATTTCCTCCTTTTTGATTTAACACTTAAGTACTTATGCCATTACAAATTTAAAAACACTGTATAATGTCTTGTAAAGATTGGAGTTTCCTCTTTTTTTTGTTGCTTCTTCCAAGTTGCATGCCAGATGAATAGGTAGTGAAGGATGGTTATAAAGGGACGTATATGACATATGTGCATTAATTTCTGTATGTTTTCTTTATTGTTTCTAGAGTTGCAAAATGGTCTCAAGATATAAGCAAGGAACTGAAGACAAAACTAGATGCAGCAACTGGAGTTCAACAAGTTAAAATGGTACGTACACGTACATGTACCAGTGAAATTTAGGCTCTGGCTTTCCCTGACTTTTATTGACAATATGAAACAAATATATGTGCTTGGGAAAATAGTTTATTCACACAATGTGCATGGAACATGTGCTGGACATGGGGCCTACGTAGTTCAGTCTCTTGTCAATTCACCAAAAAAAGTCAAGTTTAAATGTAAAAATAAAAGTCGGTGGACCAATTTTGTACAATTTTATATCGGAATGACCTGTCAAAGAAATTTCCCGAAAACAAGAATTAATTTTTTTGCCATTCAGAAAGTGAAAGGGAAATACCAAAGCATGAATGAATAAATTTCCACACTTTGATCTTTTTGAACTTTTGAAGGGAGGGGGGATATCAAACTTTCTGTATTGGCATACATGTACATGTACAAATGTATTTCACTGTACATTCATGTAAATGTGGAGGTAGCCGGAGTTTTCCATGATTACAAATTTATGCAATTGAGCTCCCTTTACTTTATTGTGTATATTTAAAGGGACACTGCATCCTGGAACAGCCCAATTGGGCTACAAAATGTGCTTTGAAAGAAATGATGTTAATCGGAAACAACATATAAAAGTAGGATAAACATGTAAACATCCACACAACTTACATGACTTAGTACGAGTAACTAGGACTCTACGGATCCGATCGCTTTTTTAACATGTGGACATGGTCGGGCGATAGTGGACGCCCGACCATACATGTCCAAATGTTAAAAAAAAGCGATCCGTAGAGTCCTAGTTACCTGGACAACACACAACTAGCCTTTAAAAACTGGGCGTGTTTGTGTTATTCATGTATTATGCGTGCGAGAACGACTTTCAGGTCCACATTTGCGACCCCAAAAAGTCGAGGCGCTTGGGTGCTAGTTGTGATTCCATCCCTAGAGTGTTCACCTTTTGCGGACGTGTAAGAAACCATATTTTGTGCATAGGTGATTGGTCACTGCTGTTGCGAGCACGTGCTGAAGAGACACACACGTGTTTATCGTACATGGTGAGAACGACAGGAAAAACGTATTCGTACTCCGTTGTGTTCGATGTAAACAACCATGTTTTTTTCCGTCTTTGCTTGGGAACAGTAAGACATTAGGTTGGTTTCCTTTCAACCAGGTGTTTGAAATTAGATAAATTGTAAGTAAGCAATCCAAAACATGACTTTTTTTGGGATTCCAGGACCTAGTTTCCCTTTAATGTATTTGTCTTGTGTACATTGGGCATGAGATTCTTCAGACTTTTGTCTGACGTAGACCTTTTTAATCTGACCGAAAGACTTTGTCAGAAACAATTTAGACCTTTCATTCAATTGTCAGACTTTCTTTTAAATTGACGATCTCGTCCCTGATACTACATCATGTACGTAACATGTGTATAGATGGAAAGATCAGCTGCACACAGATACTTAGCATGCTTAGTAATAGTAGTAGTATTAGTACAGTATGTAGTCCAGGACAAATGTTGACTACTAGTACATGTGATGTACATAGATATGCCTGACTTGCATGAACTGGAATGCAGTGAGTACAGTTCCTGTAGAAAGCTCATTACCACTGCACACCTTATTAATTTATGACACAGTTAATCTTGAGCATCTAGACACACAGTTAATCAAGCGGAACCGACAGTGCTATTACTAGTGTCAGGTAAATTATGATAATGTATGTACATGACGTGCGATCCAATAGAGTGAGATGATCAGTGAGTAATGTAGATTGTCTCGTAGCGTAATCGTATAGGCAGAGCCATCCACTTAACATTGTAATTATGTGTGTTTGTGCATACAAATTTGTAGGTGTACAGTACCAGCACATGTGTGTGAAAATGGCAGGACGAATTTAGATATGACATTTCACTGTACATGCAGGTACATGTACATGTACATGTATGCACTGGTACATGCACAATGTCATGTACTGTACATGATTATATAACTGACATACAGATCCTAGTCATTTGATTGGTGGAACTCACATCACGTGGCATTCGTTATTGCTCCCATTCATGCCACGGCTCAAAAAGTACTATCCGCCCATGGGGAATGGGAAATACTATTCAACAGTTAGGATCATGACGCGGTATTTGTGTGCAAATGCATGCTGGTGTGCGCGTTCAGCGTTGTGCGTAGCGCGTATTGTTCCAAAGAGCCAGCGCTACAGCGTTGGGTTCAAACATTTTCGTGAAGGGGTGGTTTGGAAGAGACAAATACATTTTCCTCTAGGTTTGTATTGAAATAAAAGTTCAGATATATCAAATGACAAGGATCTATATGTCAGTTATATAAAACAAATATGGAGTGGCTTTAAATTGTGAAATGGGAGGAATATTATCGCTCGGTAAAATCTGGACTTTTCCATTGCACTCGGCTTCGCCTCGTGAAATGGAAAAGTCCAGATTTTACCTTGCGATAATATTCCTCCCATTCCACGCTGAGCCACTCAATATTTGTATACTATACATACATGCAATGTACAATATGCAGTGGTACAATGTAAGCAATACCAGTACATGTACAGTGTTTACAGTGCTGTTGGCATTCATTTCCATATATTTGCATGACAGTTATAATTGATGCGCATGTACCGGTACATGTACATGTACAAGTTCTACATGTGTTTGAAAGCCTACATTTTTGTATTTTCACAAGTCATGCATACATGTACTATTTACATTGTTTTTGTACATGTTCATACATGTACCTGGTACATGTACATGACATGTACATGAACATGTACGTACATGTACATGTACCGGTACATTCGAACATAGCGTACGAACAATTACATACATGTACATGTAGGTACAGTTTAATTCAGCTCAGTGCATACATTTTTTTTTTAATATCACCAATATACATGATTTTGTGTGCGTGCTGGGAGGGGGGGGGGGCATGGGTTGGAAGGGAACAGAGAGTTACACTGTACTCAATTTTGCGTGTCAAAACATGTTTACCAGAGGATGCAATTATACCGGCAGCATTCAATGAACAAAATCCACCAACACACAGTGCATTTTGGGCTGTACTATTGTCATGATTGTAAACATGGTAAAGTCTCAAAAATCGTGTGTCAAATGTACATGTACATGTACATGTACCATTCATGTACATACCGGTACATGTACATGTCAGGCAGGCAACTTGTTCTCGGATCCACTGATTTCCTTGTTTTTTACTTCTCATGAATGCCATTACAAATTGAAAAATACTGTACAAAGTCTTGTGTGGTTTGGAGTTTCCTCATTTTCCCCTAAATTCCTGATTGCATGCCTGACATGTAGAGTGTCACAAAGTCCACAGTACACGATCAGACACGGCACATCCATTTTTTTTGTTCCGACAAAAAATTATAAATTGTTGAGAACTTACATTCTTACTTATTATTAAACGGAACACATAGTGTATTGGTGCTGGTCCCAGATGGCCAGCGTATATTCCTCTTTAATAACCTTAACTGCCCTGAATCCTTCAAAATCCTCTTTGCTAAAGTGGAGGAATTTGGAGGATTGAGGTTGCATGGCAGAAGTGCGTTAGTGATTTTGTAAGATGCACCTTGTCAAGGTCTTGGGCCCCTGACCTTGTGTTGTTTTTGCTCAGCCATGCATAAATATAGGCCTGGATTATGCTTGAAATCCTCCGTACTGCTCCAGGATGTCACTGGCCAAGCCTCAATTAACATATTGACATTCACTGCCGCAGGGTTTTGTAGGATTCAGGCAGTGGTCACCCCTCCACTGACCATATTCAAGAAAAAATGGAGGATTTTGCAGGATTGAGGCTACATCCTAGCAAAAAAGCCTAGGGAGCTACTGTAGGGTTAAACCTGACTCACCAACTCACTGACTGTACATAAGTGTACATGTAACTTGTGAATTAGACTTGCTTGAGTCTCAAATTGATTTAAAGGGAATGTACATCATTGGCTTTTGCTGTAATTTTCAGAAATGAACTATTTGAGGGGTTAGTATAATAGATCAAATATTGTTTAACTGACATGTTTGAAGTTTTGTGTTCGTAAATTGCATGGCAGAAGTGCGTTAGTGATTTTGTAAGATGCACCTTGTCAAGGTCTTGGGCCCCTGACCTTGTGTTGTTTTTGCTCAGCCATGCATAAATATAGGCCTGGATTATGCTTGAAATCCTCCGTACTGCTCCAGGATGTCACTGGCCAAGCCTCAATTAACATATTGACATTCACTGCCGCAGGGTTTTGTAGGATTCAGGCAGTGGTCACCCCTCCACTGACCATATTCAAGAAAAAATGGAGGATTTTGCAGGATTGAGGCTACATCCTAGCAAAAAAGCCTAGGGAGCTACTGTAGGGTTAAACCTGACTCACCAACTCACTGACTGTACATAAGTGTACATGTAACTTGTGAATTAGACTTGCTTGAGTCTCAAATTGATTTAAAGGGAATGTACATCATTGGCTTTTGCTGTAATTTTCAGAAATGAACTATTTGAGGGGTTAGTATAATAGATCAAATATTGTTTAACTGACATGTTTGAAGTTTTGTGTTCGTAAATGCTTGAAAAAACAAGAAAAACAAAAATGTTTCAGTAGTCTGGTTCCCTGAAAATTTGGAGCAGTAGTTGAAAAATAGTTAGGTTTTTCCAACGGTGGTCGGCCGACCACCGTTGGAAATGTATACAAAACTACAATTTTCTTGAAAATGACTTGACACCAGGTGCCATAATTTTACAGGATGCTTTAGACTGTCAACATCCAAGTAAGGTATTTCGTAAAAACTTAGTAGTTTTATTTTTTGATGTTTGCAAATGTTGTATATTCCCTTTAAATGTTTGAAATAGGGTTATCCCATATTGCCAATGAATGGGCTCAATACAGCCCATTGCAGGAAAAGACTTTCTGTGAATAATCGCCAATCTGTCTTGAATAGCATTTTGTGTACTGTGGAGCAAGCTTGAACCTTCAACCCCTTGGGTATTTTTTGCTAGAAAGTATCCTGAATTCACCAAAAACCATCAATTTTGTCATGCCAAAAAATGTTGGTGTCGTGAGTCCATCAGAGTCCACCAGTGTCAGAGTGAGTCCATCAGAATCCACCAGTGTATACCTCGTACACACCAAACATAAAGCCAAGGAGTTAAACTGTTGAGATCCTGAATCCATCAAAGGTCCCCAACTGCTCAATGTGGAGGTACCCTGAATCATCAAATCCTGCAGTACCGCTAGGCTTACTGTCCTGAATCAATCAAATCCCCAACTTGTTCAATATGAAGGTATCCTGAATCCGCCGAAATCCTCCAAAACAGGGGTGGGGATTCTGATGGATTCAGGTACAGAAGGATAAATACTAGGCTCTCCTTGTCTTGTATGTTGTACTGTAGTTTGTCATTGACAGGGTACCGTGCAATAGCTTGCATGGAAATTGACAAAACAAAAACAAAAAAACAAAAAATATTTTTTAACATGCCATTTCTTTCTTCCATTTTAGCTGTATGAAGAGCAGAATTTTCCTGCAGTGTATGTCAACGGATCGGTCCTGGTCCAGAAGGTGGCCAACAAATGGCAAGAAATGCTCCAAGACAAGATGGTGGCTGTTGAGGTGAGTCCTGATGCATCCCTGCACCCTCCCATATCCTTCAGCATCCACCAGGAGCTTTCGGAGGATTTTGTGGGAAGGGTGGAAGTTGGGCCCATCAGCCACTGTTACTCTACATTAACCCTTCTATGCAACATCCATTCTGAGCCAAGTAGTCCTTCCACATATAACACCCCTAAGGTTTTCTTCAGGCACCCTGCTGAATGCAACAATATCCAACACGATGAAATGAGAACCCTACTAAATGCAACAAACTGCAACAGTGGATTCCGTTGCATTATGCAGTGAACCCAGTATACCCAGGCCTTGGCACCAAGCAGTTACCCTGCTAAATGCATCCAAATGCAGCAGTGGATTCTGTTGTATCGCCTTGGTACTATGAGCTGTTGGATTCTGTTGTGTCGCCTTGGTACTATGAGCAGTTAACCTTGCTACTGGTATATGCAACAAGATACAACAAAGCATGGGGACTACAGTTGGCTGCTAAATGTAACAGTATGCAACAATTTTTTTTTTTACCATTGTTGTTTCCGTTGCATTTAGCAGGGTCAGGGTTAGGCTTGATGCCCTCCAAAGTCTCTATTTTACAAAGAATGTTACAACAACCAGACCTGAGTACAACCATCTTCTACCAGTGACTTATTGTAGCTTTGTACCACTGTATAATATTAAGTGTGTTTTGATGTTACATGTACATGTAAGTTTCACACATGTTTGTGTATGGTTTTACAATCCACAGAACATTGTATTGAAGTTGGAAGACGCCTATAAGAAACACAAGCGTAATTACAGCATAGTGGTGAGTATAACGACAGCATGGATGTGCATCTAGAGTAAACCCTTTTAAACCCATAAGATCTTTGAATAAGCCGGGGGAATACTTATTTTGGGGTGTTTTTGGGGGTTTTTTTTGGGTCTTTTTTATTGGGGGGGGGGGGGGGGATTTGAAGAAGTGGAATCACCAGTAATTTGTGAGAAGCTTGTCCAACGATTGTTTATTACCTTGCCACGCCTGTAGGAAGATGATGTACAGTACTACAACGCCAAGAATGCGTCCAAAATGCCGCTGAATCTGACCTACCTGGATAATTTCAAGTCGGAAGTCAACACCAACTACAGCGCTGTGCAGATCCCAACGGATATTTGGGTTGGAGGTAACCTCATGTTTGGCCTTTCCACACATTCTATGACTATTTTGGTACAAAAGTTATACCCTAACCCCCTAGCCCCTAGCTAGGAGCCATCCTCCATCCTGCAAATTCCAATTGCCACCATATATACATGTATTGGATCCAGCCTCAGTCATCCGTTATTTCTTGAATTTGTTCAGTGGAGGGGTGACTATTGCCTCAATCCTTCAAAGTCCTACATCAATCACTGTTAATGGGTTGGCAACATTCAGAAGCAGTGCAGATGATATCGAGCGGAATGTAGGGCTCAATGCATGACTGAACACACATGTACACGTAAACTTTGCAATATACAGCCTACGAACTTAATTCACTCCAAAATCAACGAGCACTATTTTTGTGATCTTCTGCCTCAATCCTCCAATATCCTCCAAAACTGCCTGGAGGATTAGCCCGACCCCTGGGCCCTTTTTGCTGGGAACCATCCTCGATTTTCCAAAATCTTCCAAAGTTTAGAATTTATGTTCAAATGAAGGATACCCACTGCCTTAATCCTTCACAATCCTCCGACAGTCCTGCCTCTCAAAATGCATTCATCTTCAATCCTCCAAAATAATCCTCTTCTTCAAACACCACTCATCCTCAATCCTCCAAAATCAACTGATACTGAATGTCCATGTACCCACAATCCTCCAAAATGGTTTGCTTATTCATCCTCAATCCTCCAAAATCCTCCAAAACAGCACCGGAGGACTTTGGGGGATTTAGGAGGGTTAGGATTAAAAAAACTAACAAAGAAAACACAAATCTATGATTTGTTTACTAAGCTGATGAGGAGAGTGTTTATATTACATTGTAATCAAATGTGACCAAGACGTAAACGAAACATTTCGCCTTCCCCCATTCCCATCCTCCAACCAGATAACAAGATCTTGAACGGTATCGAGGCAACCAATTCTATTGATGAAGTCTTCCGTGAGAACTACCAGAAAGATCCTCAGCTTTTGTGGCAGTACTTCGGCAGCGCCGATGGGTTCTATCGCTCTTACCCAGGTAAATGGTTTCTTCTGGTTCCCACTACTTACCTTAAACACAAGAAACAAATCTTGCACAATTTTTGTCGCCATATGCAGCTGTATTTATGCGCATGAAAAGAGGCCGAAATTGGAAGAGACACGATTTGGTTAGCTGTGTAGTACAAGGTGAGTAAAAAAAAAAAGGAAACTCCAATGGCAGGACCAATTAATTAATGAAGTTCTGCATGTACAATGTAGCACTTTCAAAATCTAGGATATGAAAGCCCAATTAATAAGCTTTCTCTAGTATAAGAATCATTCAAATCACTCATGTACTTTTCAAGTTACAGAATTTTTAACACAAACAACGTTTTGAAATTCTGTCCACGGATCACATAAAGGTAAGTGTTCTTTTCAGCAAAACAAAAACAATTCACATAGGGATGTATAAAATAAGAAACCTTTGCGGGTAACACCATGTGGAAAGAAATCTCTTCTTGGAAGAAACGTTGAGTTCTACACTCAACCAACCAGTTCTTTTCAGAACCACACTTCTTCCAAGCAGAGATTTCTTTCCACATGGTGTTACTCGCAAATGTTTCTTATTTTATCCTATCCGCCATGCAAAGCTTCAAGAGTTATATGGGGATGTATGTGAATTGTTATCATTTTGCTGAATGAACACTTTACTTTTTTTGTGATCCGTGGACAGAAGTTTAAAACGGTGTTTGTGTTCAAATTTCCGTAACTTGAAAAGTGCATGAGTGATTTGAATGATTCTTGTACTAAAAAAAAGCTTTTTAATTGGGCTTTCATGTCCTAGATTTTTAAAGTGCTACATGGAGAACTTCATTAAAAAAACATTGTCCTGTTATTGGGTTTCCATATTTTTTACTCACCCTGTATATTATATTTTGTATTGGACATCTACTTTGAGAAAAGAACACCGTAAGTGTTTTGATATTGGGTACGCATTTTTTTTCAATTTCAGATTTTTTAAACCTGTCATTTAAGTTGCATAGAAAAACAAAAATTATTTTCAGGAATTGCATGCTTTTCTGTGTTCTGAGCATTTCATTAAAAAAAAATTGCCCTTCAAGACTTTTGTTAACCTTTCTTTAAGTTTCTTTATGTTAATGTTTCTTTATGTTTCTCTCTGCAGCGAGGTTGGATAGGGTGTGCTATTCTGGTACATTGAGTATGACATTTTAGTCACATGGTACAAGTACCACATCACATGACGTTTGAATGCGCATCTGATGTGTCGACACCAAAGCAATACAATGAAGTTGCCATGAAAATTATGGCTTCTCCATGGTCTGCCCTGATTGGCCAATCATACTTTCAATGAACCAGAACTAAGCCCCCTCTATTGTTCGGAAGATTTGAAATGATTGAAGTTAAAGATCACTGTCTCTGCAGTTTTTCAAGTTCCCAAAACAAATTCAAATTAAATTGGTATGTTTTCATCGTTACAAAATGTATTCACTTGTGAATGAGACATCTGAAGTGAAAATACACATAGGCACTCAGTTTGGTCATGAAATGTAAGTACAATCTTTAGTACTAAATCTTTATATGGCTGAGTATAAACAACTCATGGTCCAGCCCAAGACCTTGACACAGTGTATCCTCCAAAATCACCCACACATTTTTGCCATATAGCCCTAATCCTGCAAATCCTCCATTTTGCAAAGAGGATTTGGGAAGGTTAGGGTTAATGTAAACATACAAGCATGACAAGTTGGAAGTTATTTAGGAGAATGAAACTTTTTGCAGATCATAGACAGTACATCTTTAGGTTGACCTTTGAACTTTCCTCAACTTCCCCCCCTTCCCACACAGCCAAAGAAGCCCTACGGACCCAGCCTACCGATTTTGACCCTCGCCTGAGAAGCTGGTAATCTTCTCTCATGAATAAACACGAACTAAAAACAGGCTTACCTTGCCTCGCTTGGTCATGATCATATTTCTTGCATCGATGATGACCACGTCATTGGTTATGCCACAGTTATCAGTAAGGCTCTTTACAGTAGCTTCTGACTTAATATTAATCAGGCATGCAATTTGATCCGTTTGATTCGGATCCGTTGATTTCCTCCTTTTTTACTTCTCATGAATGCCATTACAAATTGAAAAGTACTGTACAAAGTCTTGTGTGGTTTGGAATTTCCTTGTTTTTTCTAAATTCCCAGTTGCATGCCTGATTAAAGCATGAGTGCAAACCTACAGGTAGGAGATATCTTAACCGTCAAAAGTCAAGCGGAATCTCCCCCCCCCCCCCCTCGACTTTTTCCGCAATAGCGTTTAAAAAAAATGTTGCGACCCGAGCTGTTATGACTTTTTAGCCTCGAGCCTTGCGCATCTTTTGACACCCAAAATATTAAAATCGGACCAGGGGTTGTCGTGCAGCGAAACATTTTCCGGCGCTACGTGCCGTGAAAATACGTCGTGTACACAGACCAGAACTACCATTCGTACATATGAATAATTAATTAGCCATAATTCCTAAACCCTTTTACCTATAGTCATGAAATTTCTCGGGTATGTTCATGAAGAGTTGCTCTATGCATGTACCGAGTTTCAAAATTGTTCGTCACTCGATGGCCGAGATCTTACCGGGGGGGGGGGGGGGGGGAATTCCCCCTCCCCCGAGGATTCTTTCACACTGAGTGGATCATTCTATAACCCAACACAGCAGTCCATAAACTCTCACAATATACGCACATAGTTCTTTTCTCTGTCAATCAAGTTACGAATACACAGCTATACAAGTCTCGACTTTGTACAACTCGTCCTTTTTGTTCACCAGCACCACTATCTCTGTCCACGGACTATCAGAGGATTCTATCACACTGAGTAGATCATTTTGTAACCCGACAAAGCAGTCAGACCACCATGTACGCCCACAGTTCTCTACTCTGTGAATCAAGTTTCTAATTCACAGCTATATAAGTCTCAACTTTGTACAACTCGTCCTTCTGGTTCACTAGCACAACATTCTCTACCCATGGACTATCTGAGGATTCTATCACCTTGAGTAGATCATTTTTTAACCCGACACAGCAGTCGGACTACAATGTGCGCACACAGTTCTCTACTCTGTAATTCAAGTTTCTAATACACAGCTATATAAGTCTCAACTTTGTACAGCTCGTCCTTCTTTTTCACCAGTACCATGTTCTCTGCCCATGGACTATCTGAGGATTCTATCACACTGAGTGCATCATTCTGTAACCCGACTCAGCAGTTCTCAAACACTCACAATGTACGAACACAGATCTTTTCTCCGTTAATCAAGTTTCTAATACACAGCTATACAAGTCTCAACTTTGTACAGCTCGTCCTTCTTGTTCACCAGCGCCACGTTCTCAGCCCACAGACTATCTGAGGATTCTATCACACTGAGTGGATCATTCTGCAACCCGACACAGCAGTCTATAAACTCCAAAAATGTGCGTGCACAGTTTTCTACTCTGAATCAAGTTTCTAACACACAGCTTTAATATCGACTTTGTACCAGTACAACTCATCCTTCTGGTTCACTAGCACAACGTTCTCTGCCCACGGATTATCTCAGGATTCTATCACACTGAGGGGATCATTCTGTAACCCGACACAGAAGTCATACCACAATGTACGTACACAGTTCTCTACTCTGTAAATCAAGTTTCTACTACACAGCTATATAAGTCTCAACTTTGTACAACTCAACCTTCTTGTTCACCAGTACCACTGTCTCTGTCCACGGACTATCTGAGGATTCTATCACACTGAGTAGATCATTTTTTTAACCTGACACAGCAGTCTCACCACAATGTACTCACACAGTTCTCTACTCTGTTAGTCAAGTTTCTGATACACAGCTGTATAAGTATCAACTTTGTACAACTCGTCCTTCTTGTTCACCAGTACCACTATCTCTGTCCACAGACTATCTGAGGATTCTATCACACTGAGTAGATCATTTTTTAACCCAACACAAAAGTCATACCGCAATGTACGCACACAGTTCTCTCTTCTGTGAATCAAGTTTCTAATACACAGCTTTATAAGTCTCAACTTTGTACAACTCATCCTCCTTGTTCATCAGTGCCACGTTCTCTGCCCATGGACTATCTGAGGATTCTATCACAGCTTTTGTCTCTAGGTCCCTGACAACGATGCTGTCTTGACCTATCTTTAATTGGCCTGGCATCCTCAGTGTCTATGTGATGTTTAACTACACCAGTTCTACTAACAACATGGTTACCTCTCGAAAAGACATCTAGGTACTCATCCAAGCAATTCTTATTTTGGCCATGATGTTTGCCTTCTATGTTACCCTTGCATCACTTGAACAAGCTTTTCATGTGCACAGGTAACTCTTGCTCTCCCTGTCTAGGCTTGTCCGCGTTTTTCTCAATGGCTGTGAGACTTACTGTAGAAATCATTCCCACAGTGGTCCCTTTGCTAGCCACTCTTTTCTCTTTGACGGGGTTAAACACCCGCAGTGGAACTAACTGGCTCCATGTCTCGACAAGGGTTCAGGCATGAACCCTCTCTGTGCCAAGTCTCCACCACCCTCCTTGGTTCGATGATGGCTGGCACAGACAACTCTTCGTGTTTTATAGCAATCGTTCCCGATACTCATGACCGGATGGAATTACAGTTGTCTCTGAACTATTACTCACTCCACAAAGGGCTTTCCGCAGGGCACTTGATTCACTCACCATTCACGGTCCACTCTCGGGTTGGGAAGTCCAGATTCCCTCTGTGGGCAAGAGCAAATCCATTCCCAAAATTCCTTCATATCTCATCTATGTGAAAATTGCTCACACTGGGTTTGTTGTCCGCCCGACTTGGACGTCCACGCGGGACACCCGTCCACCTGCCTGACCTGTAACTCTACACTCTCTAAAACTGGTCTCTGATCTTTAGTATCTGGTGATACACGTAAATGCTGATCAGTATACTGGTACATGTATCTGTGGCACCCGTGTCAATTAAAAACTGACACTCACTTCACACAACACTGTCTACAAACAAGCCATAACAGGGACTAAGTAATCACCTTTCCCACCTCAGTTTTCTGCCGCTGCTCTTTTACTACTCGCTGGTAGCCACTACAGTGTCTCTTTGGGCCCCTGTCGTAAGAAGTCTGCTCGCAGGCCCTACATGTACATGCAGCTGGCTCTTGTTTCCCTACTTTTCATGTTTTCTCTGGGGTTTCCCACACTCTCTTGCAAGATGACCTTTTTCTCCACACTTGAAGCATTTCCAGTCATCCTGCCTTGCTTTCCCACTCTTACGGCATTTTCCAGAGTGACCTTCCTCAGTGCAATTGCTGCACTTCTCTTCAGTCTGCTTAATACCCGCTCTGGCACTCGCAGTGGGTTTCTCCCCTTTAGCACTCTTGTCCTGCATTTTCTTTGTTATCTCTGTTAACAGTCCTACTAGGCTTGTCGCCTCTGTCTCTATTCTGTGAAATCTCTTCTCTGTGAATTCGCTGCTCTAACCCCGAATCTACCTCTTACCATTTTCGCCGGCTTGCCGTCGAGCGCCCTCTGTTGCTCTACCTTTTCAAAGTTCTCTGTCTCTAATGTAGCTCGAATGGCTTTATGGTCACGTGACTCTTCTTGTATTTCAGGATACGCTTTTACAGTCAGCTCTTGTGTAGCCTGACCCAACTCTTGCATTCTCTCTTTTGGTCCTCGCAAGCGGTGCCTCGGCTTGACAATGTAATTCTTACTCTGACGGCCTAAACTGAATCTTCTCTCTAGCAACTTGACTAGCTCACTATATGGCTGCTTTTGTCCTGTAGGAGCATTCTCCAACAATCTAAGGGCACTCCCTTGCAGACTCTCAGCCAAATAGCTGGCGTCCTGTTGCTCACTCCACTGGTTCACCACTCTGCATGATTCAAAGTGCTGGAAGTACTCATTCCATAATACCTTGCCACTATATCTATCGGGGAGTAATAAATGGGCGTCTTTTTGACGACTCCAAATTTCCCCCAACTTCTCTGATCACTCTTGGTTCTCTTTTGATCATCCAAGGGCCAACTGATGGACACTGTGTGCTCTCTGTTGAGCTCATTGCCTCTGTATTCGCTGAACTACATGTAGCACTTGGTAAAACTCAGCAGTTCACTATGTACTCTTGTTGACAAATTAGTCTTCTTACCCACTCTATTTTGGTCATCTGCAGTGCCACCTGGGCTCGACGGAAAAGACTGGAGCTCTTCTACAGCACTGCACTCTTCTACCTTATCCGTTCAGGGATTCCGATAACATCTCCTTTAATGGGCTACTCTCCCCAAAGTTCACTCCCATTTCCGCCTTGGAGTGGGTCCAGGTACTTTGAAATCACTGAGGGGACTCGACTCCCCTGTGGAAATATAACCTGAACTCTCTGCGGGCAACCTGAACCTGATCTCTAAATCAATTCAGTACTCTTTATGCTGTCCCACAGTGGGCATGTTTGTACTCTCTTCCGGGGAAGGGCTCCCATACTTTTCTTTCATGGCTGCCTCTAATTTTCTAGCCATGAGGTCTCTGCCCCACTGCAAAAACCGAGCCTCTATTGTCAGCCTCTGCAGTTCAGTCTCGACTGCCTCTTTTACTCAACTTTTCTCCCTAGTGGTCACACTTTCTTTTGCCCACCGAAAAATTCTACAACTTGTTTTCTATTTAAATCATTACCAGCACCAGTCATCCCACTTCTGACACCATTTGCGACAAAAATGTTCTTGAGTTAAATTCAAGTTCGGAGCCCCGGAAACACTGACACCATTTGTTGCCAAAGTTCCTGGATTTCCAAACCCAAATTGTACTTCAGACCCTAGAAACTATTCAAGCTACTTGCTCCCAGTCCTCAAAGTCCCTACGCTAAAAACACTGAAAGCAGATTGGGGGCTACCCCTTATTTCATCCTAAAGATCAACAAAACAATTACCTCATCTTTAGAACTATCAGTCAAGGAAACAGACTGGTTGCCAGTCTCAACCCCTATCTCATCACAATAGTTATAACTAGGACATACACATAGATTGCTTGAACAGAACCAAACTGTATCATTTGTTAGCAAGCGTGCAGGCCATGTTATGGGAGTTCTTCCTTTCAGTCGCATTTGAACATGAATAGCCCTTGGCAGTTTTGCAGTCCAGCATAGTGTGGCTTTCCTGCAAATTATGAAAGAAGTACATAGTTTTGCCAGATTCGGAAAACAGTCGTGGATATTCAGAATACGTCTGAAAACCACTGAATAACACACACAAAAGGCATAGTCAGAGCGAAGAGCCTTTCTGATAACGTGAGCTAATGGGGTGACATACCTGTCCCTTACCTCATAACATGCAAAACCTTGGTGTGGCTAATTGTCATTTGGAGGATGTCTCCAAAACTGTTAAATGCTCAGCTCGATTTCAATAACATTGCAGATAGAAGGTGAGGGGGTAGACTAACCATAACCATGCTACAGTGCATCACTGTGCAAACTTTCAAAGTTGCGGTTAAAGTTGCTGTGAAGCAAATAAAAGCTGAAATAAAAAAAGAAAGAAAATGCGCTCTTGTGCAGTGTTAACTGCCCTTTGTAGAAATCATAAAGCAAGTTTCATAATGCGGTTGGTTTCCCAATGTGTTCATAATTCTCAGTGCCAGATTTCCTGATGTATTAATGACATGTCTTGATATGTCTGTGACAGGTTTGGTTGACGTAACATGCACCAATTTACATGTGCCTGTATATCCTCTCCATGTCTGTACTTGACTAGGTTGGCACACGCCAATACACCAAAAGCAGGTCTAACTGGTATATAGCGCTTTTAACTAAGATCAAAGCGCTTTGCGTTATTATTACCCCTGATCATTCGGCCAATGAAACATTCCAAAGATAATCTCAGCTCCTTGGGGAGTATACAGCTCGATGCTGCCATTTCGGCGCAAGGCAGCTAGAAGCAACCACAATAACCATCTCTGCCCTCACAGGTACCCATTTACTCCTGGGTGGGGGGAAGCAATGAGTGACAAAGTGCCTTGCCCAAGGGCACATGCACCACAACCCCAGGTGGGAATCGAACCCACAACCTGCGGAATTACCCGCAGACCACGAGTTCAATGCTCCAGACCATGAGGCCACGGCACTCCACAAATTGGCTCTCCAAATTTGTTGGTTGTCCAAAGAGTGTCTCCAATTCAATAATGTTTGATGGATTTGCGTACATGTACGTTACATGTACGTTACATGTACTTGCAAACCAAAATGAGTCATCCGAGAGACACTCTTTGTGCTAAGAGCGTAATACCTTGGAGTAAAAGTGTGGAGAGGTTCAACATGAAGGAACATGTCATTAATTTGTTTTGCCTCATGAAAGCGCAACAGATCAAAGCAAAGACAAACCTAAAAAACAGTTCTACATGTAGTTGAATTATAGATTTAGCCTATCATGCCTGCTTCTCAACCATCTATGCTCTCTGTCTGTAGCGGCAAAGTGGATGACTACTGAGAAACCTGAACAAGACCAATATGATGTGCGGCGTAGGGGATGGTAAGTTGTCTCTGCAGCAAAGCAGCACAAGAGCTACACCTTTGGCTTTTTTTTTTTTTAGATTTTTCGATGTGTAAGCAACTTATTATTATTTTTTTAGTTTTACATTTTTTATTAAATAGATGACTTGAAGTGGGTTATACCAGCACAAAGAAATACAGTTGTTTTTCTTTCTGTGTAAGGCCGTGACGAGTACCCATAACCCGACCGCTGATTACGGTGACCTGATTCAATTTTATCACTTTTATTACCCGAAACTGCCTTTGTTAATTTTGACACATCATTTCAGAAAGGCCATGCAAGTGCCCTTTTCTATTGATCACATGCCGATAAATTGTTAGAAAAAAAATCCGAGTAAAACATCTTCTGAGTCCAATTACCGACAATTTCCCAATGTCTAGATTGCGGATGAAGCAACGAAAAGAACCAATCAGAACGCACGTACCGAGTGCTACTCAGCAGGCAACTTGCGTGAAGCATGCATGCGCTGAATGGCAAAGCATCAGAGCACAGCACCATCTGCATGTGCAACTTACCGTACATGTAGGCCGTCCTGTGAGGGCTGAATTATCTATGCTTACTCGGCAATGGCGCAGCCAGCCATTATACACAGTTGCTAGCCTTGCTGCGTGTACTCAGTGTGTAGGCCGTTCGCTTACTGATGGCTGCTCAACGAACTTCATGTAAACATCGGTGAATATCACTTACTTTGCCACAATAATGACTCAACCTGAGGTTTACTATATTTTATTCACACTTAGAAACTTACAATTTTATTCACTGAGTCTCTTAACGAATGAAAAGGGATCTAGTTTAAGTTGCAAAGTAGGACCGTGCAATTTTTGGTTGCCGAACGTAGGGGAAGTGAGCGCGCCAGCGCAGCGGTCGTGTAATCACGCCAGCAGCTTAGCAGTAGAGTAAGCGGGGGCGCGGTGAAAAATACTGTACTTCCAGGTTTTTGTTATGATTTTTAAAATAATCACGGGTCGACGGCTACTAGTCCGTTACGGGAATCTGGTACCCGGTCCCAACAAAAGCTGTAAATTTACACCCCTATTTGTGTTTTTCGATTCCTGAATTTTTATCGTTTGTAAAGACTATAAAATCTGTCCGTCTTGATGTTATTTTGAGTTAAGTAATTGGATGACAGCATTCAGCGTGGCACTACACCCACAATGCAAGCATATGAACCAGTGTATTGTGTACTGTCTTTTGGAGGACGCTTGTGTGAATCACGTAATGTTGCACGTGTGTAGTTGTGTTCCTCAAGATCATTTGTGTCAGTATGGTATGTACATGTACACATTTATATGGTTTGGCTCTTTGTTTGGAAGTAGTGTTTCCCTTCCCGTTCCCCTTCAGTGTTGCGAGAGGAATTGCAAGCAAATTAGCACCGCTCAGATTAAGTAGAAAAGTTGGTTTGTAGGCCCCTATATTTGCTAGAAAATAGTAATAATAATTTACATGTATTCTTAAAGCGAATCCATAAAATCTCAATGCACTTTGCACTTTAAAAATACAGATGGTTTTATTGTCTAATAAATACTACAAAATCAGATGAACAGTTAAAAGTAAAAACGTACTGGATACATACTTACATGTACCGTACCTTGCAACTTGTCACCGTTTTATTGGGGTTTTTTTTTTTGGGGGGGGGGGAATTTGTACATTGTACCTATAAGTGTTGAGGAAACCTTGTGCACAAGATTTATACACAAACAGTGTTACTTGTATTTCTGGCCTTTTCGAATGGGAATTATTGACCCTAACTCTCTAGGGTGATTTACTAGGGACCTTCCTCATCCCTGCAAATCCCAACACCATACGGTAAATTACTATACCTCATACATATTCATGACGGAGAGCCGAATTCTCACTGGTCCATTCACCATCACGTGCCAGATGCTATTTTTGCTGTTCACAAGCGTGTGCGCGTGTTTTCACGCACAGGGTAAATACACATGTGTAGGACTACACTGTTGCACAGGTTACCCATTCGACAGTCTATTATGCATGCGCTTTACGAAGCAATCATGGAACTTTCCCACGGGTGTAAGACGCACGCGCGAACATTGCCTTCACTAGCTACATCGTACACATGAAAAGATGACGGTGCAGCACCTCACATAAATGTTCATCAGTGTTTTCCTAAACTGGAGAATGTTGTGGACAATAAATATGTCTCCTCTACTATAAAAAAAGTTTTCCACAACAGAGTATAAACTCTAAGGAGCTACTATATTTGCAAACAAACTTAACTTTTTTGAGGTTGAGCTGGACCGTTAGTTTCTCCTAATATTTTATGCCTGCGCGTTATGTGCTGCAATTGGAAAATTTTGCAACTGAATAGGTATGAGGTATAGTAAAACAAATATAATATAGTTTATTTCGGGTTTATTTCGATATTGGAAGTTGACAATCTAGTTTGTCAAATTCCAATATCTCGGGAAGTGAATATCAACTGCCCACCCTCAAACCATGATATATTTGTCTACTGTGCACACAAACAGTTGGACTCAGTTTATTTGTGGTATGCCTAATCCCACGTAAAGCACAATCATTTTACTAGTGCAGTAATCATCCTAACAGATTCCAACAAACCATGGTGTTGGTGTTTGGCTGGTTAGGGATCGTTGGGGTTTAATGAACCCATTTCACTGTACCGGTACTACATACAGTGCTATACAGTTGTGGGGCAGTTTTGGGCGCTACAGGGGTAATCGGAATGGTGGTTTGGGGTGGTAATAGGTAGCCTAAAGCTGATTCTGAAGAATCCTGCTACTTTTACCTCAGTACACGTAGTTCATGGGAAAACAGCCTGGACGGTCATCACTGATTTCTTCTATTAAAATTTGATGATTACGATCGTCACATTCTCAATTTTCTTTTTCAAAACCAAGTAATGTAAAACTATTGAAGTTTAGGCGCATTCTGGATATTTACAAAATGTTGTTTTGAGACATCAATTGAAAAGGTTTATCTGTTTTATAGAGTGGTATCTCCCAGCTTTTAGACACCTTTGAAATCGGAGAACCTGTTTTGCTTGTCGTTAGTTCGTGTGTGTACGTTTCGTAAGTGAGTAATCCCGCATTTAACGGATGCACTGCAACTTTGATCATGTTTGTTCTTTTGCGTAACAGTAGTTTGCATTGCTGTCTTGTTTAGAATAGCTTAGTTGAATGCATTCATATTTTTTTTGGGTAACATCCTTTGTTTCTGTATTATGTTGGTTTATTGTGGTTGTCTTCATGTACATGTATGCTTCGTTTTGTTATTAATTAATCACTTTTTGTTTTGACATTGTTTCATGAAAATACTTACATTCTTACTTATCTGATTTCCAATGAGAATACTCACGATCTCATTTTAACAAAAATAAAACGGACATTTCGGACTTCTAACCAACAGCTAACAATCACTAACAGAACGTAAAACTTAAATTACTTTGGTCAAGTTGTTTTCATTCATTAAGTTTTGGTTCAGAATTGGAAATTAACTTCACACCAAAACCAGCCAGTATATTTTTTTCTGGCTTCTTTTTCGGTCATTTTGAAATTTCTTTTCAAACACTGGCAAATTCATTTTCCGCTCAAATCTATGCGCAGACTTCACCCATGTTTGTCACCAACATGGAAATATACACGATATTTTAGAGACACTCCTGGTTCTTGAATCCCACAGGTACATCCAGGCTGCGAGCTCACCAAAGAACGTCATGATCCTTGTAGACACGTGAGTTTCAGCCTTTTCGCATCTTGTCTACGAATCTATATTATTTCATGTGTACACTCTTGAGTATGGAAGGTGCCAGATTTTTGTTAAAAATAAATGCAGTGCTCATCATAACGCTCCCCCCCCCCCCCCCCCGCCTCAAACAAAAATGTGACCTACATGTACTGAGGCAAAATGAAGAATGTCCCCCAAAATCTTGTTTTGAGTAATTGACGCCGGAAGTCAGATATACTAGAAAAATCATGTAAAAATCTATATTCTTGTTTTGTATTTTTGAGTAACCAAGGTTCCGGAATTCAAGATTCACACTATGCATTTTTGTTGGGGAAAATTTACCAATAAAAGTGGAAAACTGAAGAATGTTTTTCACTGCCGTTGGCGGCGCAAGGTTTTTTTTTTTTTTTCAAAGCTGTTTTTCTCGAAATGAGGGTAGCGAAACTTGGCAGGACACTGTTGACCTTCCCTGTGTCATATCTTTGGAATAAATTAAGCTACAGAAATAAATTTGATATCATTGGAAAGCCAATGAATTGCGCTTTAATATGATGTACACAACGTGAAAAGTCAAAAGTGGGTGTTATTCCTCATTATGCTATGGCAGGTCACAACTTTGGTTGCCTTTTCTTGTTGCCTTGCCTTTTTGTCCACTTTTAAAAATAGGATTCTGCATTACAGCACAGTGAGTAAAAATAATTAAAGCTTTCTCTATTTTGTTATCTTTGTTTCATTTCTTTGTAAAATATTTGCAAGTTTTGCCTGGAGTTAGTTTCAAGATGGCTGCCCAGTGCTAACTATAAAGGCAAATTATCTCTGCAAGCACCAATCTGATTTAAGTCTTAATTGTTTTTGGAGAAATGGTCTGTACAACTGTTTCATGTTTTTGTTTTGTGTAACCAGGATGTAGCCAACATACTTTTGATGTCAAACCTCTAAAATTGCCTATTTCAGCAACTATTTCAAATGTTGCATGGCATTCATGTTGTACATGTAGGGAGACCACTGATTGGACATAATATGTTGAAACGACTGATGGTCATTTACAAAAATATGCTTGTTAGATTTCTGCAACTATTTCATGTTTTATATCACAGGAGTGGCAGTACCTTTGGCATGACCCTGGAGATCACCAAGGTGTCAGTCTATAAGGCCCTGGATACTCTTGGCAATGACGACTTTGTCAACGTGGCCTGGGTGAGTACAAATCATATTTCGCCCGCTGCCCCCGCCCTGCAAACAGGGCGCTGGGAAGGGCTTGAGGCGTATCAAGTGCGGTCAGCCGTGACGTCTAATGTCATGCATGTTTTCCAGAGTCGAGCGAGGCCATAGTGTGGTCCTGTGCGTTGCTGTGTTGCGCAGTGAATAACATTTAATTGGACACTGGGCCTTACTGCATATATGTGCAAGTAAGACAACCCTGGCAATAATGATAATAATAATTACCCTGGACATGCTGGATTGGGCATTTGGGAGACATCCCCATAGACTTGAGCAAAAAGAATTTCAAACTTAAATGTGCCCTAACCCAATATTCCCTTGTCCTTTTTCCACGAATTTCGGTATGTTTACTAATTAGACCACGAGCAACAAATATAACCTAATTGCGACAATAAATTTGTGCCTTTAAAGGGGGGCTGTGACATTAGGGCGACATGAAAATGTCTCTCTAATGACTGATGTCTCCAACCGTTCGAAGAAACTATGATACCGTGTTTCCTGAATGGTACCATTACACGTATAATTTATACATTGTAGTGCCTTACACTTGAAACAACCTCAAAGCGCTGTGAGCATGAATAGCATCAACACTTGACATTGCATACATGTCACATGTGCAAAAAGTAATTCTTCAAGTGTGAATGACAACAAAAATCAAATCCAGTTCTCTTTCGAATTTTAAATTGACATTGAAATTATGATTGAATGTGCGATCCTTTTTTAACTTTTTTTTGGTTTTACAACCCTGCAGTTCAACTCCAGTGCAGAACTGGTCAGTTGCTTTGAAACCTTCGTTCAGGCCAATCTACGCAACAAAAATGTAAGTGACCTGGAAGTTTTAATTGCAAAAGATTTTTGTCCAAAATAAAAACGTTTGTTTTGTTTATTGTCTGAACGGCTGATGTTAAGTCTTTAATGACTTGGGAAAGTAATAAAAGCATCATCATAAAAAAAATTAGTTCTTCACAAGGAGATAATGTGCCATTTGAATAGATTTATATGTTATAAATTGTTCATAAGGGTCTGTTTCAATTCATATCCGAGACATGTTCCGGACAAGTTGTGGATATTGTATCTGGTATAAGATGCAGAATTCTGAACAACTTTTCCCTCAGTGAAGTTATCAGTATGAGTCAAGCAGTTGCTAATGACAATTTCCCTGGAACATGTCCGGGACAAATGCAGAGCTTCTTCCAGACAAAGTGAATGATTCTACCCGCAACTTGTCTGGAACTCGTCCCGGATGTGTATTGAGACGGGCCCTGACATGTATAAGCCGCAGGCATTGCACCAACCCTTCTTGGACAGTACCCTGCCAAACATGATTATGTGTGAAAGAAAGATGGTTGATACAAAATTAAGGTTATACATGTACATCATTTACATGTACATCTTTGCAGCTGTTGAAGGACAAAGTGAAAGAGCTCACGTCTTCGGGGATTGCCTTGTTCGACAAAGGCCTAAAGAAGGCATTTGAGGCATTCAAAGAGGTAGGTTCTGTTGTGTGTTTTTTTTTTAATATTCCTAACCCCCTTAGGGTTCCTCAGGACTACCCTGCTAAATCCGTCAGAGTCCAACGGTTACTTCCTGCTCAATCCAACAGAATCCAACTGAGCCTAATTTTTAGTCGTCTGCTGGATCCAACAGAGTCCAACTTCACGTTATTTTATCAGTACCCAGCAGAATTCAACTCTGAATATGTACATGTTCATTTATACAAGGGGTTTACTGCTCAATCCAACAGGCTCCCAACGGGTTTATGATATAGTTGGATCCTGTTGGATTCAGCAGGGTTAGGGCTGATTCACATTTAGGAATCGCACATATTCACCAAACTGTGTACTCAGGACATTACATCAGTATTATTCCCGCTAGTCATCTATCTCGTGAAAACGTTCAAAGATCATCCTAGCTCAAGGGGGGAACAGCTCGTTGCTGCCATTTTGGCACCAATCAACTGAAATCAGTCACAGATATTAAGGATGTGACTTTGCGTTTAATATTGTAAACGTTTAGCAAATGTTTTAAGAACCGTTAAAATGTTTATTTGTTTAGTCATTTACAAATGCTGATGCATGCCCATTATGTCTGTGATTGACATGATAAATCCACAACGGCAGTCGTTGATAGAAGGAAAGAATTAACTACATGGGCCCCAAATGTAATCAAGCATTGAAGTGCTTCATAAGTTTTGTAAATTAAATAGGTTTGAAAACATCATCAATTAATTGTGCGATGTAGGTTTAACTCAAAGAAAGATTGCTTGAACGGTGAACGTAGTACCTTTTATGTTTAAACATCTTTGGAAAATTTGTAAATGGATTAAGGATTGTTTATGTGTAAACGTGTAAACATCACATCCTTAACAGATATCCAGTTACCCCTGGGTGGGGACAAGCAATTAGTGGAAACATTCTTGCCTTAGGAGACGCACACCATTGGGCCGCAGGCTGCTCAATTAGCCAAAGATCTCAAGTTGAATGGTCCAGACCACGAAGCAGCGACATTCCAGTCTTTCTGAACATATGAATCGGTAACCAAATCCTAATTGATACCACATAAAATGTGAGCTGTCTGGTGGAATGAAATGAAACTGGGCACAGGGCCCTTGTGGAGAAAAAATGTTCAACAATTCACTTCATCTTTGTGAAACACCCTCTGGCCATGTCTGTGGTATTTGCCTCACACGCATAGTCCCAAAAAATCTCCTTATACGGAAGTTGGCGCCTACTGGGCCATGTGGCGTATACCGCAGAGAGTGTGTTTAAAAGAAGCCAGTGTTTTATCAGCAGTTTAAACCACCCATGTGATGGGCTCTTGACCAATAGAAATGGGTGAAACTGTAAAAATAGGTATTTATGAGTGGCTATTAAAGCCATGGATGAGGCGTTTCTGATGTTAATAGCCAGTTATCTCTCTGTTTTGATTGGCTAAGCCATGAGTGAGGCCAGTCTGGAGGTATCACTCTCTTCATTCATTTGCTTAAGTCTTACATAAGACATGGTCTGTATTTAATGCGGGGGCATCACTCCTTGCTTTGATTGGCCACAGTTTGAGGATATAGAGGCTGCTGGACGTGATCAGCAGAATCAAGGAGCCATGTGTCACAATGTCATCCTCATCTTCACCGATGGAGGAGAGGCAGATGAACGTGCCACCTTCGAGGAGTATAATGTCCCAGTTAAAGTAAGTAAGATTTGTGTATATATGACTTGAAGCTTTGCATGGCGGATGAGATAAAGTAGAAAGATTGCGGTTAACACCATGTGGAAAGTAACATCTTCTCGGAAGAAGTGTGGTTCTGTAAAGAACCGGTTGGTTGAGGGTAGAACTCACTCACCCTCCAGAGGATGGACAGAGCACACACTGTCCGAAACGTTGAGTTCTACACTCAACCAACCGGTTCTTTTCAGAACCACACTTCTGCCAAGAAGAGATTACTTTCCACATGGTGTTACCTGTAATCTTCCTTCTTTAAGAGTTTTGTATCTAAAACCCTTGATGCTGCAGAGGGTAGTTTCAGGGTGGGCGTTGTAGGAGGTAGTTTCAGGGAAGCACAGGTGGGCGCTGCAGGGGCAGAGCTGGTTCCTGATCCCTCTATTGTCTTTTGTACTTGGAATGAAGGGACAGGTAGGAGCGCAACGAATCCCGAATACATTAGGAGGTTTTCCTCCTAATGTTTGCAAATTATATGCAGGACTAGCTCGGTCTGATTCCTGCCCCTGAATACAAAATCACAATGATTTTGTTATAGCGGAACCAGCCTATTGCAAAATGGCAACAAGGCTACCACTGAGGTGCGCTTTGTGTGGTGAGGAGCTTCGATTTTTCCTGAATTCAAAAGTGTCTCTGGCAACTAGCAATTTACATGTTTTAATTAGAACAAATTCCCAAAAACCAAATGTTCTGGGTAATGTATCCTTTAAATGAATGGGTTTTTGTTTCTTTCTTTTTCGCAATCATTACAGATCCGTGTGTTTGTGTTCAAAGTGGGAACGGACTCCATGGTACCTGCAGACGGTGTTAGGGAAATGGCCTGCATGAACCAAGGTACTTACAGAAATGTGTGTGTGTAAATGCGTGGTTCTATGGGGCTCTCTCACTGACCCACGGCCTACTCCTGGGTTCTGGAAAGTACTCGTCATCATAGTATTAGGCAAAGATCGCTGTGTGCAGTAGGTATTAGGCAAGCCTGCAAAGCTGTGAAGATGGCCTTTGAGAAAAATGCGGAGCCATGACAATCATAGACGGCACAGTGATTGTACGATTCGATAAAGAATTTGCAGTTCACTTTACGTGAAAATAAGCTGCTCTGTCTAGTTAATAATGCACGACGTGGTTGCTTAACCAGATGCTTGCCTATTGCAATGGTGGCCAGTTACTGGGAAACTGGATGGTCATGTGGTACTTAGACGTCATACGATTGGACCCTAATATTTGCAATGGTACCCACCTACCTATTCAAGAGCACTTGGGACTCTTCAACACTTAATTACCCACATTGCCTTGGATTGGCATGGGTGGCATGGGTGGCTTGTGCGTAAACGCTCGCCTCTCACCAAGGTGACCACGGTTCGAATCCTGGCCGCGGAACACATGTGAGTAGAGTTGTGCGTTGGTTCTCTCCTGTGCCACGAGGGTTTTTCTCCGGGCCCTCCGGTTTTCCTCCCTCCGGAAAAATCAAACACTTTCGATCTCAGGCTGTGCTCCGTGGTCATATATGGGTCGATGTGGCCAGCAGCCATAGGCGCTTTTACGTGCCAGCGGCCCGACCACGTTGTAGCCGCGTCCTTCGCAATGCAGCATCCCAGCTGCCAGTAAGGATGATTAGCCTCCCAAATTATTATTATTATTATTTCAAGCAATTTTAAGATTATGCATCAGGCATCCCTTTTTTGTTCTTTGTTTCTCTCTTTTTCGACCGACCCTATTTTATGCTCCCGACCCAACATGCACAAGGCAAAAAAAAAATTTCTTTATTGCAGCCAACCCTGTCTGCAAGCACAATTAACAAAAAAATGAAATAATGAAAAAAAAATTAATATCAAATTCAGGCAGTCAGGCACTGTGTTATTTGAAAAGCTGTGGAAAATCAAAAGGGCAAAGTGTCCAAGAATTCGCGCAGACTTTGTCCCATATGTAACAAAAGTTTAACCATGTAAGATATTCTTGGATTTCAGTGTTTTTTTTAATTCTACTGTTGGGTATATGCAAGGGAAATACCTACAAGAAATGTTATGGTAGTCTTTGCGATGATCATGTAATTGAAGAAAACATGGCATTACGTACTGGACAAAAAAGGGGACCTTTTCTTGGACTAGACATGCTAGACAACAAATCAAATGTTAATTCATCATTTAGAGTTTTTGTTAGTTTCTAAATTTTCGGACTTGGTTAAGTGTTTAAATTGGAGTTTCTTCTAACTCATTTTTTTACAGGATATTTCAGCAATATTCAGTCCTTCGGAGCTGTGAGGCTTACAACCTTGGTATGTTGTTGTTGTTGTTATTTTTGTAATCTGTGGAAGGTTGAGATACATGTACATTTCAGCAGTTCTTTGTAAAAGTCATTACAATCTAATAAATTTGAGATACGCTCTCGGTTGGGAATTAAAAGGAAAACACATTTTGGGTCTAAACAACATGTACACACACAAGTTAAACTATATACACTGGGATTTACTTAAAAGACAGTGGATGATTAAAACTCATTTAAAAAAATACGATTAGTTTGGTGAACAACTAAGAACAAGTGACTCGTGATTCGGACTCGGACTCCAGGCTTGTGACTCAAGACTCGGACTCGAGGCTTGTGACTCGAGACTCGGACTCGGACTCGAGGCTTGTGACTCGGACTTGGACTCGGACTCGACGTTGGTGACTGGACGACTACAACACAATTATTTGTTTGAATAACCTTCACATTTACTGTGTTCTTCCTTGAATTTGCAAAATACACATTTCTGTTTTGCAAATAGTGCCCACTACCTTTAATTCTTGTTGAGCATCAGTTGGCCTCTTGATCGGTAGGAATGGGTGAACTGTCTCGAGTATCTATGAATTTGAGTTTTCTTGGGATTCCCTGTCAGGATTATGTGCCAGTCCTGAGTCGTCCTATGGTGCTGAGTGGGAAGAAGCACTTTCAGTGGTCCGACATCTACCTGGATGTGCTGGTAAGTAACCCTTTCTTTGGATAATTCAGGCCAAATACACTGTACATGTAGAAGTTAATCACCGTCGATATCAGAATTTGCAATAATCAATATATCGGAAATCAAATATCGAGATATTCGATATATCGATTATCCCCATGTAAAAGTTAAAGACCATAAGGATGACACTTGATAAAAAAAAATGTTTGAGTCCCAATTGTGCAAGGCTTTCTTCCAAGGTCATAACTCCATTCTTCAACATAGTCGTATCTCGCGCGAATACGCTCCGTGCAACAAGGTCGTATCTCGACGTCCATTGACTTTTTGTGTATATCCAGGTTATTTAAAGTGAGATACAACCTTTTGACATTCTGCAACTCGTGTTTAACAGTGGGTGTGGCTAAATGATAGATTACAATAGTTTCTTTACTTTTAGAGAGTAATTCTGTTGATTTTTAATTAGCTACAGGGTGTCCCAAAAAATCCTTTAATTTCTCAGAAACTACTTAACATGAGTATTTCATCTTGATGAGCATGTTAATTATACTCTTGTGTATAATCAGTGAAAATGCCATGGAAATCTGTTCATGCAAACCAGAGATCTAACAGATTGTGAAAGGCTATGGGTTTTCTCATCCATTCCAATGGGATTTATACAGTTAGTGATATCATTGCATCAGATTGTCATATGCCTTTTCACTCTGATGTAAATTAACTTCAACTGGGTAAATCCCATCCCATTGCAATGGGTGAAAAACCTATAGCCTTTTGTAATCTGTTAGATCTCTGGTTTGGATGAGCAGATTTCCATGGCATTTTAAGTATAATTAATATGCCCCACCAAGATGAAATACGCATGTTAAGTAGTTTTTTGAGAAATTAAAGGATGTGTCTCCTTGCACAAATCTTTTTGGGGACACCCTTCTGTAGTGAGAGTTTGCTGTAACACCATGTGGAAGAATCTCTTCTGAGAAGATGTGTGGTTCTGAAAAGAACCGGTTAGTTGTGAACTAGATCCTCTGATCGTTGTTGGGAGAAAACCGGATGGAATATAGAAGAGATTTTCACCGCAAACCCTCACTAATTTATACACCACCGCCATGCAAAGTTTCAAATCTTATCTCTGATTTTTAAATTGTTTCAATCTCCCATCTTTTAAATTATTTTCACCTTCTGTGCAGGGCTTGGGTATGATGACAACGCTGACCAGGCCTGTGTATAACACCACTGGAGAAAATGTAAGAAACCACAAAAAAAAAAAGAACGTTCATGAATCCAAATACAGTTGAACATCGCTATAACCTGTAGATTTATAACGAACACTGCTACACCGACTTTCTGACTGTAATGAACAATTTGCTTTGGTTCCCAAAGTTTTATGTTAAACTGTACAGATAAGTGATGTCCCAAAAATCGTTAAATTTCTGACCACAATACTGAACAATATTTTTGTGGACCCAATTGTGATTGTTATTAAGAAGTTCTACTGTAGCAGTACATTCCAGAACGTTGATTCATTGTACATTTTCATTGGTTTTCAATTTTGTTTTTGCAAGATTTTGTTTTAACATGTCTCCACAAATTTGTGTGTTTCCAACTTTGCTATTTCATCTCTTTACCATTTTTCAAATCGCTTTTGTTCTCTCAAGTGGATTTTTTTTTAAAAAGTTTTGTTGGAGTGAACACTGTGTAGAACCGCTTTGCCTTTTCACAAAATTCATTTAGGCATGACAGACATCCACTTTTGGCAAACTTGGCCTGCAATAACATTTCATTACTGAAAATGAAGGAACTTCTATGCTTTACATGGATTCATTTCATCCCCAACATTTAATGTGGAAGTTTTGTAGAGCAATTTCTGATACAGCAAGAGGGCAGTTTATCATTTTGTCAACACTGTAAAACCGCTTTGCCTTTCACTAAATTCAATAAGGCATGACAGATATCTACTTTGGCAACTTTGTCTGCAATAACATTTCATCACTGAAAATGAAGGAACTTCCATGCTATTCATGGATTCATTTCATCCCCAAATTCCATTTCCAAATTCAAATCTTTATACTCATTTTACTGTTTGCATTGAAACGTTTCAGTTGTTTTTGATGTGTCGTTTTCATAATCATAATTTTTTACTTTTTGCATGTGGATTTACTTCTTGAAGAATGTTAATTCGACCAAGCAGGTACTGCGATGTTGTGAACAACACAACATTTTTTTCTTCGGTTTCCAACTAAGTGACTGCATGAAAAGCATGTGTGAATGATGTTATTGAATGAGATTTTTTTTTTTCAAACAACTAATACATACATGCAACTATACGTGTTGTCCTTTATATTAGGCCTAACTCCCTAGACATGTTACCTAGCATGCAACCTCAAACCTTCGTAATCCTCCATGTAAAAATTGCATACAGCCTCAATACTGCAAAAATCTCCAATTATTTATTGAACGTGGTCCTTGGAGGGGTGACCACTGCCTCAATCCTGCAAAATCCTCCAGCGATCACTGTGACTGCGTTGAGGCAGAGCCAGTGACATGCTGGAGCAGTGCGGAGGACTTTAAGGTTAATCTAGGCCTAAATTTATGCATGGTTGAGCATAAACAACACAAGGTCCAGCCCAAGACCTTGACACTGTGCATCCTCCAAAATTAGCCAAACATTTTTGGCCATATATAACCTCAATCCTGCAAAATCCTCCATTTTGCAAAGAGGATTTGGGAAGGCAAGGGTAAAGTTATTGTACTCCGGAATACAGAAGGAAATTCACTTTGGGGCCTAAACCCTTGTCCAGTCCAGTATTATCCAATAAGCACAGTACGCACCTAGGGCCTACGAAAAATTCAGAGGCCTGTGAAAAATTTGAGGGCCTATGAAAATACCACAGTGTGGCAACAGGCTTTTGGAGCTACCATGTTTGGCCTGGCTTGCTTAGTCATGTTAGTACAGCTTAGTATCAACATGAAACTGGTGCTGGTACCTAGTGCTGAGTAGGGCCTACGGAACATCGGTGCCTAAGGCCTACGGAACACTTAATCCAGCCCTGCTCTTGTCTCCATCAATATTATTTTTAATTATGGCATGTTCGTATGGCACTTGTTTCCGAATTTGTAAAATCCTTTTTTTTTTTCACGGTTTTGCTGTCTAGTAATTGAAGAGGGACCTTTTAAAGGTTTCCTGCTGTTGGCATGTACATTACTTGCAGTTGTGTAAATGTATGACTTGCCAATTTGATTTTTTGTTTGTTTTCATTTTTTAAAGTTAAAAGTTTAGTTCAGTTAGCCTGCGAACAGTCCCAGAAGAAGAAGTGTAAATTTTGATATGCTCCAATGCATGATTTAGTCATTTTGTTACATATACCCTGTACTCACAGGCAAAATTAAATTTTCTTTTTTTTAAGGTCCTTTTTCTGGTAACACTTCACTGTTGTCTTGTAAACTGTGCCTGATTTTGAACAAATAAAGATTTTTTTTATGACCACTGTGTACGGTACATGTAACTGCTGGAATATAAAGCTGCGCTGTATTCAGTCAATCAACTGATCTGTTCTGAATAATTATACCTACATGTAAATGATTGTTTGCTGGAGAATTGGTTGAATCTGGTTTGGCTTAACCCTAACTCCGTAGGTCCTGTTTGCTAGGAACCATCCTCAATCCATCATCTTCCACAAGTTTGCGCTCATGTTCAAATAAAACGTCTCAATCCTTCAAAATCTTCAGACTGCCCTGCGCAATGGAAGAATGCTGAAAATTTAAGCAGACAACAGCAGAAGAGAACAAAAATAAAGGATGATTTTCTGCAGAGCTACATGCACATGTACATACAGTCGTGTTTTACTATACTCTCGAGGACAATGCTTTGTGTTTACCTTTGTCCCAGTAATATAACACTCTCCCATAGACTAAGCACACAAACTTACTACAGAGGACCGTTTCCAACAAAAGGCCTAACTCCCGAGGACTGAAAGGATGTGTTGTTCTCCCTTTGTGTGTCGGTCCTCGGGGGTTATGTAGAACATTTAGATGTCTCACAGTATCACGCTTGTGAAAATCTAGTGAAGTTCACGTAGTTGAGCCTGTTCCCTGACTGATGCTCCCCCACACTGTGTATCACCATATGTGTTTCTGAGTTTCCCTGTCTGATCCTCACCTGTATACATGTACCTTACTCACGAGGAAGTCATATTTGATCCTGTTCCCTGAATCTATTTTATAAATTGTAAACTGTTGAATTGGATGGTGCCAGACTATTTTATGATTGGAGTGTTGTCCAAGACTCACTTTTTTTTTTTAATGTGGCTTAAACCATTAGGGCATGTTTAATCAGAAATGGTTAATTAGTCATCATAAGAACTGGTATTAATTTGTAATGAACTTTTATTTTATTTCTTTCAATTTTTTTCGCAAGTTCAAAAAAGAAAAGTTTGCCTCGCTTTCAATTTAATATAGTTGACTTGTGTATAAAGTCTGTTTCACACAGTGCTGTCAGTACATGTGACCTTTCTCGCCCGACACGTGTGTCCAATCTCGTCAAATCCCCATGAAAGCTTGGTCTTGGCCTATTGCATTAATGTGAAAAGCTTGTTAGGGTACACATACCATTCCTGTTATCTTCCCGTTACTCTACTATTCCTTTTACGTCTCTCGCAGTAAGTGTATGAGAATAATAATTATGCTGAGCATTGATAATGAGCACATGCCCTTTTAAGACATTTTCCACCAATGAGAGATGAGATTTTTTTTGCAACACTTGGCTTGACCACATTGTAGCTGCGCCCTTGGCAATTCAGCTTCTGCTGCGAGTAAGGACGAATTAGCCCTCCCTTATTTATAAATAAAACTTGAGCAGTGTTAAGGATTGTAAAAGATTGTAATACAACAAAAAATGGCACATCTTTGTAGATGGATTCTTTCCTGTGTTTTTAACGAATTTCGAAACCGTATCTATAAATTCCGGATTTGACTTTGTATTTCTGTTTTTTGACCATTTCACCAGAATCAGCAAATGTTGGCTGTGGTCGGTACGGACATCACTACCAAGAACATGGAGGACACTGTCCCCCAGAGAAAGGTAACGTACATGTACCCTCCTCTCTCACTCAGACTATCACTACGTCTGTCACCGTATGTGTCCCTGTCATTCCATTCTTCTTTTGTCGTTGTTTTGCCTATAATACCTTTGTCAGTTTTGGTTTTAAGATTTTCTGCCTCCATTTTTTCCTGTTAGTCTCTGACTACATGTATGTCCTCTGTCGGTGTCTCTATCACTGTGTACCGGTATATCGTTCAGTCTTTGACTGTATCTGTCATTGAGGGCTTGACCGTGTCTGTCTCTATCTCTGACATCCTTTCAAGTTGCTCACCCCTCGTCGTGTTGTATTTTCCCATCTATTACCGTGTTGATAACATGTTATTAAGGATTGTCAGTCTGTCGGATATTTTGTACCTTATATTGTTAGTCCTTATCATTATTATTATTTTTTTCAGTTTGACATATTTATTTTCATCTTTCTATCTGTGATCCTGTTTTTATATTAGTTGTTTTTGCAACCTGTTCCGCACAACCACATCTGATAACAAACCTAACATTTTTTTGGGTAAAAGATTGTATGGGTTGATGAGACCAAACTTTATGGTTCCCTTCCTTCCTTTTCGCAAGATGTTGAGAATTCGGACGTGTTTGTTAAAAAGAGTTTCTTTGTACATGTGCTTTACTTGTGTGTGGCGTTTGGTTGAAAAAAAAAGTGTAGGACAGTTCACATTTATTTTTTTCTGCAGGCTGGTATAGTCATGGACCATAATACGCATGCGTGAAACATGTCGTATGAATGAATAAATACATGTGTTGTTGCACAAGGTGATGAAACTTCTTTTATTAAGATTCCATGGCGGATAGCGTGTCTTCACTGTGGCACACTACACTACTCCGGTGGTCCAAATGCTGTAGGTTGCTGGTTCGAATCCCCAAAATAGCCAATAAAATAAAATTCACCTTTTCCTTCTCATTCATGGCTCTGGAGGATTTCTTTTTTTAAAGGGAAGTTAAGTCTGAGAACCATGCGCATTATGGTAATTGACTATACTTGGTTGCAGAAAAAAATAATTGCAGCCAGTTCATACTATATTCAAAATGCAGTTGTGATGCAATTTTGGCATTATAATTTTGATCATTAGGGTTGCTTTTGCAGCAAGTATGAACTGGCTTTAATGTTAATTGTTTTGGTATGTTTTGTGTAGTTTCCTGCACATGTAGTGTCCAAGAAGAAGTCAAGCCAAGTCTTTTGTCCCCCTCCCTTATTTTCCGTTGAGACGTTTTAAGTCCAACAGTCCCTTCCTGAAATTCCTTCATCCCTTTCCCGAAAGAAGTTTTTGTTGAAACCTGAGGAGAGATTTTATCCAAAAAAAGTCAGGTGTAGAATTGCCCTATCTTGTTCCCTTGCGTGTAAATGTAACAGTGTGTACAAGTGTATATTATTGTAACCTATGTATTTTCTTGTACCTTGAAAGTAACGGAAACAGAGAGTTAAATCTCAGCGTTGTTTGAATTTCTTTTCCTTATTTTAGGTGTGTATGTGTATTTAAGTTGCTATGTTGACAGACAATTGTGTGGACGAAGTGGAGCGACAGACATTTACAGAATCTGTGTGTTGCAAGTTAAATCGCTGTGTTGCTATAACATTGTTGTCTCTAACCCCATAGTTGTCGTAGTGATGACATTGTCGTCATAGCAATGGCTGCTTACAGTGATGGCTTTCAATCCGAAGATTAAAAAAGATCTCAGTGTACCGAATGAATGTTTCGTGATGTTTAATGATGTCATAAATGTGTTAGTATAAGAATTTACATGTTATTCCCAAAAAGTTGTGTGTTTGAAAACCGAGCAGAACATGTTGGTGTGATTTGAAGATTGCCAACATGGCATACTTTTCCTGTTGACCATGTGTAGATGTGCCCAATACCATTTTTTTCCTTCATTTCAACATCTTGTTAACATCTGCCATTTTGTTAACTAACCTAACCCTCGATCCCATTGTCCTTTGTGTTCGTTCTGCTTTAAATATGAAACAGTAGTGGAGACTTCAGGATACATGTATGAAATGACTTGGAAAAAAAGATATTTTTGAAGGTCTTAAAAAATCTGCCATTTTTTGGCGAAGATAACATCAACTGTATGGGTTATGAAAAAGTACAAAAATGTACATACACTCTGATTTTTTAGTTTTTCCCTCATTTCAATTTTATGATGCCTTTAAAGTGTGCAGTTTGATTTTTGGCTTATGGGTGCTTAATTCTATCAGTAAATCACTCTTCACTCGTCAAAAGTTCAAGATTCTGAGAAAAAAAATGACTACGCAATAACCAGGCATACCTCTGAATTGTGTTTCATTTGTGACAAATACATCAAATATGTTGGCATAGGTTTTCAGTGGTACCCCTTCTCTGTTCTTGTCTGTGATCCGTCTGTGATCCCGTGTCTGTATTTGACCCATTGTGTGTCCCTGTCTGTATTTGACCCATTGTGTGTCCCTGTCTGAATGTGACTAGTCTGTATATACCTACGTGTCTGTTTGTCTGAACCCAACCCCATAGAATATCATGTCCCTTAATATTAACATTATGTGTATGATCATACTAACCAAATCGTCTGTCGCACTTTCCTCATACATTGTAGCATTGGTACCAGGAATGAATTCCGCCGCCTGCCGATGAAGATGTGAAATTGGAATCCATTAGTTAGCCTGTACCCTTGAGTTGTATTAAATTACTAGAGCGTTAACTCCTCATTCCTCGCGTAGAAAAATGTTCCACTGCAACCCAGGCATCCTACACATATGCAGCAGCATATAGGCGCAGGCGTGTTGTTTGTGCACAGCAAAATGGAACTCGTTTGGGCATGGACTCATTTACGCACAGGTTTCAAGTGCAGTGCAGATTGTAGCTGTACAATTACCGTACAAAATGTCAAGGTTCCTGTAGGTTTGTGCAGAAACATGGATGCCCCAGTTGCAGGCAACATTGCATACAGCAAGTTAGCGCTCTAGAAATTTAATATACATGTAACTCCATAGTGTGTACATGTACATGTACCTATTCTGACCACATTTCATGATGTTACAGCAGAATTATTGCAAAGTTGCTTTTGTTGCTGATGTCATGCAACTATTAAGGCCGGTTGCATTCGAATGCAAATCAAAAGTCGTGTTGATGTCACATAAGATTCATGGTGAAATTCACTGGATAAAATTTTTTCCAGATCAGTGCAATTACATGTATGAAGCCAAAATTTGCCATGAAACCACAATTTGTCTTCGTGCTTAAATTTGGTCGACTGTGAACCTGCCTGCGCACAGAATATGTTGCCAAAAAAATTCACTTTCAAAACCATAAAGTGAAAAATGGTAAAAAGATGTGCACATGCTCCCCTAGTGTGCCTTATCTACCAAGGCGGCCATCTTGGATGGTTGCCGTGGTTGTGATCAGTAAACCCAAACTCTACTCTCTTATAGACTCCTATTCCTCAATGCTTGTTAACCATTCTTTTCTGTTTGAAATCTTCATGAATGTGGCCAGAATTGTGGACCATTAGGTTGATAGTAAATGATACATGTTTAATGTGCACAGTAGCATGATGCCAGTATGTTGACATTGTAGAGCACTGTGGTTATCATTGCAAACATTTGTCTTGATTGATTACAAGGTTTTTTTTAGCTTACCTGTTTAAAAGAATGAAGCTCTGATTCTATTTGGCCTTTCATTTGACTGAAGATGAAAAAAAAATCCAATAAAGTCGAGAGTGTTAATGTTATAAATTAACATTCCATAGAATTTCTTTCACAGTTTTTGAAAGAAAGCAAATAATGGTTGAAACAATACTCAAAAGATTATAAAAAAAAAATGGAGGGGGGAATGTTCAGTTGAAGTTCTAATAAAACCAAAAGTACAGTGCCCTTTCCCCTCTAGTTTAAGGCAACATTATTGCTCATTACATGGGCGGCCTGCAGAAAAAAAGAAGATTTGTGGCCTGTACATATCATGACAATCTTTTATGCAGCTGAGAAATTCATACGAGTGTAAGTGATGAGAGATGCACAACTTTTGTGTCTCATATTGTCTGCAAAGATTAACAGATAAAATTCACTCATACAGAAACAGACATAACATATGTCTGGATAATTTTTGTTTTAAAGACATTGCAGGGTCACACATAACCCTGAGTTCCAGCTTATTTTCTGCAGGTAGTCTTCTGAGTAGTCTTGATTCAGGACAGAATTTTGATTTTGTTCCCCTTATGTAGCCTTTCGCCATACCTGGCAAGCATTTATGTGGTCAAGTAATATGACACACAGCCTGTCTTGGGAACGTTGGCGGTTGGACCCAAGAAATTCCGAGCATGCCTCAAATGCATATTAACTCTCCTACTGAACAGTCACAGACAGTACAAAAAAATCAATCCTCTCCCCTGCCATGCCTTTTACACAGGCTAGTCACCAACAGTCGGATCATATTTCAAGCAAGCACTGTGACTAGTCAAATTCAGTCAACAGACAAAAGCAGGCAAGTTTTAAGCACAGCTGGCTATATCAATCACCTACAGTCAAAGCATACCTGTATCAAGTAACATAAGCAGTCACAGCCAGTCAATCCTGCTTTATGTAGGCTGGCAGCTCTCAACTGTTTAAAACAGTGACTTGATTGATTCTGACTGAAAGGACAACTTTGCACAGAATGCATGTTTGCTTGTTTACTCCGGTTTTCTTGGTTACAAGTGCCAAAGTTCCCAAAACCTGGATTTGTTGATTCATCTTGGTGATGGTGCCCTCTGCAACCACAGTGGCCAGACCGAGCTCACAAGATATTGGGTTTGGCTGCATTTGGGGAACATACTCATAGTCTCATAAAAAGACTACCTGCTGAAAAGGTCCAAGAAGGAATTTTTTTTTTCTGTCATTTTTTGAGCAATGATTTGTGCCCCAATTGATAGGCCCTCTGTAGAGTGTATGCATCTAGATTGTATATTTACTAATACGGTGTACATGACCTGCTTGCAGTACAGACTAGAAACCTTGTACACGTACAACCTTTTGTTATTTGGCTCATCTTTTTCTTCTCTTCACTTTGTGGTGTTCTTTTAGCCTCGAGTAAACTCCATATATAAGCAAGCCGTAAGTTGTCTTCACAGAGTCTACATGACGTATTTCTCACCAATGGCTTTATTCATTTGCCCCTGTGTGTGCCATATACATTGAGAAGACATTCATGCATGGGTCATGTGACAAGCATGAGCATGTCATGTGACAACAGACCTCATTTAAACCAGATCTTGTGCTGCAGATAAAAACACCGGGATACCGGGAATGGCCACAAAAGGAGAGTTGGGGGAGACCTACACTGGTTCCCAGTCTTTGAATGTATCCATAGTTATGGGGGCAGGGACTAACTAGTCTGGGAGACCATCGAAAGAGAAATTCAAATGCGTTCGCGCACCGATGACACCTGACGCTCACGCAGAGACGCTATGGCTTAGCTTTGTACGTATTCAGGATAAATAATGGCTGAGTTCGGGCGGTCTGTTCTTGACACCCGTATATTGTTCTTGTGCTCGAACTGCGGGAACACGACCCACAAACGCTGCACTCAGAACAGGATCACACACCACCTATCCATCAGGGTTTTGCGCGAACAATATACCCGTGTCAAGAACAGACCGCCCAAACTCGGCAAATAAGTCATGCGTACTTCGCGCACGAACCATAACAGTACGCACTCAGGGTGTGTCCCGTTAACGGGGCTCGCAAAAGTGGTAAAAAAAAACACCCTCATTTGCCAATACAACTTATACATGGTTTTAGGGTTGATAGTAGATATAAGGCCCCTTCACGTATTGGCATTTGACAGACTATTCACCTTGGGAAATATACATGTAGTCTGTCAACTTAAATACTGAGGGGAGCTAATATCGACCATCCACCAGAACCAAACCATGTTTTATTTTTTTTTTTACTATACCTCATATATACTGTATTTACAAACAACTTCATGAAGTGACGCATAAGTTTTCTCGGCAAAATGTTGTTGGTCGCACGTGTGCTTTACCTCCATGCATAAAGCGCATGCGTAGTAGACTAGTCGACTGGTAACCAGTGCGATAGACTACATATGCATGCGTATTTAACCTGTGCGTGAAACCCCGCGTGCGCGCTTGGTTAAACAGCAAAACTATAACAGCTGACACGTGATGGTGAATGAACTCTGCTCTTGATCATGAATATGTACCGGTATGAGGAATACAGGGTGTATCCAAAAAAAAAGGAAACCCAAATGTAAACGTAAATAATAAAAATCTAGTAAAAATATTTTCAAATAAGTTAAAGATCTTTCAAAGATACCTTGATTGTGTGTCTGTGGCCACGGATGAATGAGCATTCATTGTTATTCTGTCAAGGGTCAAAACCTGCACTGTGCTAAGTTTGTGCAAAAGGGTATTAAACTGGTATTCTGGGCATGTGGAACAGCTTAATTTAAAGAAAGAAGACATTCTTTTCCTCAAAACAATTTATTCAATTTTGACACAGTGATTTAACTACTCTGATTGTTGAAGTTAACCCCTCATGGCCCAGTGCCTTCAACGTGACCACCACCTCTTTCCACACAAAGCTCTGCACGACGTCACATATATCGCCAACCGGGCATAGCGTTCTGCCGCCTTACAAAAAACACCATATGATAAAAAAAAATGGAAAAAAAAGAGCAAACAGATCCTCGAGTCATATGCTTACGGAACTATTGACCAGAAAAACTAACAATTTCAAATGTCCCGCACTGTCAACCATCTGCCACAATGCACTGGAAAAAATAACTCCATGGCGAACTCTTGGTGGCGCACTGCATCGTGAATCGCCCGAATTGAACAATTGTGTCTGATTTTGTCTCGGGCTTATTGCACGAATTCAAAGATGTGTGCAAGATAGAACTGAACATCAGTGGTTATCAAGACTTAATATACAGCAAGATCTATCATTAATTGAGGTCTGTTGTTGGCACGAGACTTGGTATGCAGCAAGTTCAAGAGCAAGATCTGTCTTTAATTGAGGTCTGTTTTGGCATGTATCATTATGACACCTTTTTTAACAGCATGGTTTTCACGCATGCATTGATTCCTCACTGGCTGTGTTTGCGACATTGCTTGAATCAACATTGTGCATGGTACACCCACATCCATGTGATGTCCAGCTCATGTGACGTCTGTACATCCATCTGTCATGTGACACGTAGGCATGTGATCATGACGTGCATGTATGCATGATGTAAATGCCGATACTTGTGTTACTGTATTGTAGTCCAGTCTCCTGCATGTCATATACCATCATATGTGTCTCACATGACACGTCATGTGACGTTTTTACTTGTTTGATTCACCATTGCTTGATCCCAACGTTGCTTTACATGTAAAAAAAAAAAATGTATTTCCAAATTTACATTTCCATGCTTAATGACATATAAGTTTGTGCTGTGCAAATAAATATAAAGGTTTAATTTACTTACAAATAACTAATGGGTTAAAATCAACAGATTATCAGCAGGTTATCAGTATTAGAACTTCCAGTTCCTAATCCCAGATTTTCCATTTCCAACCCTCTCAAACCCATCTTCTCTCATCCTCACCTCTCCTAATCTATCTGCAACCCATCTAATCGCCAAAGCCTCATCCAGCCTCCTAATCCATTTCCTTATCCCTTAATCCCCCTCTCCCTTAATCCCAACCCAAATTAAAAGGTTATGAAAATGAGTGAGATACCCGAAGGATTTGTTTATTACATAGTTTGCCTATACATGTAGTGTGATAAAACCTTGAAGAAATTTGTTATGATTGTAAAAAAAAAATTAAGAACAAAATATGGAATTAACCATTGCAAATATGTTTAGAAAAATGACAAAAATTGCAGTTGATCATGCAAACAGAATTAATCTGTTTAAATTGTTTTTTTCTTTTAAGTGTTCATAGTATTGACATCAAATTCTTGAAGTGCATGAGGTATTTTGTTCATTTTAGAAATATTTTGCGCATAGATTTTAAAAAGTGCAGCACGCTTCGTGACATACCACTCATTTTCATAACTGGAACTGGAAGAAAGTGAAGGTTGTAACATAACCAGATATATCTCGGTGATTCGGTAGGTGGAAAATAATTTTGAGAAAAAAAGGTAAACTGATTCAAGGTCGATTAAACTGTGAAAGATTTAGCTCATTTGATTTTGAAAAAAAAATTGACTGATGTGACCAACAAGTCTGAAATTACAGAGTTGTTTTGGACTGCCAATTTCTTTCCTAAATAGTGAATTTGTTACATAGACGTACTGAGCAAATCTTGTTAATAACTGCAGTTGTGGAGTGAAGTATTTTTTTCCCCCAGTGCCTGCATGAAAACCTGTTCTGTGCATGACACACTAGACTGCAAGTATTATTCTGCAAGGACATAATAATTGTTCTCGTCCCAAGCTGAGAAACTAATTTCATTAAAAAAATATAATTAAAAAAAAACAAGTAGAAAAAAAAAGAAACTTTTCAAAATGATATCTTCAAATGATTGACACATTTTACATTTCGGTAGTTAAACATTTGGTGTCGTGAATCAAAGTATGTATATACATGTACAATACTGATTTTTTAGTATTAGGAAAAGACAGTCCATATGCTTAAAACACACAAAATGTGTGAATTTATTCAGTTTTAAAAAGTCTAAGCCTGAATCAGAGGTACATCTTGAAAATCTCAATTTCTCTTAAAATTTCTCACAAGTTGGCTGTGTCCCATTCCTCATCAGTTTCCGATTTCAAAGCACAATGCTGAGCCTATAGGAACAACAACACTCCTCACTCTTCTCATGCACAAACATTGTACACATGGCTGTTATTCTGAGAATGTTACTTGCTGCCAATTCCAGTCAGCCTCTTGATAAGCCACACCCGCTCGATAAGCCGCACCCACTTTCCATCAAAGCTCCTCCCTGTTTGTCCCGCCCATTTTGTGATTGCTATGATTATTTGATGCATTATTAAAATCTGAAAGAGTGATTGATGTAGGTTTTATTCTAGAGTGTTAAGACCCATACAGTTTATAGATAACTCATTAGCTTGGTAAGACTAATTGAGTTACCGCCACGGTAAGATTTGAGCATGATTACTTCAATCTGTTACTTCAACTATTTTAGTTTCATAGGCTGATTTCAACGATAGCATGAATCTCTAGATAGAGTGCATTTCAACATCAATTGCTAAGGGTGAAAACAGATTCCTGTTGTGCTGATTAATTATGGCATTACAGTGGAACGCCGCCATAACGAACATCGCGGGATCCACAGAAAATGTTCGTAACAGTGCTCGTTTGGTATAGCGATTTTAAGCTGCCGGTGCTCCGGTACTCACTTTTCAATAAATAGCACTCTTCATAACTTCACCCTGCATGCCTGGTAGTTACTGAAAGATGACTTCGAACACGTGCCAACTATTGAATTATGTAATTCCACAGTTTTGAGCTTACTACCTACATCGATGGGTGGCTTTCCCCTTCTATTCCTCGGGGAAATAATAGCCACTTGTCGCTCTTCTTTTGACATTTTTCAACAACAATATTCGGTTGGTTTTGAACACACAAATCAGGAGCCAAGAACAATTTTCGGTATAGCAGAACGTTCAGTATAGCGGTGTTCGTTATAGCAATGTTCCACTGTATTGCAAAATCTAACGAATACACATGTAGGTTACATCATGGCTCCAATGCTGTGCACTAATTTTGCATTCACTGTTGTTTTTTCCACATTGCTTAGATCGGGCCAGAGGGTTACGCCTTTGGCATCAACAGCAACGGTTACATTCTCTTGCACCCGAGACTTAAAGCCGAGGTATGTCACAAAACCTAGTTCCTGTTAAAGACGTTTCCAACAATTTTTTTTTTCCGTCTTCCCCTAATTTCTGCTAATGATGCAAACATCATTTGTAAAGACAAAATAATTTTTTTTAACCCTGTGAACTTTTCAAGTTGAGTCGACTGTTGCAACTTTGGGAAAGCTCTAAGTAAATTTAAAGTGCAGTTTTAGGTGTGTAACTTTTTCCATGTCTCTTCCTTAGTTCTCTTAAAACTGCTCCGTTTGGAGTACAACTCCCCAGTTTGGAGTACAACTCCCAGGATAATAACCATTTTTGTATAATCCGAGTGCCAAAAAAAGCCATGATGATATTCCTTTTGGGAGGGTTACATGACTCGATCAAGTTTAACATGTTTAACGAGAGCTTCAAATTATCAATACTGGATAATGCATGCTGAATGTGGTGGAGAAATGTTTTCAGTTTGTATGATTTGGGAAAGGAAGCACAATTGTTTTTCTTTTTGAATGTTGTGAAGCGGGGTCGTTTTTTTTCCTAAATTTCACTTGATTCCTGAAAGCACTGAAACGCATGGATAGAGAATGTTCACAATTTATCTTTTTCGTCGTAAAGAGCCTTGAGTTGATAGAACGATAATTGTTTTTAAATTTTGGATGATTTATAGGCATACATAGGCACACGTTGCATGTTTAACTAACAAATGTATGCATCTTTATGTTTTCAAAGTTGCATCTCTCTGAGTTCCGAATTTAGTAGTTATATTTTTGTTTTAATTTATTTTTGTTATGTTTTATTTTATCTTGGGGAATTTTTTTTCCCCCCACCCAGAATGCATCAGGATTTTTGTTGTCCAATTAGGAAGCATGTTAGATGGATTGAACAACGGTACAAGCGTTTGCAAGCCTTGGCACGTCAATACTAACAAATGGTTTTTTTGCATTTTGGGCTTGAGTTTGAATATACACCGCTTTTTCTTTACCAGAATGTTTTTTTGGTTTGTCATGAATGAAAAGAATGTTGCAGTTTCTTTGTTCGTTGCAGTTTGCATCAAAAACCTCACAATTCTTCCTGACCAATTTTTGTCTGCCCTTTTTGGCATTTCTTCGCCAAGTAAACTAATGGAAAAAGTAAAAATAGATTTACAAAAGTACAGCGAATCAGACAACCGTTGGTTGCCTCACCAAATTCTTTTACAGACATTTCAGTTTCTGCAGAGTTGTTGAAAGGTACCTTAAAACGATATTAAACTGGACTCTTTTCTGCAGTATTATCTTATCTACGTGATACTTGGTCCAGTACTCACCATCGATTTTTGTTTATTAGCCAAATGCTAATCACTATTATCTGCAAACTTTAAATTTGTTACAGCTGACGTTAAACTTGACTATCTTGACCGTTGACTTTTGACATTTCACAAACTACAAGTACTGGTGAAAATTTACTGAGCTCAGTTTCATAACACTACTGAACCGTTTATTTTGTATGATTGGCAAGGCTTAGCAGTTATAATAACCAACAATTGATAGAAAAACATTAAGCCCTAAGCATTTTTTTTTTTTGCAAAACAATCCAAGGTTAGTGGTATTTTTGGTTTGTACTTAGGCAGAAATGTATTCCTGACCGTTCAGTGGTGCTATGAAAATGTGAACATTTATGGACAAATATTTCTTTGTAAAGCATCTTGTGCACTGCTATTTGCTTGCTGTGGATTTAGAAGAAAATGCTTGATATACATGTACACTATATGTTGATACTCCCCATAATTTGCATTTACCTGTCATTGGACAACAGAGGGCGCTCTAGGCCATTTTGTTGTACCACTTATCTCCATGTAAAAAATTTGGAAAGCCCATTGGCTGTGAGAAGTGAAGTTACCACTCCTATATAGAACAATAGATTTGTAAAGAAAGATGTGTTACATTTAACTGACATGTACACTTTTTTTTCGCAATGTAATACAAAAAAGTTGTACTCAAAAATATATAAATGGTAACAAAATATACATTTTCTGTTTAGAAAATAAATGTTTCGTGTGCTTTAAGAAGGCTCTATTTTTAGTTTTCTTGAAAGATGAGAGTAGTTATGACTGGTTCCCTCCCCACATTCAAATGGAGGTATCGGGAACCAGTGCGTAGCTTCACTTGCTTGTACAGCTTGAAATTTCCATTGTGGTTTCAAGATTTATTACATGGAGATCAGTGTTCTGTACCCATACAATTATCAACGTCAGGCATGCGGAAATGTTTCCCTCTGTCGTCTGAAAGTCTACCTAAAGTCTCATCTGCCACACTTGATTTCTTCCTGAAGTTTTTATTCCCCAAATCTGCACTTTGTAAAGAATAGAAATTTCTCAGTGTGGAGGTAGACATAGTGTGCAAAAGTACCTGAATATTCATGATATCCTTGCATTGTGTGTTTGCATAATTTACACCTTTATTTGTTGTGTCGACCCGATTCGATCGATGACAATGCCCCTTGACTGACCAATCATATCCCTGCACTAGATTGCAACCATTGTTATGCACACAAAAAAAACCACCAATCCTTGTTAGACACTAACATTTGCTTAACAGCATGACACCGGTAAATCATAACAAAGTAAAAGAAGTATTTCTAAACTAGTATAACTTCAAACTTTGTTTGTATACTGAATCTGTAAAATTGGTATTACACACAGTTTTAAGACGATTCCTCAAGATTCCTCAAGTTTTCTTAACAGGAGTAATCAGTGAAATTGTAGCGACACTTTCTGAAATGCTTGCATCATGCTCATGTCTTTGGAAAATAATGCTCTCCATTTTCCATTTCTGTCACTTTTTCTCCTCTCATACCTCATGATGCGTAGTAGTCCACCACTTCTCATTATCATGCATGAGAACAAAACAAAAGAATGCCTACATGTTTGTGTACAAATTTGTATCCAGTCATCATACATTAAACACCATGGTATACATTCTTCATTAAAGTAACATACATATGCGTTGACACACAGGAAGAATATGTGTCTGCAGAACTTAACCTAAATCATTGGAGTCTACTGAACTGATCAGATCCCTCCATTAAAATATACTCGCCTTCTGAAAACTGATGGGACGAACGGCATTAGAAACAGTTTCGCTCATTCTGAAGCATACTTAATATCCTTTGTAGTTGGACAGAATTTTCTGTTAAGGCTATTTTCAATTGACATGAATTATTGATTATTGAACTTTGGTGAACCTGGATCAGGGCATTTGCACAGACAAAAGAAAGAGCTTTGGCCATATAGAACCATTCCGGGGATGCCCACACATTTAAAGTTTTCTAGCTTTGGACCAAAGTAGATAATCCTTTGAATTTTGTCAGGCTCTTTTAGTTCAAGTTACAAAAGCAACAGGGTATCCCAAAGTTCTTCTTTTTGAGGGGGAAAGGAAGGGAAAGGGGTGCTCTTTCTTCTTCTTTTTTCATTTTTTAATCAGGAATCTGTGGATGTGTAGACAACAGCATCAATTTAAACCTTGTCGCGTTCACTCCTACTCCGGTTTAATTAATAAAAGAAACAAGTATTCTGGACAAATACCCATAGTCCTTTTCTTTAATACACATACTTTGAACTTAATTATACTGGGCACATTGCTCTGTCCCTGCGAGTTAGTCCAAACAATTTAGAATGTGCTTATTTCTGTGTTGTCATTCTTTCTGTACGTGTAGCTCAATACAATGTACGTTGAATGAGATTTCATTTTCCGATAGCAAATGACATGTTTACTCATTTTTTTTTTTTAACTCGATTTGAGATAATATTGAAAAAGTAACAAGTGAAACCTCTGAAAAATTGAAAATTTATACACACTTAGGCTGTATTTTTCACACCGAACTGCTTATTGTAACCCGCCAATCAAATAGGATCAATCATACAAAAACCAACAATATGTCACCTCCAGCACAAAACCGACCAGGAAGTCGCACGGCCGTATTTTAAGAAACAGCCTATATAATACAACCTTAACCATAACCTTCCTAACTCCATCAAAATCCATCCCCCCGTTTAGGGGGATTTTGGCAGGCAAGCAATCTGTACCAAGTCCATCAAAATCCACCAGTGTAGTCGTCTTGTGGTGGATTTCAGCAGATTTGGTCCTGAAGCATTGTGTGAAGCAGGGTCAGTGATGGATTTTGGCAGACTTGGTCCAGTACTTAGTCAAAAATAGTATAGTTGAAGTTAAAATATTGTAACTCTCTCAGATTTTTTTCTACAGATTCCCATATTCTATACATCATTGCAAAGTTCATTTGAATGTCCTTTCCAATGAGCCCAAAATCCCAGTTTTCAAAAATTGGTTCAAGTGAAAATAGTTTTGTGCTGGAGCGGTCATATAAATCCACCAATCATTAACGATCAACAATGGCTGATACCCGCCAATCACATTGTTCCCCCTAATCACGCCGACCAATCACAACACGCTTTCATGAATAAATTATGTGAGATCTTCTCATAGCCATTGACATGCAAACCATGTAGGATTCCTTTATAGAAACCCACCAATCACATATATCCATCTTGACCTGCCAATCACGTTGTCTTCATTCTTATTCCCATCGACCATCAAATAGTTGTGCAAATCCTTAGTCATTGCCATTCGATCCCATTTGCGAACTTGACCATTGCAGATCATCCTGTGCTGCTGAAGCTTGTAACCTTGCATTTCTTAATAATCCAAAAATTTCACATTACCAAGCTTGAATATTTCACACCAATAAATGTGATTCATCATCAGTATCACTCGGCCAGGCCATAGATAGATGATAAAATTCAATGAAACCCTTAAAATTTGTAAGCACGTAACAATTCGAAGAAAATACTGTACACTACAGGGTGAGTAAAAAAAAACGAAACACAAATGGCATGACCATTTTTTGAGTGAAATTTTTTCCCGTAACACTTTCAAAATCTAGGATAGAAAGCTCATCTATTTAGCTTTCTTTTTAGTATGGGAATCATTCAAATCACTCATGTACTTTTCAAGTTGCAGAATTTTGAGAACAAACACCATTTTAAAGTTCTGTCCACGGATCACAAAAAAAGTGTTCTTGCAAAAACCATTGCAAGCCAAAACCATTCACATGCATCCCTATGAGAATTGTTTTCATTTTGCTGAAAGAATACTTACTTTTGTGTGATCTGTGGACTGAACTTTAAAATGGTGTTTATGTTCAAAGTCTTGAAAAATAAATGCCATTTGAATGATTCCTGTACTAAAAGAAAGCTTAATGACTGGGCTTTCTATCCTAGATTTTGAAAGTACTACAGGCAGTTTTTTTTTTACTCACCCTGTATAGTGGTGAAAAGTGAAATTTAGGAAAAGAATTCTCGTCAACAATTCAAATCAATACACTATGAATATATGAAGCGGGCTAAATGAATCCATGCACCAATCAGATGCCACAATAACATTATTTCCTAAATGCTAAAAATATGTATGATGTGACTAATTGCCTCGTTCTCCAGTCTGATATTCACATAATTTTTGTCAATACTATGATTTGGTATGACAAACTACATGAAACCTCACGCTTTCTTTTATTTTAATCAATGTCATTCACTTAATTTGGTCACTGCCCAAATGGTATGAATATGTATGATGTGTGTAACTAACCCATGCACCAATTCGACTCCATCCTAATAACTTGTCACCACCCCAAAGGCCATGAATATGTATGAAGTGACTAACCTGACCTCATGCACCAATCAGGTTCCATTTTAACTTGGTTTCATATGTGACCTTTTGGTGTCATTTCTTCTCATTACTCTTTGATATAGGCGGAGATTGAGGCTATACTGGAGGTATACTCAAAACAGTTCCAACCTACTCCATGGTTTTCATTCATCCATTCATGCATTCATTCACTCATTTTCATCATTAATTTCCAATTGGTTTCTGGCAGTGATTACTATCATTTTTTTTTTTTTTTTCATTTTTGTGAGAGAGACGTTTTTTTTTCTTTTTTGGTTTTGCAGTGGTTTTCAATTTTTCACTCCTGATTTTCTTCTATCGGCATGAAGAAAAACCACAATTTTTTTGTTTCCGTGAGATTTTTTCCTTGCTCTTCAGTTACTTCTTTTGAACTTCAGGTTCCCATACTTTTTGCATGGGTTTCTCGAGATCGGAATCTCCAGTTTGAAATGATCTGCCACAATTTTTTTTTCTTGATTACTACGGCACATCATTCATAAATGCAATGGAGCACCACTAGACTAGCATCATTAGTCCTCCCTGCTGCTTCATATACCGTGCATGGCCTGAAGAGTAGTTCAAACTCCCTTTTGCATTGCGAAACACGTCTGTCATCTGTCAATTTTTGTGTCATACATGTACACCAACATTTGTATACCGGTACCTCTTTTATTTCACTTATTGTTTTGTATTCCCTTCCATCTGGGGTGAGGGGGCATCAGTGGACAGGGGGCTGTTGTCAGTTATTGTGGTACAAGCGAAACAGGTTTAAATAAGACCTATTAATTAGACTATTAATTATTATTAGAGTGAAAATGAAATCCACCTGTCCCTGAGTTTCTGCACAAAACACTAAGCACAATGTGTTTTGGGGCACAGCTTGATTCACAGGCTGCGATGTAAGATCTGAATATATTTGCTATTAATGCCTGCAAATACCACAAAACCGTTTTACAAATAATACAATTGATGGTGATGTCATCTACAAAATATACATTTTAGCTGTGAAAATGTAAGGTACTATATTGACATTGATCAAAAAAGATATGGAGAGAATAATTCTCATACTTGATATTTGAAGAACAACTGCTTCATTTTTGTTCGCATCCAGGCTTCCAAAAATACAAAATGTGTTTCTCAATATAACAGAATATTGAACTTTTTGACTGTAAATGTGACAATACTTTAAGGTCAAGTTTGTTTGATGTGTAGACCCTTCTTGAACACCAACAGCCCCCAACCTACTAGTAGCCTGCCTTTTAAGGGTTTTTTTGGTCTGTGCTTGAGAGGTGTCCTTGGTTTGTGAATTATTTTTGTTCTCGGCATTCAGTCCTTTTATTGTGTTACATGTATGAATATGTATGGAGTCTGACTTGTTTGTGCTGGTATAAGCAATGCATTTGGGTATATGCAAATCATTGCTTTATTTACTACGTTTCCATTCTGAAATATGGAACCCTCTTGTCATTTTGTTACGTCTAAATCCGCGAAACTCCAGTTTAAACTCAGTGCATGGCTTTTTTTTACTATATGAATATTCATTTTATAGTGAAATGAACTCTCAATTCCTTTCAAGCTTGGGTAATCAGTTGGACAGAGAGTGGGTTAGAAATTCTACAAATAAAAAAAAAATTAAGAATACAAATTGGTTATCTTTTTTTTCCCTCGCTTTTTTAATTCTCAAATTGTTAAAATTCAAGTAATTTTCAATTTTAAAAAAGGTTGAGTTTTTCCCTGCACGTGTGATATCTGCACTCCTTTTTTGAGATAGTATCTTTCGTCGTCTTCCTAGTTTGGGATTTCAAAAAGAGTTGTCCCATTGTCACTTTTGTTTGACTTCTTTCATTCACTTGTCAGCGCATTTGTTCCAGAATTTTATTTGTTCATGTGCACGTTACTTTCTGTTTATTTTTCTTGTGGTTCTAGACAAGTGATCTTGTACACCTAGATGACTTCACCAGTCTCCTGTACCATTTTGTTTTAGTCCGGATGTTCACAGTTTCATTTCACCAATTTTGTCACAAGTCAAAACCCTACCATTTTTGTGTATGTCCAGTTTTATATGTCTTTGTTGGTTGAGTGAGGTTTTGGTAACACCTCCCCTGCGAGGTTTGTACGAGTAAAAAGTGGTCGGAAAAAAACCCAAACCTGACAGTTATTCATTGTAAGTATCAGTCCAGTCCTGGTTGCTGAGCAAAATGCATGAGGAGAAGCATTATGGGTAATTTACTAACAGCACCCCACAGAGATTGGTACGTGATTACAATTATTTGTAGATTGGTAATCTTGTGAATTATTTTTTAGTACTTTGTGTCTGTGTTTGAAACCAATTACGACCCTCGTTCTTTTGTCTACCTCCCATCCCCACCGCATGTCTAACAGTGATCGTAAGCCAGTTTCCACCCTGACTCTTCCCCTCCTCTCTGTGTTTTCACCCATTTGTTACACCCCATCTGTCACCCCTGTTGGCCATTAGCCATACCCTGCCCCACCCTCATTACCCCACTAAGACTTCCCCACAACTTCCCCGGCCCCAAAACACATCCCAGTGTCAGTAATTCTAACCCGAATACCAATATCGCTTCCTTTTAAACCTGTGTCCTGTCCTTTTCCAGTTTACCCCTCGACCATTCCATTGTCCACCTTTGACCTGTCCCAGCAAAACCTTTACAAAGCTGCAGCCATGTTTGCATCCAGTCGGAACCATACTAAAATCCATTGGTACAGTACTTCAGTACTTCCGGTCACCAGACCAAGATGGCAGTAGCATTGTAAAGGTTTTCATGACCTTTTGAAACTGCAATTTTTTTCCTCACCAATATCTCCGACCTTGTACCCCATTCCGTGACTTGTTTTCCCGTATATTTTGCTATTTGCATTGTTTGCTGTAAGTTTGTTATAAATAAAGTTTCTCGATATTCCACAAATGGGACTTTCTTTTCATAAAAAGTAATTTTCACATGAAATAAAACCTAGCTGCTCCGTGCACCATTTTGGGAGTCGGTTGGATCATCCGGTTGTGCGTGCTTATTGCGCACCTACAGTTAAACATCTACTGCGAATAGACATGTTTGTGGCTTGCCAAGAGCATGGCCATTGAATATCGAACAAGTTTTGTGTATGATGCAGAACATGGAACGGTCATATATCAAAGGGGAAGTATAACTTCGGAAACGGTGCAGATATTGGGCATTCATGTCATCATGCAAAGAATGTTTGATGTTGGAGATGTTAATCAATATTAAACCGTTAATTTGCCTTGTGCAGCAGTATAAACAACCAGACTACAAATGAAACTTTCCATAAAAAGTGTTTATAAACAACAAAATATTCAAGTTAGACACTGCAGGAAATGTATTGGGTTAGATTTCTGGAAACTTTAGAGGGAAAGGGACAGTTCAAATATCGGACAAGCTTGTAAATGTGGTACTGGCTGCAAAAAACAATAAACAGTCATGATTTTAAGGTGAAATTTGCATCGGGTGATGTAACTTCAATAATTATGTCCGTGATGGGCAGAAGCCAGTATATTCAATTGGACAAGATTTTGTCTTGTTTGAAGTGGAAGTACTCTGACCAAGAAGTTGGGTTTCTATATACTTAAATTGATTCATTAATTTTACAGTTGTTGTGACATTGCATGCATAGGCCTTGATAAAATATCCTGGTCTTCTAAATTGTTAACTTTTTTTTATTGCAGTGCCATTAATTAATCATTTGTTTTATCATTCATTTGGTTTGCCCTTGGGTGTGTTTTTGTTTTGATGATTAAGATTTGCTTTCCCTTGTCAATGATATTTAATTTGTAGTTGGGGTATTTGACTGAGCCGCCCAACGTTGATTTCTTGGAAGTGGAGTACGAGATTCCTGAAAAAACCAAGGTAAGGGGCAGTAGTTCACACTAGGAACGAACCCTTTAAGGCCAAATACAATTTGTGTTAACGGTATCCCAACCTACCTGGATTTTTATCCCCCTGGCTTTCAAGCCAGCCGGGGGGGGGGGGGGGGGGGGGGGGGGGGGGGGATATTGCGATCGCGTATTCCTTCTGTGTGTCCGTGTGTGTGTGTGTGCCATTTTGGTTAGGTTCACTGTAAGTTCAGTCATCAATATCAACCAAACTTGATAGTAGGTCTTTTGAGAGAAGGCTGCAGTTAAAAAAAATTCTTTCCAATATGGATCTTTACGAGTTCTCTGGAGAGCTCAGTTCAGCATTACTAATGGCTCTAACATATGTCAGTAGTATAGGATTAATGACTCTTCATGCTGCAGTGGCAAGGGGAACGCACCCAGACTCACTGACACAAACCAAACTCCCCATTCAACTGAGAACTGGTACCTGCCGGGTGGCCAATCAAGGCCGTCACTAAACATTGTCCTTATTAACTGCCTGTACATGTATACAAACTGCCAGGATGCCAGGTGGTTCGCGCAAGTTTTACTTGCGGTAATTTTTTGGGCTAAATTGCCAACTCAACTTTTTTTATTTGCCAGGTGTGTGGTGTTGTGGCAATGAGATGGAACTGTTAGTGGAGAAAAATGCAAAAAAAACCAAAGTTGGTGGATAGCTATGTCACAAACATTTACATAATGGTGGAATGCCACCTGCAAAACAGATGCAAAACAGAACGTGTCAATTTTGAATACAGGCAATTTTGAATACAGGCGCCACCAAGAGTTTGCCACGGAGAGTTAATTTTTCCCAGTGTAATATGGGAGATTGTTGACAAATTCGCAGCACTGGATATTTGTAATTTGTAATTTGTCCAGTTAGTAGTTTCGTAAGCGTATGATTCGAGTATCTGTTTGCCCTTTTCTTTCTTTGCTTTTATCAATATGGTGTTTTTGTAAGGCGGCAGAACGCTATGCCCCAATCTATGACAAATTAGCTCTAGTACTGATACTCGTTCAAATGGGCCATGGTTTGTCGACCGTACACTTGAAAAATGGACTCTCCGTGGCAAACTCTTGGCGGCGCACTGCATTGTGAATCGCTGGAATTGTCGGAGCATGGCTCAAAGTTATCATTATTTTCTCTCTTTTTTTCTTTTTTTTTTGGTGAAGCTACGGATTGAAATGATAGATCAGGAGACGAACCAGACAACCATGAGAACCCCCATCATGTCCAGCGATGAGGTCAGTGAACGTTGCTAGTCCTGAGGGTTGCAGACCAGTAAATAGACAGCCATAGACCGCAGTGATAAATGCGCCCACTTCCGAAATTTAGGGAAAATACTCGCAACTCTCAAAGGTGTTTGAAACACACATCAAATTAAAGCTTTCATTTTCTGTTCAAATTTTTTGGAGTTAACCAGTGACATTTGGGAGACAACTCTATCCAAAGATAACCCCTAAAAGTAGTCATGTAGCCCGTCGCCATTTTGAAAAAAATGAAGCCTACGCTCTATTGCAAAATTTATTGTAGGGTACAATTTTCATCCAAATTTAACAGAAATACAAGCTTGCAGTCCTGTGCACGGCTTCCACCTTTCTCTTTTACAAACCCTCAAGTACTGGAGAATTTGAGGGCATGCAAATCGTGATTTGACCGGTCTGGGCAATTTCGGGCCTATTTACTGGCCTGCACCCTTTAATATACCCGGAATTTTGCTGTTTCCCCCAAACCACATTCGACCACTTTTGCGCTGGGATTATTTTTGCCGAAAAGTTTGATTTTCGCACAAGGCAAAATTTTTCAGCCAACTTCTGATATGCAGCCAACTTTTGATACGACAGCCAGATGCCACAAATACTGATTAGCAAGAGTGATTTCCACAGTATTTGTATGATATTTCTTGCCGAAACCTCATATGTTTCAATACTCCGAAGTGTGCACTGTGGCGTAAATTGTACAATAGGCCTTGCACACCGGCCAATTCAAGATCAACACATAGTCCGCCTCCACAGACTTCACAGACTTTGTGTGTCTGTACAAAAGGTATGAGGGATTAGCGTGTTTAGACGTCACCTGGAGGCGAGTCGAGGCAATCTTGATGTCTTAACGTCTTAACCCGTCAGCCATGCCTGTGTATAAAAACAGCCAGTGCAAGTTATCATGTCCTGCAACGCGAAGAGGTTAATGCAAGAGGAAGTAGCCATAAATCATATAACATGTAAAAACTGCACTCAAAAAATATCTCAGGTTTTCAACAGCTTGTACGCTTTGTCTGCCTGTGCATGCAATGAAGTTGGAGTTGTAATGTATTTTCCCTTTCCCGCACTGAAATTGCAGTCAAAAATTCCCTCTTACTTTGAATTATGTTTCCTCCTTGTGGTATAGCCGGGAGGGGACGCCCCCCCCCCAAATAAAACCCAACAAATTACCAGCATCCTCCTTATATGTTATGTACCCTTCTGTTACTGTTTTAACGTTTGTATTTGTATCATGTTCAGATTGCCTGAAATGAAATGTATTTAATATTGTTGTTATTACCCTGTTTTTCCAACAGAGATACCTGGAGTTTGTGAATATGACCTACTCCTACACTTTCATCACGAACACCACATTTAGGTAAGATTTCACTGATTGCCTTATTTTTGAAAATACTTCCCATGTCATTGGGATTGCCATTAAAAATTGAAGGAAAGCAAATTGTGGAAAGTCTTGTAGAACAACAAAAGAAGAATCAAATTTTGTCTTTGTGCAAGTTGCATGTGGGAGAGTGGATTAAGAGTGGATTAGAAATGACCGACGAATTAGAACAATTCGTCAGTCTTGACTTGGTTCCTCCTGTCAGGGTGTTTGAGCGTGCAACCAGGCTCTCTGCTTCCTCCTACACTCTAGCTGTGCCGAGATGTAGAACAAAGAACTGCTCTACTAGCTTTTTCCCACGTTCTGTATCTCTTTGGAACTCCTTGCCTAGTGTGTGTTTCCCTCCATTCTATGATCTAGCCTGTCTTAAGAGAAATATCAATCCTACTTCCAGCTTTCCTAAAAAAAATTCCCTCACATTTTTCTTCTTTCTAGCTCTTTGCCAAGAGTGGCTTTTATAGTTTTGTTTGGGCGATTTTGCATTAAAAAAAATATAAAAAACAGGTTCCATCATACAAGATTGATAAGATGAATATTTTTAGATTCTTTCTACTTCTAAAACTTTTGCAGTTACCGTCCTGGGATGATGATGTAATCTACTTTGCTCCAATTATTAGTCCCTGTACTACCCCAAAGCGCCCTGCCAATTACCCCCATACCACCCTAACTCTCTATGGTTATCTGGATTCATCAAGGAGAATGTTATACAGTGTAATACTGTTGCTAATGAGTTAACTCTCTGGTTAAGTTGCCCTGAGCTACTGTTGTTCTCATTAAAACTGAGATTTTATTGTCTTGACTTTTTTGTGTCAGTGTCGCCATAGCACAGCCCCAGTTTGGCTTGTGGGAGTGGAGTATTACGAGTAAGGGCAGCCTATTGGAAGGTAAGCATGACCCCCGACTCAAGGTGACCTCACTCATTTTATTAATCCAGTGTTCGTCTTCAGCGGTAGCCCACTAGCCAATTGCTAGTCAAAACAGCGGCGGGTTAGTCAAACTATTCCTTGAGTAGCCCGGCTGGCGAGTCAACAAATTATTGGGATACGGCAAAGATGAAAGGACAGAAGAAATAAATCATGAAATTCAGAAAGCAAACCTGTATCAATTTGTGTCTTAGTTTATCAACTGTTAAATTGTTAAATCTGTTTATGAAAAACACTGACAAAATTGCCTCAGAATAGAAGAGAAATCAGTTGGAAATGGGTAAAAACGAATTTTACTAATATGACCTATTTTCGTTCCAAGAGCCTTGTTGGATCACGTCTGTTTTCACATCACATACTTGCGGATTCTAAATTTATTCAGGCTCGTTTGGATCACGTTTAATACAGCTCTTATCATCAGTCATTTTAGATTTGTTTGTAAATGAAAATAAACGCGTCAAGTTTATTTAAAAGTGTCTGTCCCAAAAGACATTTAAGTCTCCTGTTTAAGTTGAAGTTTTTACCCAATGACCGGCACAAAAATATTTCATAAATTTTCATGCTTGAACGAGTGACCGAGTTCCAAGAGTCCACACGGAAATGTTCGGAAGTGAGAGGTCCATTTTTGGCACGATCTTTCTCTTTTACGTCCTGCGATTTTTCAGTTTCCATAAAATTCCGAGGGTGATTTTCCTAAGAAATATATGTACCAAAAACGAATTTCTGACTTTTACACATTAATTTTCCTTCTCGAGGGGCCCTGAAGCACGCCCAAGAGTCAACTTTCAGGCCCTATACACGTTTTACATGTATGCACATTGTTGTTTATGAGACACTTTACAACAGATGTGGGCTAGTGAAAATGCCCGCGGGCTAGTTAAGAGTCTGTTTCAGTAGCCTGGCTGGCTAGTGAAAAAAATATAAGTTAAGGTCAAACCCTGTTAACCCTATCATGACTGGTATACTGAGTCTTCTCGGGACCCAATTTCAATATGCGTACTCGGCAATGTTTCCTCAGTAAAATTTGGAAGGAATGTTGATGAGGTTAGGATTACGGTAGCAGCATGTGGCAAAGCTCTTTTGTGGGTTTGTGTGGTTCTGAAAAGAACCAAACAGAAAGCTAAACTCTGAAATTGTTCGGTTGTGCTGCGGTTACCTCAATATCAGTCAATTTTTGCCCAATTTGTTCAAAAACATTAGTATTATTATGAAGTGAATGTATACATAATAGGCTTGGGCACAAAAAAAAACCTTGGTTTTGACAAAAACAAACAAAAAATTTTCTCGGTTTTTACACAAAATGACCATTTTTTATGATTAATACTGTTGTTAAATCGGTTGTCATGGTAACTTTGGATACCCTGCAGAATTTGTGCCGAGCGACTGAAGCGTTACGGAGCTTGAGCAAGAAGTTTCGTGTACCAGTACTTCCCCCTCCTCCTCCTTGCTCCTGGGTCATTCCATAATCAGGGGTCCAAAAACGTGACATTTTTTGTGTCCCTATTACACCTGACCTGTGTAATTTGCAATGTAAGTGTCATTTTAATTGACTTCAAAATATTTCTTATTGTTTTTTAATAAAGTTCTATTTGACTGTTCACCCGTAGACTTTGGCAACCTGATTGACGAACAGGATGACGTGACCCTGCTGATTGCTCCGTGGTAAGTGCCTTGTCAGATCAGCTAGTGGAGTTCTTTGGCCTCAGTATCGGTATATCCGTGGGTAATTCTGCAGGTTTTGAGTTCAACTCCAGCCTGGAGTTGTGGTGTTTTATGTTTGTGGTGTTAATCGAGGACCCACACATGCAACATCATCGATGAAAAAAAACCTCCATTGACAGACGTGCTCCGTTGTATCGATTCTTACTAAAATACAGGGTGTCCTGAAAATAATGGTGCATGTAAACCCCGCCATTTTCACCAATTTACAACCGGAATTTACTACAAATGTTTACACGATCTTCAAGGTTACAGATTTAGATTGAGAATACCGTTTGTTAATTTAGGACTGCTTTTGTAAATCCAGAGATATGTTTGAATAAGCGCAAAGCCAAAAAAAACCATTCTGTGCCACTTTTAGGAAGTGAGTGCTTCAAAGATCCGACAATATCAGTATGGCTGTTTTGATAAGATTATCCCTATGGGTGTAAGACAAACATTCCATTCACACGACAATATAGGGTTTTGTTCTTATGTTGATTTTATTAAATTAACAATTTAATAGTGCAGACAGGTTCACTTCTTTAAAACTTCAATGAAAGAGTTCAATAAAATATAAATAAATGTTGCACACTCTGCTTAAAAATGTTTAAAACACTAAGTGATTTGGTTTTAGACTAGGACTATACTGATTTTAACTGCTTCACAGAAAGTGGCACAAAATGGGTTTCTTGGCTTTGCCGTTTTTCAAACATATCTTTGGATTTATAAAAGCAATCTCAATGAAACAAACGGTTACCTTGAAGATGGTGTAAACATCCGCAGAAAATTTTGGTTGTAATTAGCAAAAATGCACCATTTTTTTCAGGACGCCCTGTAGTACCTGGCTAAGGAGGGGATGGATTTCCCTTGAGTTGGTCTCTTTGGCACAGACTACATGCTTCATCTTTAAGTACAATGTGTGACCGGCATCTGCGTGGGATTGGGTCCAAGTACTCGCACTAACGTCTTGCAAATCTGGCAGCAATGGGCGTGTACCAGCAATGGGCGTGTAGCCAGTTTACATAAATTAGACCGTTGGTGTAAACGTTAATATCCTCAAACAAAACGGCGGCTTCCCATTTGATACCGGTAGTTGTGCGCGTGCGGGGTATCACTGCGTTGCATATCTAATTAGAGATGCTTGATCACCGCTGTTCACAGTTGAATTTGCGCACGTAGTGTATATGTTTACAATTGCGCGAAGACTATAAACTTTCCAAAACTGCTGTCCAGTGCCGAACGTTCATTATCAAACCATTTCGCAATCGCTGATTGGTTCCCTGGGATAGCCTGGGTGAAAATAAAGAAAAAGTTAAATGACTGCTACAACAGGATTCCCGAGACGTTAGCGCGAGCAGGCCTGCTGGTTTAATCATGCCGTTAGGTGCTGTTCTACTGCCAAATGAACGGGAAACAATATGCACGATCCACTATTGATCACTAGCGTCTTGGGCAAAGACTATTTATTTGTGGGCACGTGTGGTCTAGCGTTGGAGCATAGGATTCATGATTGTGAGGTTGTGGGTTCGAGCCCCGCCGTGGCCATGCGTGTTGTGCCCTTGAGTACGGCACTATACCTCAATTACTCCTCTCAACCCAGGTGTTAAATGGGTACCGGCATTATTCAGTGCTGGGAAGGTAACAGACTCGCTGTGGAGGAGGTGTGGCGATCCCCCCACAGCAGCATATGAGTCTGGCCCAATCGCTAATGAATGAGAGATGGGCACTCCGTTCCTGTGAACGCAGGTTCGTCCCCTTTACCTTTACCATATTTATTTGGCAATACCCGGCTACAATTCAACGAGGTCGAGTTCCATATGCCACCAGACAGAAGGCCGAGCATGTTTGGCATGACAAAGTTAAAGCATAGTGAAGCTGCAACAGGTTCACTTACACTGTTGTCTGATTGGTTCACCAGGGAGTTTTGTGACTGCCACGTTGGCCAAGAAGGAAGGATAACCACCGAGAACATCACCAACTCCATTCAAGAAGCCATCGCTGCACTGCAACAGCTCAGCACAGTCCTGGAGATATGTGAGTTATTTCAGTGCAATATAGCTCCATGTGCAAGCACCCCCTCCAAGGATTGGAGAAAGTTAGTTGGGACCCCTTAAACACAATCGCTCTTTACACACTTCCGCCATGGGCATGCACAGCCTCGATCTGTCAACCTTACACAATAAATATAGCCGGTTCAGTGATTCCCGTGTCGGGGTTCCGATCGCTGAACCGGCTATTTTTATTTTTATGCATGCCCAATGGCGGAGCGTGAAAAGAGCGAATTGGGTGCATTCAAGTAGCTCACCAGGATCGACTCGGGTAAAGGGGGGCGGGTTAGCTCAAACGCGGGCCATCATGATCCTCATGTGACATCTAGTCATGGCCATAGCCGTTGATGAAATGCCCTTTTCGGACTGAGTCTTACCATTCCTTCCTCCTGGGCCGTAAACTTTGAGATTGACTGCTTTTCCGTCGATCACAAAGTCAAATAGTCAGGCTGGAACCAGCGTCCTCGTAAGTTGCAATGAGCTCAATAAATAATCATGTCTAGACTTCAAATAAAGTTGATTTTGGGGTCAACTTGATCTTTCCGCTGTCTATCCGCCATATTTGTCCTTTTCTTTCACACACAACGTGTGTGACATATTTCCACCATTAACTCCGCTCCGGGAGCAGGGTCTGTGGTGGCTGACCCAGGCGAGCCCCGAGAATGACGGCAGAGCTAATCCAAACGGTACGGGAATAAACAGAGTCGACCCAGGTACGCTTATCGAACGCATCCTAAGCGGACTGCACAAGAATCTCCTGAGGTTACACACAGGGTTCCCAGCCACTCTGGAAATCAAGGAAAACTAAATCTCGAAAATGAGTTGCCAATTTCCAGTCAGGGAAAATGGGGGTAATTTGGAGGGAAAAAATACAAAATGAATGATTGAGCAATTGTAAATGTATTCTCTTTTCTTTGTGACATCTTCAGGTGATGACTACATGGTGCGCAAGCTTCTGGTTGATGCAAACATCACCAGACATGTCGCTGATTACTGGAAGAAAGTAAAGCAAAATGATCCAACCAAGTTGTAAGTTTTGGTAGTAACCCAAGACATTTCTGCTTCTTAATTCATTCAAGTGAAGTCTGTCATGAGGGAATATGGTGCATCAGGCTTCCGTTTATCCCCTTCGCATGATAAGGACTGAGAAAATGTATATCCCCGTGGGTGGCGAGAGGCAAGGAGGGTGTAGTGGCTTGCCCAAAGACACAACATAATTATGGGCAATTTCATGAGGAAGTGGACATATCTGAAAAAGTGGAAAATTCATGAAATCTACAGGACTTCAAGCACCACAACCTCAAATGTGGTATCAAATTAGAGGAAGAACTATCATTTGAGTGGTGTGCCAGTGAGAAAGAATATCATAATATAGTATTTTTTTGTAAAAAAAACACCCTTTCTTTTGGTGGGGGGCTTTGGTTATGGAGGGAATAAAGGGAATATATATACAACATTTGCCTTTGCTGTAGTTTTCAGAAATGGATGGATTTGGGGGTTTAGTATTTTGTAGCAAATGTTGTTACACTGACCTATTTGAAGTTTTGTGTTCATAGATGCTGGAAAAACCAAGAAAAACAATCAATTTCCATTTTCCCTGATCCCACTTAAGATGAAACGGAGCAATTTATAGACGTCGGGGAATTGTAAGGTCAGGGAACCAGTCTAGCTGGCTTGTACCTGTTGATAGGTGTGTTATCGATTGCAAACAAAATGCGAACTAACTTACTATGGTAAATTGGGGGCAGTATTTGAAATAAGCCAGTTTATTTTTCCAACGCTGGTCTGTTAAAATACAAAAATACAACTTTCCTTAAAAAAGTCAGCACACAAGGTGCCATGATCTTACAGGATGCTTTGGACTGTCATTCAATTACAATCCAGTAAGGTATTTAATGATAATTTGGAAATTTTGTTTTTGGATGTCTTCAAATGTATATTGCCTTAACACAGCATTACATCTCGTAAAACATGTCCACATGATTTTGAATTTTGCTGTGCTAATAAATCCCCTCAAACCACTCCTCACTGTAATGATTTCTGTAACGTTCTCAATTCGCAGTGATGGGATAATTTTCAACGCAGTAGCAACCCACGGTGGTGTGACCAGAATCTATCCCAGCAGGTAAGCGTGTTAACACACTGACAAAATCACCTTTATAGTTCTAATTGTTGTACAATTTGATTGTTTGACATCATTATTACTACTATTACTGTAATAGGGCGACAGGTTTTGCGAACTCCGTCCACAATAGGGCGATACACCTTATTGAGGCTACAAAATAACTGTCGCCCTTTTATGAAAACGACCCTTAGGACAAGGAATTTTGCTGTCGCTAACCATCTAGATCGATTCCTCATGGTCCAATTAGTATAAATACTAAATTTCGTGGATAAAACATAAGGTGAACTTGGGTTAGGTGACAGTTTAGGTTTGTGCACAAGTCTATGGGAAAGTCACCCTATTGGGGCGAAAAGAGTTATTATTATTATTATTGTTATTATTATTATTAATCATTTCTGGTAATGAAACCAAGGATTCCTCAAAAGCGCCCTAGGCACTGTAGCTCGCAAGCCTGAAGAAACCTGTGGAGAGAAGACAATGAGAAGAAATTACAGTTTTAGAGGTGGGAGGAAAAGCCCAGAAGAATATTCTGGGGAAAACCCATGGAATCAGGCAGGGACTGAAAACCCAATCCACATATTGGCCCAGGCGAGATTCGAACCTGGGTCACAGCGGTGGAAGGCGAGGAAAGTACCGCTACGCCAACCTGACTCCCAAACATAACCAAACAAGCAAACAAACAAACAACAAAGTGTTAAACCTCCAAGAAAGAGTCTTACTCTCAGTGTACATTTTCTTTATAAAGAGAACATCCAGTAGCAGAGTTTTGTACACTCCCTACTGTTTTTAGTACTGGACCATGTCAGCCAAAATCCATCAATCCCACTGCTTCCAATGAATGCTTTGCTTTAGGCCTCCAGGCCCAAGTCCATCATACTCCATCAATATTTAGTCAAACCAGGCCTGCAGGACCAAGTCCCCGCAAAATCCATCAATATGGGGGTATGGATTTTGATGGAGTTGGGGAGGATAGGATTAACCCTAACCTTCCTGAATCCATAAAAATCCATACCCCTGCTTTGGAGGATTTCAGCGCATTCAGGATACCTCCATATAGAAAACTTGGAGATTTTGATAGATTGAGGATTGTAAGCCAAGTGGTACTGCAGGATTTTGATGGATCCGGGATACCTCCATATTGAGCAGTCACCAATTTCAACACATTTAATTGGTGGCTTTTGGTGGATTCAGGATACTTTCTAGTAAAGATACCCAAGGGGTTAGGGTTAAAGACTATCCATGCTATTTTGACCACACACAAAAATTAAATTGCTATTTTCTAGAAAATACACATATGTTATTCACTTTTGAATGAGACACTGTCCAAGAAAAATTGGCCCATGTTAGGTATGGAATAATTATTGAACAAATTTTGAATAATTGGTGACCTACTTCTTCAAACCAAATAATGATTATGCAATTTTACAAGAAGCTTCCGCTCAGCTGAAAGTCATACTAACAAAAAGTGCAGACAAGTGAGGCGCCTCATGCAATGCTCCCCGTGATGATTGGGTACAATTTGTAGGGGTTCAGTGACCACTGAGCCATTAACACTCCAAAGCTGTCATGTTTGAAAAAAAATGGGTGGGAACACTGATCAGTTCAGTGGGCAGGCTATACGTGAACCAAGAAGACCGCTAGCGAGTGAATGCGGTAACAATCAGAGACCATGGAGCAAACTTGGGGATGGTACAGTTGTTTTCTTTATATGCTTTTGTCACCTCCCCCCCCCCCCCCCCTCCCCAAAATTTTTTTGAAGGCTTAAGTTATTTTTAGGTTGTTCTGAATATCCAGTTTCCAAAATAAAAACGGAGTAGTGGAATTCAAAACGGACTTTAAGCCTAACCCTGCCAGATGCAACACAGTGCGTCAGGTTGAAAAGAACTGGTGCACTTTGATGCATTCAGCTACCAACACCAGTGCATGGATGGCCAGCTCTGAAACAATGAGAGCTAAGTCCCATTGATCAATGCCACAGTTGTATCCTGCTGCGTGCGGTGACCACAGACTCTGAGGCAGTGTGGCCTTCAGACTTTTCCCCTGATGGATCTTGCTACATGTACAAAATGGCAGGCTTGTCACTGTAAGTCGAGGGTTGCATGTTTCTGCGTTTGGCAGGGTTCTATAGCAACCATACCCTGGAGGGTTAGGGTTAAAGAAATCCTGATTTTAATCCCACCACTAGTTTAAAATAACCCAAGCTGTATGATGCAATTGTCTTTCAGCGTTCCGGAGGAATGGACTGCCGAGGAGATAGCGGCTTTCCAAGATCCATGGGATCAGCAGTACTACCGAAGGGCACTATACACTGACAAATACGTCTTTGCTGCACCCTACAACTCAGGTGGGTGAGGCTCATAAGCTTATTTTGTTTGGGGGATGGGGGAGACTCCCCCCCCCCCCCCCCCAAAAAAAAAAGGGGGAAAAATGTATTGGAGTGAAGAGGACTGTGTCAACCAGTTCAGAGGACGTGACGACACGCATTGGCTGTTTTTATACACAGGCACGGATGACGGATTATATGTGACCTGTTCTGTCAAAAGCAGACGATTCTGGGCAGAGGTTGAAATTGAGAAAGGGCCAAAAACGCTGTGGGTGATTTTTTTTTTGATTTTCTAATTTTTGCATATTTGTAATCTTGAACATGTCTAAAATATACTATATAAGTTTGAAACCCTAATTTGAACTCTAAATGTAGTATTTTTGATGATTTGTTAAGGTATATCAGTTAAAGAAATGTCACTTGAAACAGGTCTTAAAATAGAACCCAAACTTTAACTGCCATTTTCTCCGTTCTCTACTTTTCGACACGATGAACTTCAAAATAGCATAACTTTGCCTAGGAATGACCGGTTTCAAAAATTAAACCACAAACTAAAAGGAAACTGTACATATTTTAACACTAAGCAAAAATCTCATCTTTGACCATATGCCCAGAAAAGTCTGATTTTGACAGAACAGGTCACATATGTCAAGATTGCCTCGACTCGCCTCCGGGTGACTTCTAAACACGCCAATCCCTTGTGCTATTTGTACACACACACACTCAAAGACCGTGAAGTCTGTAAAGTCTGACCATGTTATTTTGGTAGCGCTGATAAAAATACGCAGAGCTATACGGCATGTTTCCAAATGTGCCAAACTGAACTATTTAGTTCGGTTTGGTTTTGTGGGGTTCACAAATGCTATGTTCGGCGAATTTTGGTTCGGTTTGGCGGTTAGTCTGTACGTCTAGATTGAGTCATTGAGTAAAGATGACGTTCTTAACTGAGCCTTTTGGGTCCAGATCCTCTATCCAAGCTACCGCTACATGTATAGTCTTGGGGTTTTTTTCCCATTAAATGTTTGACCTTATGAATTTCTGTCACTGATGGTCAGCGAATGTTCAATTCCAAATCTGCTGCTGCTTTTGGAATTCATATTTAGACGGTGTGATGTTGCCAGTGAATGAATCCTACTGGACATCTCTCATGGTCAGCAAGGCAGTTCACATGACCAAGGACATCATACATGCAGGTAAGTAGATTCTTTGCATGCTGGGGATCCTCCCAAATGAGTCTCGTCGGTCCATTTTCACGAAAATCTGTGAACGTCTTTGTAGCAAACACTGACCAGTCTAGTCACAGACTCCCATGTCTGAGTTTACCCAATTTTTGTCAGCCTGATCGGTTGAATGTAAGTTGAGGTCAACAATGTTAAATTTATAATAGACCTCAGTTCGCAGTATTTTCAGATGTGTTGTAAATTCTAATGCTTTCTTTTCTTTCGAAGTACCCATTGGATGGGCCCAGGCTGGATACAAACTAAATGCAAAAAAATAGGATGTTACATGTGTTATAGATCCTATACATGGATGTGCCATATTCTCACTGGAAGGCTTTTAGGGAGTGGCGTCCCTTGCCTCAGTGTGATGACTGGCCAGGGTAGTGTAAATGGGCTCCTAAGATGACAAAACAGTGTAGGAATTGGTCATGGAAAGCCCTAATTTGTCCTGGAAATTTTCAGATTTCTGTGGGAACCCTGCTTTATTACAGGAAGATTCTAGAAAAATTTCTGAATTCTGCAACTAAAATCCCATACAATGGTCGTATCGTGGATATACTTGTCCACAACTTGTTCCACATATTTAAGGAGATGAATCCTTGTGGTGCAAGCAAAAATCAATCTTGTTAATTACTCGTTGATTTCCATTCCAAAAGAGGTTCTCCAAATTGTCAACAATGAAACGATTATATTTTCTATGGGTTCCGCGCACAAGTACCCCCTCAACGGTAAGAGAGGGAGAGTTGGGGGAGGCCACTGGGAGAGGTATTTGAACGCATCGGCTGGCCAGCTGCAGGGCCCAATTTCATAGAGCTGCTTAAGCAGAAAATTTGCTTAAGCACGAAAAAACATTGCTTAGTAAAATTAGGTTACCGGCCAAAACTCCATGTGATGTACATTGCTTGTGACTGGTATTTAGCTGTTGTTTACTTAGCATAACAATCGCATGGAGTTTTGGTCGGTAACCTGATTTTATTAAGCAAGACGTTTTTGTGCTTAAGCAAATTTTGTGCTTAAGCAGCTCAATGATATTGGCGAAGATGCTATGGCTTTGTGCACATTCAGAATAAACCTGTAAATCATGAAACCATAAATGATTGTTTCCTCTTTTGTTTCTTTCCATCTCCAGTTGTCGCTGCCAGTTTGGACCCCGATGTGTTCAATGACATGTGGATAGGCAAAACTAAAAAGGTTGGAATGTATTCCTTTGCAGTGTACCCTCCGCGCAGGCACCGTACTGCAAAGAGCAGTCCGTTTTGCTTAATTTTCTTATTAAAAAAAATTCATATTTCACAAGTTTCTCATTCAAACAGTGCCAAATAAAGTGGTGAGCGCCCCTTTAACTAATAGTTCAACTATTAACCCTGAAAATAGCCAAACCCCAGCTCCCCTGAGAAGAACCACATGTTTGTGTAGTAAAGTCCTAACATTGAGTCTAGCCGGCCTCAACGCAGGGCATGGATAGTGAACCATCCCGTTAATAGAACTAGTCAGCAAGCCCAAGTGACGGCTGTGTGCAGTTGTCTGACCACTTTACAATCTTCAAACTGTAACTTGATAGACAGCAAACAGTTGAGTTAATTTGGACCCCCCTATTATAATGTGTTCTACAGACTGTACTATTCCTGGAATCGTGCGTGGAAAATATAGGTTTTTCCCGGCCAATTTCCTAAAATGTTCATTCACTTCTGAAAATCAGTAATTCATTTTCGTCTAAATTTGAGAATCGCTCTAAACACGCGTTTCATTTTTGCTACCAGAGCATTCGATTCCATTTCAGTTCAATCAAATAAGTGATGGAGCAGAACCTTTCGTTTATGTCCAATCCGATTCTTCAGTTTACAAAACTTCTTTTTTACTTTTAGAGGGCAATTCAAAACATTCACCATTCTATTTCTGTTTTAGTTTAATATTATCGGCACAAGATACAGTTAAGGGTTTCTTTTTCATTAGCCGTCAATCACATTAGCTTTACCTGAAGTCAATTTTAGAAAAGGTATGTTTGTGTAAATGGTTGCACAGGTAACGTGATTGGCCGTCTGCTTCTCATAACCGAATGAACGGACAATGAAAACGATTGAACTATTGTTGAATTGAAATGGGATTCAAGACGTGCATTCAAATTCAGGCGAAAACGAACGACCGATTTTCAGAAGTGAATGAACATTTCAGGAATTTGGATGGGAAAACCTATACCATACTAACGTAGAGGGTACTGCAATTACAATTTTGTATAATGTGATATTTTATCTACTCAAATATTGTCATAAATTAGCATTTCCAATAATTTTGGCCGGATCCCACGACTTAACATTACATTTCTAGTTAAAAACTTTTATTTCCCTGTTAATTCCCAATTGCATCACTGATTTTGAAAATAATTGATAACTTGGATGGCCCCACAATGAGGAGCAGATCTAGATGGAAGTAAAAAAAGAAATGTCCCTTGGATGCAAGCTTGCGTAAAACCATTGTAACCCAAATATTGTTTGCTAAATTTAACGTTGAAAAAAACAATCAGTGAGCTTTATGGGTTTTTTTTTTTTTTTAATTTGAAACAGGGATTCAACGACATGGAAGACGAGAAATTGTCCTGTGTGAATGAGGTGAGTGAATTGGACAAAGATTTTTGCATCACAGTCTTGTTTGGATGCAGTTTTGAAACCGAAGGCTTCCACTTGAGTTACAGAACACGGGCCAATTTCACGGTGCTGCTAAGCACGAAATGTTGCTCAGCACCCAAAAAAACTGGCTCATAAAAAGCAGGTTACCAGCCAAAACTCCATGTGATTTTTAATGCTAAGCAAACAGCATCTGAATACTAATCACGAGCAATATACATCACATGGAGTTTTGGCTGGTATTAAACCTGCTTTTATAAGCCAGGCTTTTTTTGTGCTAAGCAAATTTGTGTGCTTAGCAGCGCCGTGAAATTGGCCCCAGGTTTAAATCCACACCAGTGCCCAATTTCAAAGAGCTGCTTAAGCAGAAAATTTGCTTAAGCACAAAAAAACATTGCTTAGTAAAATTAGGTTACCGGCCAAAACTTTATGTGATGTACATTGCTTGTGACTGGTATTTAGCTGTTGTTTACTTAACATAACAATCGCATGGAGTTTTGGCCGGTAACCTGATTTTATTAATCAAGACGTTTTTGTGCTTAAGCAAATTTTGTGCTTAAGCAGCTCGATGAAATTGGCCCCAGACCTGAGCACCAGCTTAAAGTAAATCTAGGTTCTAGTTTCATGAAGGTTTTTTTTGTGTTTGGGAAATTCCAGCATTATGAAAGGAAGGAATGCATGTCTGTGACTGAGCCAATTAACCATGATATCTAATTAATGATTCAGAGAAATAGTCCAAAAACTCCTAGTCTGTAATCTCCTTGACCATTCACTACAATATGATGGATGGAAAGTGACATCCTGGAGCAGTAGAGGATTTCATGTACAACCTAGGCCTAAATTTGTGCACGACTGAGCATTTATAAACAAAATAAGGTCCAGCCCAAGACCTCGACGCAGTGCATCCTCCAAAATCAGCCACACAAGTTTGCCATATAGCCTCAATCCTGCAACATCCTTGATTTTGCAAAGATGATTTTGGAGGATTTGGAAAGGTAAGGGTTAAAAGCTCTGTTGCAGAGAATGCATAATATCTGTATCGCCCTTATATGAAATCTTTTGACTTGCACAAGTTTTAAAGAGTTGTGCTAAAAGTTACAAACTTTTTTTTTCTTTAATGGTGCTTTTAATATTGCTGTTGGTACGAAAAGCAAAGTCGTAGCTGGCAAAACCAGGTTCTTCGTGTTTGAAATTGTCCCTTCGTTTCTAGTGTGGAAAGGTTGTTGATTTCTTAACCGCTAACTATTAAATTGATTTTTTTCTCCAAACAAATTTTAAATTTGTATGATTTGTTTTAACAAAACAACTCTACTTTATTCCGATTTTTTTATTTCCGACCAACTGAGCAATGGCTTTCATTTTGCCCACAAATTAACCTGCCCAGCAAGAGCCGAATTATTGCTTGGCAGCCAATAAGTCGAATTCTGAGAAGAAATTATGCAATAACTAAATGTCAGTGGATTTTTCGTTTGAAGTCTCTTTGAAAATTGAACAACATCGCTAAGATAATAGCAATTGACAAAAACAAATTTTGCGAATAGATATAAATAGCGCAGGGAACGCATCTCCAACAAGGACCATATGTTGCATGTCTTGAAATTCTGTCGGATTTGAAGAATGTTTCGCCCTCTTACTTCTCCAGAGTATCCAGTGCTACATCCTTGACGATGGTGGATTCATCGTAGCAACCAACCAGGAAGATCGCCAAGGAAATGTAAGATTCCCAAAATATTGTTCCCATAAATGTCAAAAATGTATCTCCAAAAAAACAAGCATAAATTTGATTTGTCATTGGAAGCCAGCTTAAAGGGAATGTACATCATCGGCTTTTGCTGTAATTTTCAGAAATGAACTATTTGAGGGGTTAGTATAATAGATCAAATACTGTTACACTGACAAGTTTGAAGTTTTGTGTTCGAAAATGCTGGAAAAACCAAGAAAAACAAATATGTTCAAGTAGTCTGGTTCCCTGACTCCACTAAAGATGAAATGAATCAATTTATTGATGCCCGAAAATTGTAAGGTAAGGAAACCAGTCTAGCTGGCCTGCACCCATTCATGAACATGTAACCAATAGCAAACAAAATTTGGACTGAAAAAAGGGTAAATTTGGAGCAGCAGTTGAAAAATAGTTAGGTTTTTCCAACGGTGGTCGGCCGACCATCGTAGGAAATTTATACAAAATACCACTTTTCTTGAAAATGACTTCACACCAGGTGCCATAATTTTACAGGATGCTTTAGACTTTCATTTACCAACATCCTATTGAGGTATTTCGTAAAAATTTGCTAGTTTTGTTTTCCAATGTTTGCAAATGTTGTATATTCCCTTTAAAAGCACATTCCTGTGTATTAGTGCTTGTCCAAATTCATATCCGGGACGAGTTCTGGACAAGTTGCGGGTAGAATCATTCACTTTGTCTGGAAGAAGCTGTGCATTTGTCCCAGACATGTTCCGGGGGAATTTTCATCAACAACTGCTTGACTCACTAATACTGATAACTTTATTGCAGGAACACTGCAGGGAAGTTGTTCAGAATCCTGCAACTTATACCCGATACAATGTCCGCAACTTGTCTGGAACTCGTCACTGATGTTAATTCATACAGTCCCTTACTGCGCTGTCATGCAATGCATGGCCTTATGACCATTTTGTTTTGTTGGATACAGATGAATGCAGAAAGAGACACATAACAAATTGTTTAAGAAAATTATTCTTTCTTTTTTTGTTTTTCTTTCCTAGGTTGGCAGTTTCTTTGGGATTATTGATGGCGATCTGATGCTGGATCTCAAGAACAAAACTGTCTATAATCTGTATGTGGTAGTATTCAATTTCTAATATTTTTCCATCATTTTCATGATTTTATTAATTCATCAGTGCAGTGGAACGCCACTTTAACGAACATCGCTGCATCCACATACATAGCTGCCAACTAGTACGATTTTTTCGTAATTATTACGAATTGTTTGTTAAATTACGAAAATACGATTTGCCACTAAAACATTACGAATTTCCCATTTTCTACCTAACGAAAAAAAAATACTTGTAAAGTATCGTCTTTGACCAAAAACTTCTGGCGAAATGTCGCGATAATGGATGGACTGGTGACAAGTCTATTAAGAATGCAGTCAAGCACCTGATAGACATCAATGCAGTGTGCGCAGTGGAGTACTTGAGGACCAGACTAAAAATATTTTTCAATGGTGTGTCATTTGTGTGCATCTCGTGGATGTGTGGTTGTGTGTACTGTACTTTTCAGTGACGATCGTGAGCACATTTGGTCGCTTATTGCCGGGATGAGACCCATCAGTGCGAGATTTTAATCATGGAATTTAATAAGAGTATGGTTGGAATAATTGCTAATAGAGTTTGAGTTTGTCACAACGTCCAGAAAAGATAAATCAGCATGCGTTTGCAAGGTATGTTGGCGGGATATTTCTATTGCATACGGTGGCCCTAAATCATTGTGTGTAAAAACATGATACGAACTCGAAACTCCACATCGATAGCATGCATCTTAAAAAAAATATGCGCACATGTTATTGTTGTTATTATTTATTTGACTTCAACAAACAAATACAGACATTAAAACAAAATTAATTTTAATTTTTTTTTTTTTTTTTTTTTTTAATTATCTTTTGGCCTACAGTACATTATTATTCACAGCAAGAAGGGTATGCACATGTATGTGTACATGTAAACCATGTACCTGTACTCGATGTTGGTAAAGCTTTTGATAAAACGAGAAGTTGAAAATGACCGCGCGGGTTGATTACTAATTGGGATTTTGAAAAGTTGGCAGCTATGCACATAAATTGTTCATAATAGTGATCGTTCGGTACAGCGATTTTAAGCTGCCAGTGCTCCGGTACTCACTTTTCAATAAATAAATAACTTCACCCTGCATGCCCTGGTAGTTACTGAACGATGGCTTTGAACATGTGCCGACTATTGAATAATGTAATTACACAGTTGTTCATCTTACTACCTACAGCAATGGGTGGCTTTTCCTTTATGTTCCTGGGAGAAAAAATAGCGACTTGTTGCCGTTCTGTTGACATTTTTTCCAACAAAGTTCAGTACGTTATGAACACACAAATCAGGAGCCAAGCACGATGTTCAGTATAGCTGAATGTGTGGTATACATGGGCGTCGTGGGGGGGGGGGGGCAAGAGGGGGGCACTTGCCCCCCCCCCCCCCCCTGGAAAAGCAAAAAAAAAAAAAAAGGAAGAAACAAAAGAAAGAAAGAAAAAAAAAAAGAGGGGCGAAGACAAAGTGGTGTGAATTTAATGAGTTGGGGGGGGGGGCAAATTTTCCATCGAGAATGTGTTGAGAAATACAAGCATTTTTTGGCAAAACATTTTTTTGCCCCCCTCTAGAAAAAATCCTGGCGACGCCCATGGTGGTATAGCGGTGTTCGGTACAGCGACGTTCCACTGTACTGCATTAGAAACAACTCATTTATGATTTGATTATCAGTTTGATGAACATTTAATAATATTGTCATGTATCGCAGTGTATCTAAAAGGACCTCACTGTTAAGTATTAATGGTATTATTAATGCGTGGTTCAGTATTTATTGTTATTAACCTTTCAAATCAGCAGGCCTTGATTTTGCTGTCGTAGATTAATATATCAATATTTCCTAATGGATAATTGTTTTGATGTTGCTTTCATTGATAAATATGTCTTGATAGTGCTCTCACGGACCATAGTTTATTTGTATTACTTTATGTAATATGTACACTCTTGAGTTTAGATTTCTTCATATTGCATCGTTGATCAACATTTCCTGATACTGCCCCCAAACCAATACTTCTCATTATTGCCCTCGTGGATCAATATGTCTTGATATTTTCTCTTTGATTAACCTAAATTCCCTAGGTCATATTAAAATTGGGGAATTCAAGACTGTTAACATTACTTGATATTGCCTAATAGATCAATATTGCTTAATATTGCCTCATGAATCAGTATGGCTTGATATTGCCCTCATATCAATATCTCTTTCTATTGCCCTCAAATCAATATTTCTTGATATTGCCCTGACATAGGATGACAATGAATGACTTCCAGGCTGCGTGCCCCAGACAGAGTGCTGGAGCGGGATCATCTGGCCCCAGAAGCACAAGCGTGGTGAGTAGAACTAATTTAATGAAATTTGATGAAATGGCCAACATACTCAGACTTACGGCCAGTTGTCTTGAGTTAAATAAACAGAAATTCAAGTATTTCTCACATTGTTCTTTTTTTTTTTGCAGCCAACGCTCTCTGATGTGGTGAATTTCAATACTTGGGCAGTCACTGCTGCATGGTAAGTTGTGTTTTCAAACCCTTGCTATTTTGAGTGTTTATAGATATTATGGAGGAAACAAACCAACATCAGCAAACATTCAAAATGGAATGACTTGGAGGTTGCCCATTTTTTTCAGCAGGGGGCTTCTTTGTAAGTCCGTGAAGTGTGTGGCTGCTCACCTGTGCTAATTAATAGAGAGGTTTCACACATCTGAAAAGATATGCGTATGCATACGTTTAGTAACCCGCCGCAGGGATAACTCGCCACAACGAGTGTGTTATCACAACGAACCACCATCACCCACAAACCGCCAGTAGCAACGTCTTGGGGATCCTGTGGGAAACTAGTGCGCATGCACTACTTCTGCAGGAAATTACCGTCCATTTTGAGTCGCACGAGACGAGGACTATACACTACTAAGAGCTGACCAATGAAGATGCACAAGAGTCTTGCTGCATCTTGTATGCTACTGGGGTCAGAGACGAGCCACGGTTATAGACACGCTGCAGCGGGATGTTGGTCTCAGTGACACGGGAGAGCTGAGGACCCTAATGCTGGATAGGGAAGAGTGGAGGGCGCCGCCCAAGTCCCGAGTTGGTGTTGGCTAGGCTGCACCCTCGCATCGCATCCCATCGCTACTGGAAGGAATTTAGGAGTTTGATTCAGAACTAACATGAACAGTATTGAACAGGTTCGCCGCATTGCACATTCGCGACAAGATTCCCAAGACGTTTTTTCTGGCGGTTCGTGGGTGATGGTGGTTTGTCATGATAACGCCCTTTCACGGCGGCAGGTTATCGCAGTTGCGACAACCTGCTGCGTCATCAACGGGTTGTAGAATATGTTGTACAGTCCTACTTCAGGGAAGCCCCTTTTTTTAACATTTGGTTAGTAGAATGTTATCTCGGCAAGAATCGTCATACTGTCATTACTGAACGAACCCACTGTTATTTTTGTTACACCTTAATTTAAATGGTCAGATATATTGTTGATGAACATAAACATTGCTGTATTTCTCCATCATTTTTATCCTTTTTTTTTTTATTTGTTAAGGTCATTCCTTCGTCATTTTCTGTATGACATCTTCTTCCTCGGAGTCAGTGATTTTAGCAGTAAGTTTGCATTGTTTTGTTGTTTGTGGTACTATCTGATGTTACCAATAAATTTACATTTTTTTAACAAGTAAAAAACAAATTTCAAACGACACTCAAAGGATGCCCATTGGAAAACTTGTTAAATTTTGTAGTTTGTTTAAAAGAAAATGGATCACATTTCATGGCTTTGCGCAGAAATTGCTCTCTTGTGATCGAATTGATTTCTTTGGGTTGCAACATACCATGTCAGTATAGCTCGTATTGTTCAACTTCACTGTTTTGGCTACCCTGTGACACATGTTTTGCAGTTATACATGTGTACCCTTGTTGTAGTAACTTGGGCTGTGCACTCTTAACAAAGTATTTCAAATTGGCATCAAAACAAAAGGCCAGTGACCCAAAGAAAATTATATACATTTCTTCCTATTGTTTTCTAGCTTCCTATGTTGAAGCTGAAGACATAGAAGCTTCGAAAAATGTGAGCTGTATCAAGATCGTGAAGCAGTACTACCACGGGGACGGCATCAGAGACTCCAGTGGTTTGATTGACTGTACCAGCTGCTCAAGGTATTAAGCACAAGCCTTGACCCTCAAGCCCGGTTCATACTTCACGCGAATGCGAATGCGAAGCGAATTTGACGTCATGAAACATTCGCTGTGAAATTCGCCCGAGTTGAAATATGTTTAACTTTTACGAATTCGCAGCGTGAATACTTGCCATGACGTCACAAATTCGCTTTCACTTTCGCGCCAAGTATGAACCGGGCTTAACCCTGCCAGATGCAACACAGTGCATCAGGTGTAAAAGTCTTTGGAACCCTGCTGCATTGAGCCATCAACAATGGTGCATACACTGCCAATTCCAATACAATGAGAGCTAGTCCCATTGAACAATGCCACAGTTGTATCCTGCTGCATTCGGTGACCAAAGACCCTGAGGCAGTTGGGCCTTGAGATTTGTGACTTGATGGATCTTGCTACACTGGGCAGGCTTGTCACTTTGAAAGGTGTTGCATGTTGCTGCATTTATAATGAGCAGGTTGTCAGTATTTCGTTATTTTTGCTACATAAGTCGGTAATCTTTGGTATCAAAAAAGAAAATATGTCACTATACTGTATTATTTTAATTTAATCCAAGCCTAAGAGTTTGAGCTACAAACTGTTTTAAATTTTTAGCTGCGGAAAGCAGCTCTCCAAGTACTCATGTCTCTCCGTTAGTCCGTAGGTTAGTTAGTTAGTAACAAACGTCGGAATGCGCACCTGTGCACTGTAACTCACCTTAGCCAGCTACTGCTTGAGGCCCTGTGTCAGTTTTATGACCCTCAAGGGAGGGCAGGCAGACTTGCATTATCGACGTCAAGTTTGCATTGTGACGTTCAACAAAAGGGAAATCCTTTAGTCTACATCACTCTACTTACCTGTAGAGCGAATACTACATATGCATTGTTCCCTATGCCGGCAGGCAATTTGCTAAGAGTTTTACATACAATAGCGCCCTCACGTGTCCTACCCACGACGCCCTGTGACATGCGCACCACGTTAGCGTCCTCTTTTTCTCTTAGCCGCAGGACGAGGTACACGTGAAATTTCAACGACCTGAATTTCGCTATTTATTGGTACCTCTTTTGCTTAGAGAAAGCTATTTCGAAAAGAAAGTATTGTAGAGTTGTTCTAGTGAAGTATTGTAGAGTTGTTCTAGTGAAGGATTTGAGTGAAAGTGAAAGAAATGAGTAATAGGAAGTTGGGGAGGACCGGGTGTGTCGATAATGGAGGGACGTACATCCCACCAGACAAGCCCGAGTTCTCGGGGGACTGCACCGGTGATGGTACGTCACCGCGGCAGCAGTCCCCTAGTCGGCCCCTTCAGCCACTGCCGGCTGTCGGAGCTGACGGACCCGTTGACCAAGCGGGGGGCCGTACAACCCCACCGTCTTCGGTCAATGTTCGCGGGTCCGCCCAACTGAAGGGGAAACGCACCGGCAAGACAAAGAAATTGTCTAACGCCGGGGCAATACCCAAAAAGGGACGTACGGCAAAAGGTGGCCCCGCTACGGGGCGCACCGTGCCTGTCCCTGGCCCGTCTACGGGGCACACGCAGCCGGAGGAAGTACTCCTCCATGGCTCAGTGCACCCAGGCCCACCCAGCCCCGTGATTACCACGATGCCTGGGGATGGGCTGTTATATGGCCGGTTGATTGACCGTACAGCACCCGCCTATGTTACCGGCGTGGGGGCGCTGTCGGCCGCCCGGGCTATTGATAGCGTAGAACCGAATCCCTGGGATTCCCCCAGAGATTTAACGCTACGCTCGGAGGGCCCTGCCTCCACATCGGATTTCATTCGTTGTTCGGGCATCCCCGTGTCCCCGCAATCCTCGGCAACTACTCGGAGTCGCTCCTCAAAGAAGAAAAAATCAAAAAAGAGCCGCCGTTCCCGCCGTTCTTCGACGAGTTCCAGCGAGTCATCCGGCCGATCGCACCGTGGGAAACGCCACAAGGGTGGCGACCCGATCTCACGCGATGATTTTTTGGAGGCCTTTCACTCCCTCGCGGCCTCATTGTCGGGCCGACAGGGAGATTACGGTCACAGTTGGCCGACTCCGGGCCAAAGGGACATACCGCACACGGTTAGCCGTGCGCCGGAGTCCCCTCCAGAATTACAGCCCCCACACGCCGGTCATCACGGCCGTGGTGGGGTGACTACAGACCAGCGGACAATGCCGTGCACGGAGGGCCGTGCACCGGCGTCCCCGCCCGGTATTAGTTTACACCCATCGGCGTCACTGGACTCTGAGCGGGGCTCGATACCGGGACGCCGTCACGGCGCTGCTTCGCCCCCGGGGCCTGGTTCCCATTCCCCGGTGGCAACTCGCCCCCCGGACTCTGACAATTCGGCGGACGAGAGCGAACTGACCCGCACCATGCAACGCCTATCGGTGGCTGAGACCGAACTCCGCTTGGTCCAACGGGATATGATCAGAGTTCTAAATCTTCCTGCTGGTACCGAACCTCCTCCTCCTCCTGAGCGTCAGTCGTTCAAGAAGCGATCGGGACCGACGGCAGAACCGGTCCGGGCTTTTCCCACAATGCCCTTGGACCGCGTGTGCGTTGACCACATCGACGGTATAATGCACGCAAAGACTTGGAGTGCCTACGCTAAACGCGTAGACTCATATTATCATTTCCCCCCAGGAGATTTTGAGAAATATTTCTCAACTCCGGTCCTGCCGGACTCGGCCATTGACAAGCTCGCCGCTGACCGAGGGACAGCTTCATCCAAGGTTCCTTTTACAGACAAGACCCGTGGAAAGCTGGAAGATGTCACCCGCAGAATGGACTCGGCGGCACGCATGGGTATGCGTGCGACGTCCTTTCTTCTTCTCCTGTCAGAGTACCTGGCACTGGGATATGAAGAAGATTCGGTGATACCAGCCGACATGATGGTGGCTGCTCTCCATTGCCTCGATCGCGGCCTGTGCTCCACTCTCGACCAGTTTGCTAGAGTGTCGACCTTAGCAACATCGTCACGCCGCGCCAATGTGCTAGATGCGCTTTTCCTCCCTTCGCCGGGAGCACGAAAGCGTCTCGACGATCTCCCGCTCTCAGGCCCGGACTTATTTTCTGGTAAGTTCCAGGAGGCCATGGAGGCCGAAGCAAAGCGCCTCAAGGCCACGGAGAAAATAAATCTCAAGAAACCGGTCGAGCCGAAAACCGCGGACAAGAAGAAACAGCCATCTTTTGTCATTCCCCGGCGCCGCCCCCCGGTCAGAGCGGCCCGTGGTGGATTTCGTGGGCGCGCCGATAAGGCGGTCGGCCCGCGCTATTCACAACCACATACCGGACAACAGCGTCCCCAGTCGGGACGCGGTTTCCGTGCGCCCACTCCCCGGTACACCGGGGCGTGGCGCAAGTGACTTATGCGTCTCCAGGCGGCCTCCCACCGCTGGACCCGTGGGAGGCCGCCTTCAGGAGTTCGTGGGGTCCTGGGTGCAGGTGACTTCCGACCGGTGGGTCCTCGAAACAATCAGCAGCGGTTACGCGCTCGAGTTTACGAGGACCCCCCCGTCGGACATGCTAATTCGGACAACGCCCGTACCGCCCGACACAGCAAAACGCCGCTCCCTCGAGGAGGAGATCGACGCCCTCCTTCTGAAGAGAGCAGTTCGTGTTGTCCCCCAAGGGGGGACCCGGGCAGGTTTCATGTCAACCTTCTTCTTGGCCCCCAAGAAGGAAACCGGCGTGTGGCGTCCAATACTGAACTTAAAACCCCTCAACAAGTTCATACGTCCGAAACGTTTCCGCATGGAAACGTTACGGACCATTCTTGCATCGATCATGACACCAGCGTGGGCGGCCAGTATAGACTTGAAAGACGCGTACTTTCACGTACCGATCAGGCCGGAACATCGCAAATTCCTACGTTTCCAATACAAAAATACACTGTACGAATTTGTGGTGCTCCCGTTCGGGCTATCCACTTCTCCGCGGGTGTTCACCCGGATCGTGAAGACGATCGGGGCGGCACTGCGGCGTCGAGGGGTCATGATATTCATGTACCTCGACGATTGGCTAGTAGTGGGCCGTTCTCGAGGGGAGACGGAAGCGGCGCTCCAACTAACGTGGCAACTTGCTTCCGACCTGGGATTTCTCATCAACACCAAGAAATCCCATCCAGTCCCCTCTCAGGTTCCCACCTTTCTAGGTGCATCCCTCGATCTTCGCAGGGGACTGGCCCGGCCATCGGAGGACCGCCTGCTGAACCTTCGGCAGTGCGTGTCCCTCTTCCTCCCGACGGTAGTGGCTCCGGCCCGAGCCTGGCTCAGGCTGTTGGGCCTTATGGCCAGTCTGGTGGACTTGGTGGATTTTTGCAGGCTGAGGATGAGGCCAATTCAACTTCACCTGCTGTCTTTCTACAGACCCCGCTGGCACCCGATCGACCATCCGGTGCCCACTACGTCTTGGCTAGTCCCCCACCTTCGTTGGTGGCTAGTCGAGGCCAATATAACGCAGGGCCGTGTTTTCCGCCCGCCCCGCCCGTCGGTACTTATCACAACCGACGCCTCAGGGTACGGCTGGGGGGCTACCCTCCACCCGCGACAGGTCGCGGGCGTATGGGGCCCCGCACATCAGTCATCTCACATCAACGTCCTGGAAATGCTGGCAGTCACCAACGCACTAAAACATTTCCAGTCGGACGTCAGAGGGCAAGCAGTCCTGGTCCGATGCGACAACGCCACAGTGGTGGCATACATCAATCACCAGGGTGGCACTCGGTCAGGCCATCTGTGTGCACTAACGTGGGATCTCACCCTCTGGTGCATACATCACGGGATAGCCCTGTCGGCAGTCCACATCCCGGGGGAAGAGAACGTCACAGCCGACGCTCTCTCCAGAGGCTGGATCGCCCCGACAGAGTGGTCACTGCTCCCACAGGTGGCTCAGTCGATCTTCAGACTAATCGACCGGCCGCATGTGGACCTATTCGCGTCGCGAATGAACAATCAACTACCGATCTACTGCGCGAGGGGCCCAGATCCCAACGCGTGGCAGACCGATGCACTGTCGGTGCGGTGGGACGGCCTACTGGCCTATGCCTTCCCACCCATCTCCCTCGTTTCTCGAGTGCTGACCAAGATCGAGCAGGAGGATTGCCGAATTCTCCTCATAGCCCCGTTCTGGCCCCGCCAGCCGTGGTTTCCCCGGCTCGTCCGACTCTTGGTTCACCGCCCGGTAATTCTACCGAAGAGGGCCGATCTTCTTTATCAGCCCAGCTCGGGAATCAATCACCGGGCTCCGGGGGATCTTCACCTGACGTGCTGGGTATTGTCACGCGATCCCTCTGCTCAGCAGGCCTTTCGCGACGAGCTGCAACAATTGCAGCCCAGTCCCGTAGAGCCTCAACCAGAAAGGTGTACGATAGCCGACTACGCCATTTCTTTAAATGGTGTAGACGACAATCCATTCATCCCCCCAATACTTCTGTAGGGGAAGTGGGGGATTTCCTCCTATACCTTTTTGACAGTGGGCTCACGACGGCCACAGTTAAAAATTATCGATCGGCAGTTGCCGCGATCCATCAGGGATTTTCGGACGGTTCCTCCGTTTCCGACAACCCTGCAATTAGCCAACTGATCAAGGGGATGTTTAATACTCGTCCCCCAGTACGCACATTAATCCCATCTTGGGACCTCTTCGGTGTATTATCTACACTGGCGAAGGCTCCCTTTGAACCAATGAATTGCTCAACTTTGTTACAGCTCTCCATCAAAGTAGCTTTTCTATTGGCTGTTGCTACGTCCCGACGACGTAGCGAACTACACTCGTTATCGATACAGACAGGACACATCCGGTGGGAACCGGGGGGTGTCCGCCTGATCCCTACGGCCGGTTTTCTCGCAAAGAACCAGTCGGAGACCTTTATGCCCCCGGACATCTTTGTCCCGGACATCAAGTCTTTTTCGAACGAGGCAAACGACAAACTTTGGTGCCCAGTTCGAGCACTTAAGTGGTATGTCAACCGTACGAAGTCACTTCGTACGGGACACGAAAAATTGTTCATCACGACGACCCCGCCCCATGGGCCGGCGTCCCGCGATACAATCACTCGCTGGATCGTGACGGCTATCCGGTCCGTACCGGGCGGCTGGCCAGCGACCCAGGGACCCATTCGAGCGCATGAGGTCAGGGGAGTGTCCACCTCGTGGGCCTTTTTTAAGGGTGTCCCCCTAGGTGACATCGTCAAGGCAGCCTGCTGGAAGAACCCTAACACGTTCTCCGAATGCTACCTGAAGGATGTCCTCCAGGCAGATGGCAAGGCTGGAAGAGAAGTGCTGCTAGCGGCCAGTCGAGCCTCACAGAAGCACTAACGGGTGAGCATATAAATATACATATATATATTGGTATGGGCATTAAGTTTACTTAGATGTATCTATCATGTGTTCATTCCCATAATGGTTACACCCCCCTGACTTTTTGCGCACGAGCTCTTTGGGTTCCCCTGACGAGGTGAAACCTAGAGCGTCTGGGATGTAGGTTTTTGGTTTGGTGTTGTTTGCCTTTGGACACGCCTCATGTCCTACACCCCTGTAGACATACGGTAATTTGCGTATACCCACCGCCTTACTCGGTGCGAGTCTATGCATATGTAGTATTCGCTCTACAGGTAAGTAGAGTGATGTAGACTCCCCCCCACAGAAGTGTGGTTGGGGTCTACGAGCGAATACTTACCTGTAGAGCACCCCTCCCTCCTTCCCCACTATACTTGATTCCTTGAGTGCTTACGCAAGTAACACTTGAGAAAAAGAGGACGCTAACGTGGTGCGCATGTCACAGGGCGTCGTGGGTAGGACACGTGAGGGCGCTATTGTATGTAAAACTCTTAGCAAATTGCCTGCCGGCATAGGGAACAATGCATATGTAGTATTCGCTCTACAGGTAAGTATTCGCTCGTAGACCCCAACCACACTTCTGTGGGGGGGATTTCAATGCCAAAGACATGTACATGCAAAAGCGCCATCTATCTCATACAGACAGGGCAGAAGGTACACATGTACGGTACAAACACAAACTCACTGGATCGCAGCTTCTGAGATCATTTTCGAGCTGGTTTAAAATGTAACAACTATGTTTGTGTTTTTGTATGATACAGGTTGTGGCGTGCAAGTCACATCGACGCCACCAACCTCCTCCTAGTGGTGACAGAATCTGGGTGCGATGCTTGCCCCAACAAAGTGGTCACCCAGGTCGCCGAGGAACCGCCTCCTGATATCCTTGACACACCCACATTGATGAGTGCTAATTAGTGCACTTGTAGTCCGGTCACAGCATAGAGCTATATTAAATTACTAGAGCGCCCTCTCCTCATTCTTGCACCTGGAGATGCTTTGAAGCCGTCCTGGGCGCAGACATTTTGAATTCATGTGCGTGTTTGTAGAACATAATGAAATGAGATGGATTGAATTTTGAAAGTGTACTCTAAATGTAACGCGCAAGTAGAACATACATGAACAACTTCAGCGCTTCATGCCGTGCAAAAAGAATCTGCAGCTGATACGCGTTGCGCTTTGCGTAGAGCAAAACAAAATGCTCATTTGCTGATCGTGCGTTACGGTTTTGGGCGTGTCGGATTCGATAACGCACCTGTATAGAATACAAATGCAGATATGCAAACAACCGTACAAAAGAAGTACACAAAGTTTTTCATAGGTTTGTGCACAAACATGGATGCCCCCAGCAGGCATCATTTTGTACATGAGTCAACGCTCTAGTACTTTCGTAAAGCTCTATGGGTCACAGGCCCTTTCCCTGACCTGAGTTTTTTGGGGGGAGGGGTCGGAGATGAAAGGGGAGGGATGGAGGGGGATTGTCAACCCCCAACTGGAACATTTCATCTCAATGCACAAAACATGAGCTGTATCATGCTTATTGCTTGTTCTGTTATGAAAAATGTATGATGTACCCAAAGAGCATGGATTTAACAGTATTATATATCAGGGCATGAAGGCATATTTAAACATAACTGAACCATCCCTCCCTCCTTAATGGCAGAACTCATTGGCAAAAGGGAGAGGACGCAGTGCGGTTGCAAATCCCCATTGGCATACATCAACCTTAATTTGTGCAAGTTTTGCCTTAAAGTCGTCAAAAGTGCTGCATAGAAATTCTACTACCCAAAAGTGACAGAGCTGCCCGTCACTGATAAATGTTCTATTTGTTGTGTTGCCGTACTTCATGCAGACATAAGGATTCTGTGCACGAGTAGCCCCTAATGGTGAAAATGAGAAAGAGTTTGCAACCTTTGAAGGAACATATGGGCAATAAGCCATAGGCGAATAAAATTGGAGTAGCATCTGGTAGCTTGACTTGCTCAAATCTTTGGCACGTTTTAACTTTGAATTCTCCAGACCAAAGAGACTGTTGCTATATCACATCATTTGGGGCAAGCCTTACGCTAGCAACCCCCAGCTCCAGAATGTGTTGGGGTCCTTGTGCCATTCTCTCCCATTGTGAGCAGTGTATTGATGCTGAGCGTCTCTTACGTAACTATGCAAGAGCTTGCCCTCGCATCGTGTGATATAGCAACAGTGTCGTTGGTCTGGAGAATTCAAATTAAAACGTGCCAAGCATTGTGAGCAAGTCAGTAAACCAGATGTTATTCAAATGAAAATGCATGCCTGAATGTTCCACTTTTCAGCCGTATCCACTTTTGCATGGAATTATTGCCCAATTGTCTATTACACACAGGTGTACAGCAAATGGTCACAAGTTAGGTTTATTTTCCTTAACTGTCTTTGACGCGTGCACGTGAAGGCCCCGATCCCTGCGAAGCAGCCAAACATCCCCGCTATCGCGAGAGGCCCAGCGAACATTGCTATGACTTCGATGAGAATGTAAGTAAAGGTTCAAGACCCAGACCACGGATTGCTCATTTTGGCAAGGAGGGGATTTTCCATATTCGTCTGGTTAATATCACCGTGCACTCTACATAGTTGCTGATCATTTATAGTGCTGTTGGATTTAATAGTGAAATTCAAAAGTCATTAATTTCATCGTTAAGTTTTTGAAAACCATAAGGAAAGTGGTGTGCATTGTATTTCAATAAGCTGGTTTTGTTTTTGTATATTCTTTTTTTGGGGGGTGGTTACTTTTGGTGGGGGGGGGGTGCAGACTGAATGAGGCAGAGTCTTAAAATTGCCTAACTGGATACTAAGCATAGTGAAAAGACAGAGAACTGTAGAACCGAGAGCGCTGGAGTGTTTGAAAGTACCAGAAGCTCTAACTTTAGTTCTGTTGATCCAGTGGGTTTATTTAGGCTACAGGTCACCCTTAACTTCAAAGACACGTTGAAACACTGGGAAAGAAACAGCCTCACATTCACATCCTCATGTGGCCGTTAAAAGCCTCACTGCAGAGACAGTACTATTGTTTCAGTACGTTTTGCAAGTTTCATATTTTGCAAGTTCCTCATCCAAACATGGGTATTAAAATAACAAGTGGAAGCCCCTTTAAATCGCTTGAACCTTTGATCTAGAATTCGGTTGACTTACAATGCAGTGCGCCACCAAAAGTTTGCCATGGAGAGTCAATTTTTCAAGTTTACGGTCAACAAAACATGGCCCATTTGAACGAGTGTCAGTAGACAACTTGAACTAATTTGTTATAGATTGGGGCATAGCGTTTGGCCGCCTTACAAAAATTCCATATTTATAAAAAGAAAAGAAAAGGGCAAACATGTACTAGAATCGTACTAGAATCGTACTCTTTCGAAGCTACTGACCAGAAAAACTAACAATTTCAAATGTCCCGCGCTGCGAATTTGTCGACCATCTCCCACAATGCACTGGCAAAAATGAACTCTCTGTTGCAAACTCTTGGTGGCATTGTGAGTGACCGAATTTCCTAGCCAAGCCCCAGCAACAAGAACCGTCTGTTGATGTGTACTCCCTTGGGTAAACGTTCTTGAGTCTGACCGAGCAGACATATATTATCCTGTCACTAGAACTAGCAATAAACCTTAAGTGGCAGTTGTCTTCAATCCATTGAGATGTACTACAAGCCCAAACAGCCTCAAGACCATTGTTGTGTGGGTGGTTAGGCTAAACATCCAACGTACTGCAAAGTGAAGTACCACCCTGTAATATGCAAAAATGGAGTGATGTTATAATGTGTGTGTTTATGACATGTATCTGATCCTTGTCTTATTCTCCAGGAGTCCTTTGACGATTGTAGTTCTGCTTCCATCTTGAGATCGCATCTCTACCGTCTCCTTGCCCTTCAGCTTCTCCTCCTCATCCTAACCAGGTTGATGTAATCTTGACCAGACCAGATATGGGTCCTAAGGAGAATATGTTTAACTTAGATTTTCTCTTCGTGTTGGTGTACGTGTATTGCGCAATCTTACATCTTAAACAAAATAATAAATGTAGCATTTCCTTCAGATAAAGTGGTTCTAATCCATGAAGATCTTTGAATGAATACATATACAGATATTACGTGAAAATGTTGACTGTACCTATTGATTTCAACTGTGTAATAATAAATATTCATAAATACCTCAGATAGTTTAGCCATTCCTATTGGTCGAAACCCCGTCACGTGGCCGGTATTAAACGGATGATAAAGACATGGCTAGCTGGTCTTAAACACTTTTCCAGTGTCACAATAAAATGTGGACTCCTAAAAATCCAGTGCCTCTTATCGTTTCATTGGTTGAACGTTCACAATCCTCACGTAGGCATGCGCAACACTACCAGGGAGTTAGAATTTTATAGTTCTAAATTCAAAACGCAACGCGCCAGGTGCGTTCTGCGCGACATCGCGTAGAACATGATACGCGCGCGTCAATCTCCATAAAAGGGTTGTTTTCATCTTACTCGCCAGCTGAACACTCCATTATTTTGTAGGAGGGATGTTTCAAAAAGCATAAAGTGAATTTGTTGAACAAAATTGGGATGTTTTGAACGAATTATATGATTTTTTTTTACCGAAAAGGTATTTATGAATGGGAATAAATATGTACTCCGTTGGTATTTATCACTCTGTTTAAGACCACTTAGAGTCTGGGTGCTGATAATTACCCTCGCCTCCGGCTCGGGTAATTATCAGCACCCCGACTCTAAGTGGTATTAAACAGAGTTATAAAAACCTCCGGAGCACACATTTATTCCCTTAATAATACAGTTCATTTTTAAGGCGCACAGTATCTGAAAATAATAATCATTCAAGGGTGCCGGTCAGTGAAAAGTCAGTGAAAAGTCAATGTGTGTGAAGTACAGGTCATTATGTATGAGAGAGAAACTGATTGAAGGGGTTTGAGGTGGCGTGTGAAGGGAGAGTCCTGTATTGCCCTCAACTCGTCTGGTAAGGAGTTCCAGAGACGCGGTGCAGATCTGGAAAATGCACAGTCTCCATAGATCGCCAAACGAATCTTCGGGAAAAAGGGTACATTGGATGCTGACCTCGGACCTGGTCTCAGTTGATGATGTTTTAACATTTCCTGCAGCTAAAGTGGGGCTAAGCCATGAACAGCTTTAAATGAATACAGATGTTACCTATATAGATATTTCGTGGATGGGGGTGAAAATGTCAACTGTACCTATTGATTTCGACAGTGTAATGTTCTTTGAGATAGCCACTTGTGGCTCATTTCTGGGATTTCGGTGACATTTGTCTTGAAAGGTCAAACAAAGTCGCTTGATCCTTGTTCATTCACTCCATCTTTTTGTTGTATTCTGCATATAGTGATGTGTGGTTTTTTTTTTCAAAATTGCAATTTCAGTTGATTCAAATGTTCAGTGTAAGCCTTTGGGCTTGATGTACTGCCGTCAATCCGCAATATGTAGTCCTTTCCGCTATTTTCCTTGTTTGGTTTGTACTTGTAATTATTATGTAAAGTCGAAATATTTTAAAGCAAAATGCGGTGAACGATCGAGTTCTACTTTGTTGTTTGTTTGTAAATACTTCTCTTGTAAAATATGTTCAAAAGTGGGAAATTTTGTTTTGACATTGAAAATGTCTTTATTTATTTTTTGACCTCTAAAATGTCAGCTTTTCAAATCATCTTTGAAACCTAGTAATCTTATATTTAATCAAGAAAGTCAAATTATGTCTTAAGATTTACACTATCAAGTTCTTTATTCATTCATGTACATATACATTTAAAAAAAAATCACTTCGCATTAAAATCACTTCGTGGATAAGTAATGTGGTATTATGATCATGCAACTATTCAAAAATTGTATTCATGTGTTTGTGATCTGGACGTGCTGTTCAATTATTGTAGCCCTGTCTTCTCTTTCTCATATATAGAGTAAGTTCTTCTCAACTGAGGTTGAGCAGATGAAATTTGTGTATCAAAATTATATTTAAATGTGTCGGTTGGTTAGAAGCAGTTTCTTCTTTTACCTCCAATATTGGTAGGTTTTCCCCCTAGCACCCTCTATAAATCCAACCAACAGATTCCAAGGTTTTATCTGCCGATACAACCAACTAGAGTCGACAGAAACGGCTTTTGGATTTTGTTTGATTCTTCTTGGATTCGGGAGGTTTGTAAGGGTTTAGGAAAGTTGATATTCTTCAAGCTTGGTATATAGGGTCCGGACGAGTAGCAGTGTATTTTTTTTTGTATATGTATCGAAACATCAGTGTGTGTAAATGGTACCTTAATATACATTGTGTGAAGGCCACAGTGTGTTATCTTGATGTGCAATGGTTGTGCACATCGCTTTTTTTTTCCACTTGGAATTCAGGAAAAAAATATTTCAAACAGTACTTGTGTTATTGTAGTTATCTTGTATGCTGAAATATTAGATTTCTATTACAATATTGTGGGTTGAATCTGTGGTGTTTTTTTATTTATTTATTCATAAAATTGAAATCTGTGATGAAGTGTCCGGAAAGTGATGGTCTGAGCCGCCAGCTCTGCTGTTTATTTAAGAAAAGAAATATGTATGACAGACCTCCGTTTGCAAGTCTGTAAAATTTCTTGGTATACCTCTGTCTTGAATACTTCATTTTCATTGGCCTATGACGATCACGTGTTACGTTTGTAAAAAGTCATAGCGTACTCCCTGTGGGATATCGCCTACGTGATATCCCACAGGCTTTGTGCGTGTGGTACGGACAGTGTGATGTGAAACGCTTGTATCGTTGGTACCCACGCTATTTTCACCATGTTTTCACACCTGAGTGGGAGCAGCGAACTAGCAGACGATCGGCTGTTTAATGCACGCGACATGCGTGTGAGTTGACATTCGATTGTCATGATTGTTGTGTTTACTGCTATTTGTTTCCGTGTTTTCAAAGTCCAAAGAATCCAAGACAGAGTTGTAAAAAAAACCCAAATGTTGACTGATGTGATGTGACGTTTTGAACACCCTCGAGGCACATCTATAGCACCCTCGACTTCGCCTCGGGTGCTATGCGCTCCTCAGGTGTTCAAGACTTCATATCCCACATCACAGCAGTCACCAATTATTGTATTCCTGTTATTCATTGTCTATTCATAATTTGTTGTTATTCAAAGATCTTAATATTCAGCAAACTTACACCAAGGTTCTTTCTATTTAAGTTTTGGATCAGAAAGTCAATCACTACATGTAAATGTTGAAAGTAATCTGGTAGACTTTTTGTTCTTATCCTCTGGTACTATTGTTTTGGTTTTAATTGTACAATTGCTTGATATCCAGTAAGTGCACATTTCAGGGTAATATTTAAGCGTAGTATTTAAATAGTGGGTATTTGTTGTTCTCCCGTTAACATTATTTTTTTTAGGCTTTGTATTACCTATAGATATATATATATAGTTTGTGATTTTTTCTGAGTTTGAAAGTAATGTTGGATAGCTTGGGTATAGTAGTAGAACAACATTTGAATTTTGCTGTTTATTGGGTAGTTTCCTGGATGAAGATTAAAAAAATGAAAACAAATTTTATCGGTTGCCTTGGCTGTAAATAACATTTTGTTAAGTAATGATATTTACTACAGTGTGTAGGTTTTCTGGGTTAATTTCAGATACCAGTTTTCTTGAATTACTAATGTCATTATTACAGGTATCTTGACGGATCAAAGGAAGATGATTTTAGGGGATACCTTCCGTTTTATCTCCCTTTCTACTTTCTGTTTTGTAGAGATGTTACAATTTTTTTTAACTTTGTATAAACATAGCTGGGAATTTCAATTCTAGTTATCTGCATGCACCGAAGACTAAACGACCTGTATTCGGTATTGCAGACTTGCTCTTGGTAGAATGAGTGCTAGTACTTTTTATCAAACTTCCCGAACAGAAAATTCTACTTGGTGAGTTTCCCTTACCATCAAAGTAATGGCTTTAACTATAATGCTAATTTTGTCGGGTAAAAATCTTTATTTATTTTGAACGTATGTCAGGTCCCCCCCCCCCCATTGGAAATGCCAATACGTTTAAAATAATGAACAATTTCCTTTTTATTTGGTGTTCATTTATTTTGTATTCATTATTTTTTTTCATAGCCAACTAAGGCTTTAAGGCACATGCAGTACTCGGTAAACTTTAAGGGTTGGCATATACTAGGGTTTTTTTTTATTGGAAAAATTCAGAGAACTTGAAATGTATGAGATAAAAATGTATTGGATTTGACGTTCATGCCTGCAATATTAAAGCAACTCTTGCGATTGGATATTCAGATGACTGAGAGTGCTTCATTGTCTTCCAAGACCCTGTCCAACAACGCCAGTCTTTGTTCAATAGTAGATGTCTCTTGCCGGTGTGCGGTGTCATATGAAAATCAGACCCCTTTTCCTATTATTGGTTAATCCAATGACAGGTCACTCTCCTCTATGTGATCCTAAAAATAGCGTATTATCGTACTTGCGCATGCGCAATACTACCAATGAGTCCATAAATCATGGAGTCGGATATTTACACTACACCGGTGCCGGATGTGCGCTGTTCGTTCCGCTGATTTCGAGCCGCTCGCACTATCGTTTTTGGAAGTCTGCATCGCGAGTCATTAATGTTTTCTCGCAGGACTAAGAAGAAAAACAAAAACGAGAAATCCGACGGCAATGTTGTGCATTAGAGCGGGTGCAACCCTGCATTAAAATTCACATAAACTATATGCTAAATGCTTATACTTCAAAATTCTTTTTAAAAATACTCCGAACTCGCACAGGTATTTAAGCTGCACAGAAAAATGATGATCAACGTGTCATCTTTCATGTTCTTTTCATTTTTTTAGTGGGTTGATCATTGACTTTTCGAGAAATTCTCACCCAAAGTAGACGACCCCTATTTTCCCTGAACGGAAAAGTAGCTATCTTGAATAATGATTCTCTCCACAACATGGCAAAAAAACCCACTTTTCTTCTTATATAAATCAATTAAACACATTTGATTTCTGAATAACACTTTTCGGCGTAGACGAGACGAAATCGAATACTCCGGGTCGAAAACGTGTGCTAATTGTTTGAATTTGTTGGAGTAAATTTGAAATTGTCTGACAAAAGACGAAATTTAACATTGGAAGTGCACTAAATCGATGTTGCTGGACGAATTTGAATATAAGAATCGGTGAATGCGAACAAAAAAATGTTTTAAACTAGTCGGGAAAACCTATATTTTATCAGTCTACTTTTATCGGTGATTAAGGGA